CCACAAGGCTTTCATTCTGTAATATGTAGTTACAGGCTGATGGCCAATACCTCCACGCATACTGATAAAGTCATCATCCGAGTCAGACTCCAGAATACTCACTGAGTCAAACCAAGCTTCCTCTTGGCAAATTACTGCAAATGAATAACATTCAAAATATGAGATTCAAGAGCTATGAATTTTCTTGCCAGCACTATTGGTTGAAATTGAAAGATAGTTGAAATCTGATGAAAGAAAGCACACACCGTTCGAATCATATTGACTGTGGTGCCATTGCAGCTGGGTGAGATGGAATGTTGAATTAGAAACCTTAGATCTTCTGTGAGTAGTTGTTGCACCATTCTCAAAGTCCACATGAACAAACTCACTGACAACATAGTCACTCACGCGAGCTCCTGCATCACTATTTATTTTCTTAAAACTGGTATTTCTTTTCTTGGTATCATCTGAAGCGGAGCAGTTGCCTTTCTATGGCGTTTTTGATGACCCGCTGACAGTGTTTTTTCTGTGATTTAATTGTTTTGGATGGGGTTGACATGCAACCAGCCATTGTAGCTTTTAAATCATGCAAGTCCCAACTACAATGATGCCTTCATCAAGTCCTCTCCAACCTGTGTGCCTACAAAATGAAACAAAATACATCAGAGAAGATTAAAGGGATTTCTGGGAAAGCAGTTTCTATGATCACAAATAATCATGAGAATGCAATCAATTCTTTCATCATGGGACTGTTTCAGTAATTTATGGCTCAAACTAGGCCAGTTAACCAACTTAACACTTGGAAATTATTAGAATCAAACGGATGACACACAGAGGTCTCTATGTTTAATGAGTATGGTGGCACTATTAGAAAGCACCTTGGTTAGAAGCGACTGGTAACTTGAAGCACTACACTAGTTATTCAATCAATTTGTAGATGAAAATTTGTGCAATCATCATAAAAATCAAATGTCTGATTCAAACCTTCTCAAACAAAGCGGGATGTCTCTTTCCCAGTCCCATAGATAAGCCACTTATCTATCTCAAGCCCCAAATCTTTAGTTCTGGCTCACTAGAACATAAACATGACCAGAAAACAAAAAGATAGTACAACCACCTCAAGACAACTCAACAAAACCTAGTCCCGTACTTGCTATTATCTATCTAAAGCCCCAAACCTTAGTCCCATGTACTTGCTATTATCTACCTTTAGTTGCTATTATCTATGACAACAAGCAAAGCACGACTATGTGTTTCTGTGTCTGTATATTCCCCAATTCTGATTCAGTTAGGATTTCCAACTAATCCAACTTAGGCCAAACCAGATTCCTAACAATTACAGACTAAAATCTCTATTGCTCCCTCTAGTAATAACTTTTCAACCACATCTTTCTCTTTTCAGGATGCAAAACACATAATCAAAACCCAGTTTTCGTATAGCGGCCATCAGAAATTGAAAGCGATTTCATGATTGAGCTAAAGTCAGAAAGAAAAAAATGTAAAAAAAAAGGAAAAAACAAGGGACCCGCCTAGACCCGCCTAGGCGGCCGCCTAGCGCCTAGGCCTATTTTTCCGACAGCCTAACTGAACAAAAGCACAGTTTATAGGTTTTGAGCTCTGATTATGAACATCATTACCGAATTTAACATTACAGAACAAAATCCACCACCTGTTCTAGATGTCTGTGCATCATAGATTTTCCAAAATAAACAAAATATAAAGAGAATTTGGTTAAAACTACAAGTAATCTGAATGCATTCCACTAAAAAGCAGGAAGCAGAGTAATTGGAGACTGAGCTTAGTGAAAAGAAAAACCTTGGGTTGAAGAAACTATCCCACCAGTCAGAGTCTGCGGCTTTGGGCTCGACTGGAACCAAGCTTAAGTTTTTCTTCAATTTCCTATCTTTCTTGCTTTTCTTTGATTTCTTGGGAGACGCCATGAGAGCTCAAATGAGGAATTGCCCACCTCTTTTTTGGCCTTGAACTTGAAGACTTTGATGGGAAGTAATTCAGTGAAGCGAGCTAGGCAGCGAGGGAAATGTAAAGCTCGTATAGCCATTTTTGGCCTTTTTATTTCTAATAAATAGTATAGCCGAACGGCTATACTATTTAAATATTATATATTTAAAAACGTATAGCCGTTTGGCTGTACTCTTTACATATAATATATTTTAAATGTATAATTTAAGAAGTAAGATGGTAGTTCAACTTATTTTTTGACCTTATTTTTCTAATCATTTAAGAAGTAAAGAAATATATATCTACTCAAATAAATAAGAGAACAATAAACACAAAAGATATTAAGCCAATCGAACCAACTATAGATATCATAAGTATCAAGCAGCAAAAAAGCTTAAAAGCAATGGAGCAGCAGCAGCTTCCATACATTCAACAATTATTCCCAGAAATTACTGAGCCAGAGCAAACAGTTCTTAGCAATCATATCAGCCCACAAATTCTTTGTGTTAATAGAAAATAAAAACATAAAAGGAAAGATCTTACTAACCAAGCCACCACCTTCATCGTCATCAAAATCACCACCATTTGCGCCAAGATCTTGCATTCCAGCTTGGTCTGTAACAGCTGACACCTAAATAGAAAAATGAGGACTCAGGTAGATGAACTCCCAAATTACTTAAAATATATGGTTTTAAGCAAAATCATCCGTTTGGGAAACCATAAGGATGCACAATTATGTAACAACGCAACGACTTCTGAAAACCTGAATCTAAAGCATCATTCTAAGTGGCAACTCTGATCCACCCTATAAATCTCAGAATGATAGCAGTCGGTGACACATTGCCACAACACATTCAAATATTTCAAAACAAAAAGCAAAAGAGGCTTCTATTCAGGAAATACCACAATAACTATTTAAGACCATGATTCTAATAGTATCATCAACTAGTGCTTGTAGTTATCGGTAAAATTACGTGCTACAACAATCTGCACATTATGAGAAGTTCACCACATCAACTACGTGCTACTCAATGTGCGCATTAACAAAAACCCCAGCTCATGCACTATTGCACAGTAGGCCTGCTGGGTTTCGCTACCTTACAGTGATCACACTGTATAATACATTTGGACAATGAAAGGCTGAACAGAGTCACCAACAAAAAATTCCAACAATCAAATAAATACATGCCATGTCAAAAAAGCATCGCCAAATTAACCAGAGGTACTAACATACCAGTAACACACACAACCAAATTGATGAGCTTGGAAAGAGTACACAATGCAAGCATATTTCTGGAGGAAGAAGTATAATAACAATATAGTAATGTGCCATTACCTTAATTAGTCGACCTGCAATCTCCAATTTTCCATTCAAACTCAGTGCATTTCTGGCATCTTCAAGACGTGAGAACTGCAAGCAACTGATTCAATGAGTTTGATTTATTCAATACAATTACAAGGAATCATATCCAGCATCTGATAAGAACAACTGGAATGGAATTGAACTAAAAGGAAGGGGAAAAAAAACATTGCCAACCCAACTTGATTTCATTGGCCTTTCAGGTTTTAAAATATTGTAACCTGAAATTGTATGATGGGTTGACCCTTAACCCAACCCATGCCCGCACCTAGCTAAGGATTTGGCAGTTAGAAGTTTTTGGTGCCCACTCTTCTCAGTTTGAGTTGGGAAGAAACTTGAAAGACAATACACTAGATTCTTATTAAATTCTGGTGCAGTAGAAGACCCAATCAAGAAAAGGTGTGCATTTGTTTAGAGTCGATTTCAAATTCCATCTCCAGCTACAACGAACCGGCAGTTGACAGTTTTCTTTTTCAAATTTCCCCTCCATGGATTTGGACTTGCAAATAAATATAAATGACCTTTGGCTTAATATAACTAGCTGCATGCAAATATTTATATATTTATTCTATATCCAGGCTGCTTAAGTTGAAAGTTGTAGTCAAACAGACCTGCACAAATCCAAAACCTTTGCTGTTGTTAGTTTCGTCAACAGGTAACTGAACCAGTTCTACAGGACCAAATGCTCCAAAAACCTGCATATATATATATATATATCACATATTAAAGGGTGAAAGTCAAAATGCAAAAAATATTCACAATTACAAAGACGAAATTAGGAAACTGTGAACAGAAGTGCTCAAAAGCAACCAAAAAAAATTACATAACCAACAGCAAGCTTGATTATGTACATTATCTGATGCCAACATTAGAACTGTGTCAGAAAAGTACTCACCTGGCGGAGATCGTCTTCTTTTATATTGGTATGGAGATTTCCAACATACAGCCTTCTAGCTCCGCCAGAATATGGGCCTATCATCCCACCTGGTCCGCTAACCACAGATGTTGATTCAACCAGATTCTTCTCAGCCTCTGATGGCTTCACCATCACTGGTTGACCAAGAAGAGGCTGACCAGAAAGTGCAATCGCCATAGGTACCGACATTGCATCATAAAACTCAATATACCTACAAACTAGAGAACATTAGACTCTTAGATAATCAAAAACCAATTGCCACATACAGATGCATATAATAGCAAAGTTTACTGGAGTCTCCACTCATAGTTCAAAACGGGGAAAGAAAAATGTCCTATATGATATATCTTATCATCTTGACCAACTAGAATAACCTATAGTATATACTATATGTACTGCTTTTAGTACAAAGGCGATCAATATCATCGAAAACTTTCTAAGATGATGATGCAAATTTTGAACATTATAAATGATGTGATGATTCTTTGTACTGCACAAGAAAACGTTGGAACAAGGAAGATGCAGCCATCAAGAAGGAAGCAGGAACTGCCAACCATTCCAAAAATGACCAAGCGACATTAAAAGGATAGTCTTATTTGAACCTTAGAATGAAATCTTTGGCTTATTGTCAACACAACCACATAAACTTTTTTCATTAACAACCGGATAATTTAAGACTCTCACATCATCTTAAACGCTACCATTGCATAATGGGTAATTGTTAAAGTGAACCTTCTGTTAACAACCATCCAAAGCTTTTGTCACCAAGACTTAAGAAAAACTTACCCAACTCCCTTAGAACGTCTTGAATTGCGATCCATAATGAGGCGTACATCGCGGACCTAAAAATACACAATTCAGAGCTATAAGATAGACAATCTTTTCACTGCATCATTTACGTGTCGATTAAATATCGGCTTTTCACGCAATAACTTACCGGTAAGTTATAGGCTTTTCGCTCAATCATTTACCTGACGATTAAATATTGGCTTTTCACGCCATAACTTACCGGTAAGTTATAGGCTTTTCACTCCATCACTTACATGATGGTTAAATATTGGCTTTTCACGCTATAACTTACCGGTTAGTTATTGGCTTTTTGCTCTATCACTTACATATTGAGCATAAAATTATCACACATGCATGCGCACTGATTTGATTGAAGTTGCCATTGTTTTTCGATCAATTTTAACATGCAAATACTAGTCATAACTCTTGGGGTTATTTTTTGTTATTTCAATCCCTAGTATGGACATGAATATATTAAATTAACAAAGACATAACTATTTTTCGGTAGAAAGGTTAAAGAGCGTGCTTTTGAAATTGCCAAGGCCATAGATGACGAAGATGGGTTGATAGGAGCATTGAATGCCTTTCATAGGCACTTTCCTCACAGTAAATCTGAGGATAAACCCGAGTCATTGCCTGCTAGAAGTGGCTTATTTTCCATCAGTAGGTGTTTTGGCTATTCCCATTTCAGTACACATCCCACGGCCTCTCCTCCACATTTGTAAGTTGGAGCAGTTTCTCTCTGTAATGAGGCTGACTTGAGTACCCTATAACAGAAAGAAAAGAAAAGAATACCCACAGATTCTCTTGTAATGACTGCAAAAAGATTCAGTCTCTAAGCCCCAAGTTGTTAGTGTGTCAACTAGCTGAAAATGCAGTTTCGTTTTAGTACACAAAATTGTATTTACAGGCTCCTTTTGCTCCACCATCCCCAACCAACAAACCACCAGTGATAGTGACATGTACATTTATCTTCAAGTTCTCAATCTTGTTGTTGCTATAACAATAATTGTAATAGACGAAGAATTTGCTAAACAGTTCTGTCTTAGTTTGCTGGACCACAGTTTGTCATAAAACTGTGCCAAAAAAAAAAAAAAAAAAAAAGACAAACATAATAAAAGAACAACTAAGGCAGCTTTGACGGGGAAAGGAAAAAAAAACAATGACTAAGGGCGTTTGACTAAAACAACCAAAGTCATTCGAAGGTTGGAAAAAACTAAAAGGAGACAAGTCAATTTTTTCCTTGCGTAGAGCTCATCGATACGAGTTCATAGACACGTAGTGGGCCCAAATCGCAGTTTTAACGAAGAAGTTACGGTCAGCGGAAGCACAGTGGCACAATTGTAAATATTTCAAGGTCAGAATTTTAAAACCCAGGTCAGCTTCTTTTTCTCTCTCTTTCTCCTACCACGACCTCTCTCTCTCTCTCTCTCTCTCTCTCTCTCTCTCTCTCTCTCTCTCTCTCTCTCTCCCCGTCGTTTTCCGACGCTGAATCCGGCTTCGTCCGGCCACCGTTTTCGACGAAACGACTTGCAAACTTTTCCTCTCCTCCTCTTCTTGACCCACCCAATTTCAAAAACCCGGGTCTCACCCAGGTGCAACCGCGAGATAAAATATATTTTTGGACTCTAATTTGGTCATTGGGATCGAATCCTATTTATTAGATTTGTTAAGTTCGGTTTTGAATTTGTCGGTAGCCTGAAGGGATGTGGTTATAATGTGTTTGTGATTGTGTCGGGGCTGAAACCTATTTTAGATTGATGAATGATTGTGGATTGAGTCCTTACAACTACTTATGACTATGCTTGGAGGGTAGCTTGGTTTTTTCAAGCTTTATCTTTTAATTATTATTTTAAGTTTGAAATCCTAGTTAGGATGCATACGCCAGAGTTTCTTCAATACTGTGTGCTCGTTAGTGGAGGCGCACCAGATTGTCTTAATTTTGATGTTTGGTAAAGTATTGGCTTTTCACTCGATAACTTACCGGTGAGTCGTAGTCTTTTCACTGCATCATTTACATGTCGATTAAATATCGGCTTTTCACGCAATAACTTACCGGTAAGTTATAGGCTTTTCGCTCAATCATTTACCTGACGATTAAATATTGGCTTTTCACGCCATAACTTACCGGTAAGTTATAGGCTTTTCACTCCATCACTTACATGATGGTTAAATATTGGCTTTTCACGCTATAACTTACCGGTAAGTTATTGGCTTTTTGCTCTATCACTTACATATTGAGCGTAAAATTATCACACATGCATGCGCACTGATTTGATTGAAGTTGCCATTGTTTTTCGATCAATTTTAACATGCAAATACTAGTCATAACTCTTGGGGTTATTTTTTGTTATTTCAATCCCTAGTATGGACATGAATATATTAAATTAACAAAGACATAACTATTTTTCGGTAGAAAGGTTAAAGAGCGTGCTGTTGAAATTGCCAAGGCCATAGATGACGAAGATGGGTTGATAGGAGCATTGAATGCCTTTCATAGGCACTTTCCTCACAGTAAATCTGAGGATAAACCCGAGTCATTGCCTGCTAGAAGTGGCTTATTTTCCATCAGTAGGTGTTTTGGCTATTCCCATTTCAGTACACATCCCACGGCCTCTCCTCCACATTTGTAAGTTGGAGCAGTTTCTCTCTGTAATGAGGCTGACTTGAGTACCCTATAACAGTAAGAAAAGAAAAGAATACCCACAGATTCTCTTGTAATGACTGCAAAAAGATTCAGTCTCTAAGCCCCAAGTTGTTAGTGTGTCAACTAGCTGAAAATGCAGTTTTGTTTTAGTACACAAAATTGTATTTACAGGCTCCTTTTGCTCTACCATCCCCAACCAACAAACCACCAGTGATAGTGACATGTACATTTATCTTCAAGTTCTCAATCTTGTTGTTGCTATAACAATAATTGTAATAGACGAAGAATTTGCTAAACAGTTCTGTCTTAGTTTGCTGGACCACAGTTTGTCATAAAACTGTGCCAAAACAAAAAAAAAAAAAGACAAAACATAATAAAAGAACAACTAAGGCAGCTTTGACGGGGAAAAAAAAAAAAACAAAGACTAAGGGCGTTTGACTAAAACAACCAAAGTCATTCGAAGGTTGGAAAAAACTAAAAGGAGACAAGTCATTTTTTTCCTTGCGTAGAGCTCATCGATACGAGTTCATAGACACGTAGTGGGCCCAAATCGCAGTTTTAACGAAGAAGTTACGGTCAGCGGAAGCACAGTGGCACAATTGTAAATATTTCAAGGTCAGAATTTTAAAACCCAGGTCAGCTTCTTTTTCTCTCTCTTTCTCCTACCACGACTCTCTCTCTCTCTCTCTCTCCCCGTCGCAAAACAACATTTTCCGACGCTGAATCCGGCTTCGTCCGGCCACCGTTTTCGACGAAACGACTTGCAAACTTTTCCTCTCCTCCTCTACTTGACCCACCCAATTTCAAAAACCCGGGTCTCACCCAGGTGCAACCGCGAGACAAATATATTTTTGGACTCTAATTTGGTCATTGGGATCGAATCCTATTTATTAGATTTGTTAAGTTCGGTTTTGAATTTGTCGGTAGCCTGAAGGGATGTGGTTATAATGTGTTTGTGATTGTGTCGGGGATGAAACCTATTTTAGATTGATGAATGAGTGTGGATTGAGTCCTTACAACTACTTATGACTATGCTTGGAGGGTAGATTGTGCATGCTGAAGTGTGGACATTTTAAACTGTGTTTTTGACAGGTTGAAAAATTTGGTTAAGTCCGTTTTTCAAGGGAGACTCTGCCAAAATTTCGGTAGAAGTCTCGGCCCTCTTTTCCTTTGTTTTAGGGGAAGAGGACATTTGAAATCAGTAAGTGGGCCCGGTATCGGTTGGATGTCGAAAATACCACAGGATCCGTCACAGATTCCGAGGAATTCGGGGCGAGTCCTGTCATTTTATTTGTATTGTTATAGCTTGGTTTTTTCAAGCTTTATCTTTTAATTATTATTTTAAGTTTGAAATCCTAGTTGGGATGCATACGCCAGAGTTTCTTCGATACTGCGTGCTCGTTAGTGGAGGCGTACCAGATTGCCTTAATTTTGATGTTTGGTAAAGTATTGGCTTTTCACTCGATAACTTACCGGTGAGTCGTAGTCTTTTCACTGCATCATTTACATGTCGATTAAATATCGGCTTTTCACGCAATAACTTACCGGTAAGTTATAGGCTTTTCGCTCAATCATTTACCTGACGATTAAATATTGGCTTTTCACGCCATAACTTACCGGTAAGTTATAGGCTTTTCACTCCATCACTTACATGATGGTTAAATATTGGCTTTTCACGCTATAACTTACCGGTAAGTTATTGGCTTTTTGCTCTATCACTTACATATTGAGCGTAAAATTATCACACATGCATGCGCACTGATTTGATTGAAGTTGCCATTGTTTTTCGATCAATTTTAACATGCAAATACTAGTCATAACTCTTGGGGTTATTTTTTGTTATTTCAATCCCTAGTATGGACATGAATATATTAAATTAACAAAGACATAACTATTTTTCGGTAGAAAGGTTAAAGAGCGTGCTGTTGAAATTGCCAAGGCCATAGATGACGAAGATGGGTTGATAGGAGCATTGAATGCCTTTCATAGGCACTTTCCTCACAGTAAATCTGAGGATAAACCCGAGTCATTGCCTGCTAGAAGTGGCTTATTTTCCATCAGTAGGTGTTTTGGCTATTCCCATTTCAGTACACATCCCACGGCCTCTCCTCCACATTTGTAAGTTGGAGCAGTTTCTCTCTGTAATGAGGCTGACTTGAGTACCCTATAACAGTAAGAAAAGAAAAGAATACCCACAGATTCTTTGTAATGACTGCAAAAAGATTCAGTCTCTAAGCCCCAAGTTGTTAGTGTGTCAACTAGCTGAAAATGCAGTTTTGTTTTAGTACACAAAATTGTATTTACAGGCTCCTTTTGCTCTACCATCCCCAACCAACAAACCACCAGTGATAGTGACATGTGCATTTATCTTCAAGTTCTCAATCTTGTTGTTGCTATAACAATAATTGTAATAGACGAAGAATTTGCTAAACAGTTCTGTCTTAGTTTGCTAGACCACAGTTTGTCATAAAACTGTGCCAAACAAAAAAAAAAAAAAAAAAGACCAGATCAGATAGGCCCTACTAGGACCAAGGTCTGCTGGATGGCGTCTGCTCACGGTCAAAACCACCTGAGCCATATGCTTGGGCAGAATCTCCCAAGATCCCCCTCAGTCGAACTTGAGGAGCAAATCAAGGTGACTAGAGAATCTAGGGAAGATCGCCGCTATGATCAAGTTAATCCACGCGGGTGTCAAGACATGATTGAAAGGGAGCACTTAATGCACTTCAAATCCAATCCAGGTGTCGTCCCACTAAAAGGGAGATAGTTTGCAAAGGCCATCTGCTTGGGACTTGTTGAACTCCTTTGCTCGTCCTGACCCGAGTTAGGGCCCTAGTCAACCAGGGGAACCACACTCCTAATTAACATATGGTGCCGTCTATGACAATTGTTGCTGATAGAAGTCGCATCCCCTCTCCCAACTGAGTCCCAACGTGAGCAAAACTGAGCTATGTTGAATCAACATATTAGAAAGAATGCTCTCTCGGGTTCTGCCTAGAGAAAAGCCCATATAAGAAAGAAGGAAAGACATTAAATAGATCGCCTCAATAGCCTGGAGGACAAGATTAGCCAAATCCTGAGGGCGTAAAAGACGTCCAAAATCTCAACAATAGCCTTCGCGCGTAGAACGAAATACTACAAGAAAGTCACGCTAACCTAGTAAAAAAGGTAGACTCATGACAGAAGAACGACCAAAAGCAGGTTGGCAACGAGGATGCTAGCGAAGCCTCGTTTGAGTTAGTAGAGGCTGAGGTACCAAGGCGAGAAACGACTGACTCAAGAGCCATACTGGAGGAAAAAAGAGCCTGGCGGGAGCGTAACCAATGCCTGGTAGAAAACTTATAGAATGAGAAAACCACGACAGGCACAAGCGAAGTCGAGGAGGATGTCGGTGGCATCACCTCCATGCTAAAGGACTTAGTCACTGACAAACTAAGAAGTGTGTGGGATCAGCTCAGACACGTGGAGAAATAAAAAATGCCCAGAAGGCCGGAGTTAATCGAGGAAGAAATCCCGTTGCCCTATACTTGTGACTTACTGAAGACTAGGGTGGTGGGAGATTCAAAGCCCCCAAAAATCCCCTTATATACGATGGAATGACCGAACCATACGACTACATGGATAATTTCCGTAATGCCATGAAAGGACGAGAGGCAAATGAGGTAACCAAGTGCCGCCTGTTCCCAACAACGCTCAAAGGCCCTGCCACAAGCTGGTTCTAGCGACTCACTCCAGAATCAATTGGTTCTTTTGCCGAACTAAGAGAGGTTTTCATGGATCGATATATGATCATTTTTTATCAGCTATACACCACGAACGACTTATTAGTGGTCAGACAATGACCCGACAAGAAACTCCTGGATTACATCACCTGATTCAACAACGAGTATGCACGATGTGAAGGTTGCGACGAGGCAATGATACATAATGCCCTAATGAGAGGACTTCAAGTCAGGGACTTCTTCTTTTCCCTTAATAAGACCCCCTGAAACATACAAGGATCATCTTCGCGAGGCTATCAGCTATTCAAGAGTTGAGCAGCTGAACTTGGCAAGGAAGGGGATTGCAAGGCCAAATCCCAAAGCACCAGAGCGATATCGACCCAAGGAGAAGAGGTCCAACGACTATGCATATGACTTATTAGCGAAAAGAAAGAAAGAAGAGGTCCGACCCGAGAAGTATAATCAATACAGCAACTATACCCCCTGAACAAACCCAAAGGAGAGATCTTTGCAGTGATAACCAATGAGCTCCCCAGCCCAAGGAAAATAAGGTAACTATACCAAGGTAGGAGAGACTACAACAAGTACTGCAAATATCACCGCGATTATGGCCACCATATTGACGACTACTACCAGCTCAAAGAAGAAATCAAAGCCTTAATTAGGTGAGGAAGTTGAAGGAGAGTGTGACAAGACATGCCATCCCTGCCAATGACCACACACAGATGGACAAGAGTGGCCAATTTAATTGGAAAAAAAATGAGAATTCAACTACTCTAATAGGGTATTGTGATAGTGATTGGGCTGGGAGTGAGGATGATATGTGAAGCACCTCAGGATATGCTTTCACACTAGGCTCAGGCATGTTTTCTTGGGCTTCTATCAAGCAAAACACAGTTGCTTTGTCCACAGCAGAAGCTGAATACGTGAGTGCTGCAGAAGCAACTTCACAAGCCAAGTGGCTAAGATTTGTGCTTAAGGATTTCGGTGAAGAACAAGTAGAAGGAACACCAATCCTATGTGACAACACTTCTGCTATTGCAATGGCAAGGAACCCAGTTCATCACCAGAAAACAAGGCATATCAGTTGGAAATTTCATTTCATAAGGGAAGCCATTCAAGCAAAAGAAATTGAGCTAATCTACTGCAAGACAGAAGATCAAATAGCAGACATTTTCACCAAGGCTCTGCCTAAGGATCGTTTTGTTAGTTTAAGAAGACTACTTGGTGTGAAATCAGCTAAAGGATTAGAAGGGAGTATTGAAATGTAATCATTCAGCTGCTTTCTTATAGTCGAAGTCACCAAGCATTATTCCTCATTTTTTACGTCTATTTTAGATGTGATGTAATTAGAACCATTGGATCATAGTCCAGATGGATTCTCTAGCTTAGATTTGGTATGACAAGTGTAAGCACCTCATAGGGTGGCAGCTGTAATTTGGTTAGAGAAGAATCACTTCTCTCTCTCAGCTACCGAGCACACTATGTAAGCCAACTGTTTGTGAAAATGCAATAGAACAGTTTCCTCTCATTCTTTTCTTCTCCTTCTCTTGCAAAATCTTCAGATTACAAAACCTTCATAACCTAAAATACAAAACAACCATAGAATTCTAACACCGTCATGCCCCCAGGCCAACTAGTTACAATGCCAAGAAACCTCATCGCATGGTCAACAATTGTCCTCCAGGTCACACCAATCGTCTGATGTTTGAACGGTAGGAAGGGTCATAATGATGTTTGTACCATCTATGGCTCCACAACAATTGGGCAATCCAAAGGCTTCTTCAAGTTTGGACCTTATTTCTTCCATCCTGTTGGAATCAACTAGGAGGTCTGTTTTTTTTCTTATTTTGGTTTCTTAAATCGTATGGCTATCCTACGATTTTTTTTAATTAGCATGGCAGGGCGGCTATACTTATTTTTACATGTGATGTCTAATCGCTGGTGGCGTTAAAAATAGTACAGCTACACGGCTATACTCCGTGTTTTTACTTTTAAAAAAAAATAGTACTGGCTCTTTTTTTATATTTAAAAATAGTATAGCCAACCGCTATACTCAGTTTTTAAAAAAAATTTAAGTTTACACGTGGACGCCCGGCAGCCGTGTGGCTGCTCTGTTTTTTTTCCAGTGAATAGTATAGCAGAGCGGCTATACTCGATTATTTTCTTATCTTTAGAAAATAGTATTGCCGGCCGGCTTTACTGATTTTTTTATTTATAAATTCACTGTAATAAATAGTATAGACGAGTGACTATATTCTTATATATATATATATGTACGTGTGTATTTTTCAATAATATATTTTTGTCCTATATACGTCACGTTTTTCAAAAAGTAAACGTATAATAGTCGTATTGTACATGTATGTACGTATTTTCTAATGTTTTACACACATTTTTTACAAAATTTTCAGTAAGACACAAAATTCACGTATTATACAAATAATTCTCACATATTATTGAATAAGAATAATATATGTTATAAAAATTATATTAAAATATTATACAATGGACGATTAATATCTACTTGGAATATGTTGAAACTAGCAAAAAAATAAAAACAATACGTCAATCACCTTCACTCAGGTCAACAAAAAAAATTATGCAGTGCAGACACTCTTTCTATGCCAAACTATCACCCTCGGCTTTGCAGTGCTGATGTCTGCAATGCCTTGAGAGAATGCATATCTTACTAGTTAAAGCAAAAGGGAGGGATAAGTGCCGAAACCAGTAAAATGATTACAAAATTCATGGATGCTATGTTATTTTGAATTATCAAGCTCAACTTCAATAATCCGCTAGCAAAAAACACAACCTTGAATGAGCAATCTTTCCAATATCAAAGGTTAAAACATTAGAAAGAAAAACCTCGATTTTCGCTCGGCTATACTGGCATCTTTTCCCCTCGATTTTCGCTTATCAAGGCTTCAAGATCAGTTGGCTGCCTATATTCTATCTGTCATCTCTTTGGAGTGTACAACAGCACTTGAGAAGCATGTGCTTGCAGACGCCACATCTCATAAACTAGAAACAGAAGAATCAGAGGTAATCTCCATGTCTGTTTATACATTCCCTCAGCAATGGGAAATTGGACTGAGGTGATGATCCATTTATTAAAGCTTCAATACTCTCTTCTTTTTTTTCTATCTAGAACTTAAAGCTTTACTCCATTTATTTCCTTACAGAAGGTACCAATCGAGATAAGCCGGATTTCAGGCATTGTCTTGAATTTTTTCATTAGAATCACGTCCATCCTCCATAAGTCCTTTAAAGCTTCCATAAGAGTGATCTAATATATTCTTCCTCTTACTGAAAACTTCATCAGCCTTCCCTAAGCGAGAAAACTCATAGCCCTGGGTACTAATAAGCGAAAACCGATTTGATTCCCAGCACTCATCTTTGCCAGTGATTTTATCTGATTTACCTCCATCTATTTTCATATAGCTTTGGTATTCTTCATACTTACACCCTTTATCAACAAAGTGAGCAGAACTTTCGTACTGAAGTACTTGGCCACTTGAGATATTCCCAACTGTAATGCTTGCTAATGGAAAACCATCTGTAGAATACGAGAAGAAAATTAAGAAAACAAAACAAAATCCTTTTCCAATAAGTAGCTCAAGGAAAATTACTTCAGTATTAATGACGTTTTGCAATCAAACAAGACCACAAGGCTTTCATTCTGTAATATGTAGTTACAGGCTGATGGCCAATACCTCCACGCATACTGATAAAGTCATCATCCGAGTCAGACTCCAGAATACTCACTGAGTCAAACCAAGCTTCCTCTTGGCAAATTACTGCAAATTAATAACTTTCAAAATATGAGATTCAAGAGCTATGAATTTTCTTGTCAGCACTATTGGTTGAAATTGACAGAGTTGAAATCTGATGAAAGAAAACACACACCATTCGAATCATATTGACTGTGGTGCCATTGCAGCTGGGAGAGATGGAATGTTGAATTGGAAACCTTAGATCTTCTGTGAGTAGTTGTTGCACCATTCTCAAAGTCCACATGAACAAACTCACTGACAACATAGTCACTCACGCGAGCTCCTGCATCACTATTTATTTTCTTAAAACTGGTATTTCTTTTCTTGGTATCATCTGAAGCGGAGCAGTTGCCTTTCTATGGCGTTTTTGATGACCCGCTGACAGTGTTTTTTCTGTGATTTAATTGTTTTGGATGGGGTTGACATGCAACCAGCCATTGTAGCTTTTAAATCATGCAAGTCCCAACTACAATGATGCCTTCATCAAGTCCTCTCCAACCTGTGTGCCTACAAATGAAACAAAATACATCAGAGAAGATTAAAGGATTTCTGGACAGTAGTTTATATGATCACAAATAATCATGAGAATGCAATCAATTATTTCATCATGGGACTGTTTCAGTAATTTATGGCTCAAACACTAGGCCAGTTAACCAACTTAACACTTGGAAATTATTAGAATCAAACGGATGACACACAGAGGTCTCTATGTTTAATGAGTATGGTGGCACTATTAGAAAGCACCTTGGTTAGAAGCGACTGGTAACTTGAAGCACTACACTAGTTATTCAATCAATTTGTAGATGAAAATTTGTGCAAACATCATAAAAATCAAATGTCTGATTCAAACCTTCTCAAACAAAGCGGAATGTCTCTTTCCCAGTCCCATAGATAAGCCACTTATCTATCTCAAGCCCCAAATCTTTAGTTCTGGCTCACTAGAACATAAACATGACCAGAAAACAAAAAGATAGTACAACCACCTCAAGAACAACTCAACAAAACCTTAGTCCCTGTACTTGCTATTATCTACCTTTAGTTGCTATTATCTATGAAAACAAGCAAAGCACGACTATGTGTTTCTGTGTCTGCATATTCCCCAATTCTGATTCAGTCAGGATTTCCAACTAATCCAACTTAGGCCAAACCAGATTCCTAACAATTACAGACTAAAATCTCTATTGCTCCCTCTAGTAATAACTTTTCAACCACATCTTTCTCTTTTCATGATGCAAAACACATAATCAAAACCCAGTTTTCGTATAGCGGCCATCAGAAATTGAAGCGATTTCATGATTGAGCTAAAGTCAGAAAGAAAAAAAATGTAAAAAAAAGAAAAGAAAAAAGGGACCCGCCTAGACCCGCCTAGCGCCTAGGCCGATTTTTCCAACAGCCTAACTGAACAAAAGCACAGTTTATAGGTTTTGAGCTCTGATTATGAACATCATTACCGAATTTAACATTACAAAACAAAATCCATCACCTGTTCTAGATGTCTGTGCATCATAGATTTTCCAAAATAAACAAAATATAAAGAGAATTTGGTTAAAACTACAAGTAATCTGAATGCATTCCACTAAAAAGCAGGAAGCAGAGTAATTGGAGACTGAGCTTAGTGAAAAGAAAAACCGTGGGTTGAAGAAACTATCCCACCAGTCAGAGTCTGCGGCTTTAGGCTCGATTGGAACCAAGCTTAAGTTTTTCTTCAATTTCCTATCTTTCTTGCTTTGCTTTGATTTCGTGGGAGACGCCATGAGAGCTCAAGTTAGGAATTGGCCACCTCTTTTTTGGCCTTGAACTTGAAGACTTTGATGGGAAATGTAAAGCTCGCCTCGCATAGCCATTTTTGGCTCTTTTTTTTCAATAAATAGTATAGCCGAACGGCTATACTATTGAAATATTATATTTGAATGGTATAGCCGCCCGGCTGAACGCTTTACATATAATATATTCAAAGGGTATAGCCGCTCGGCTATACTGGTATCTTTTCCCCTCGATTTTCGTTTATCAGGGCTTCAAGATCAGTTGGCTGCCTATATTCCATCGTGTATGGTCTTCTAGCCAGAAAGTATTCTGAAAGACTTGCTTTTTATATTAGATGAATGGTGGAGCCAGTATTTGAATATATGGTTTATCTTCAGAATTATGCAAGTTGTTTGTGGCTCCAGGATTCTCCTTTTATTTTACTTGAGTCCTCAAATTTCATATATATATATATATATATTTTAAAAGAAGTGGTACTTCAATTTTGGGAAATTTTATGGAAAGTAAGCTGGTTTCTATCTACATTGGGCTGAACATGAATTGTTCAGCTTATGGCATGTTGCATTTGATTTCAATGGTGCATGCGATTTTGGATATCATTTGAATTTGACACATCTATATTCCACTTGCATCCAGGATGACTTTCTACATGCTGAAAGCTCTCATTTGGATGGAGATCAGTGGCCACGGTATCAGATGGTGTTTCGGACTTGCAGGATTTACAAACAAGAATTAAAGCTATTGAAAAGGCAATGGTGGAAAAGGAAAGGCATTTTTCCACAAATCAGGTAGAAAAGAAACTCGGGGATGGGGTTTGGTAACACTATGAAGAAGCGTGAAATATCTGGCTCAGGTAAAGACATCATTCTTGATGAGATATCAGAGTGTATATCCTATGGGATAAGCAGAAGAGACACCATACAGGCTGATGGTCAGATGCTTGAGTTGTGGGAAACCACCGACCAGGATGCCAGCATTGATTTGATGGCTGGCAAGGGCCAGAAGGTGGCCGCTGTACCAACTGACCACAGGTCAGACTGAAGCAGTAAAGGAACACGAGAATAAATATTCCTCTTCAGAATCATTGGTTGAGAAGGAATTGGGCGTGGACAAATTAGAGATCTCTAAGAGATTTACAGAGCCCCATCAAGAAGGCAACAAGAAAAGGATTCTAGAAAGACTTGATTCTGATGTACAAAAGTTGGCAAACCTTCAAATAACTCCTGAAGAGGAAGGTGGAGATTACTGAAATGAGCAAAAAAGGGCAAAGGTATTGAATTTGAAAACGTGAAGGGGCAGCTGGAAGAAGCTGACGAGGCCATCACTGAGTTGTTTGACGTCAATAAAAAATTGATGAAGAACGTTGAAGATAGTCCTCTGTTCTCTAATGGAGCTTCTGGGGTAGTGTCGGATGAAAGTGGGAGTGTGAGAAGGAGACTTTCAGAGCAAGCAAAAAGAGGGTCCGAAAAAATCAGGCGGCTACATTTGGAGGTGCAGAAACTGTAATTTCTTCTACTGAAACTTGATGGTGAAAAGGAAAGCAGAGGATCAACAAGGATCGCGGAGCGGAAAACAAGAGTTCTTCTGAAGGACTATATCTATGGTGGCAATAGAACCAACCAGAAACATAAGAAAGCGCCCTTCTGTGCATGCATACAGCCCCTAACCAAGGGAGATTGAAGCAATGGAATTTCATGGTCCCATGGTATAGTTTTAAAGTAATGATCAGGCTTTAGTTTTGTCTCATTGTCCATAAGTTTTTTCTTTTTAGAGAGCTGTACTTGTTTTGCCATATTTTATAGAGAGGAGTATTGGGTCTTGCTTAGTTTTGAGATCCTGCTGTACATGCCAGGCCCCATCTTCTAATCAAAGGAAACTCACTCTGATGGTGTTTGCTTTTTTTTATCATATTATTTTTCTTTTACATATATATTGCTGCTTGTCTTACTTATGCCGCAGATTAAAATAAAAATGCTTTATTTTTGTGAGATATCTTTGGCTTTAAATTTCTTTGGTGTTACAAGTTCACGTAGACTCTGACAAAATGAGCTTCCATTCTACTTTCTAAGCCGCCATACGAAGATATGGCTGATTCACATAGTCTGTTAAAAACATACATACATTTCTTTTATGCAAGTCAATGAGAATAAGAGAAGCAATTCAGCATTTCATGTCATATATGGCTGGTGCCGGTGAAATTGCCGAAGCAAATAATTTTACAGATTGAAACCGTTCCAGACTTCCAACTCATTTAAACCAGACTGGCAGAACAAGAATCACTTTGGTGCAGCGGTCTGCTTGCTGTGCAGCAAGTGTTTCACTAGGATATCCCTCATAGTCCTCCCCAACGGATCAACTTTCCTACAGCATTGTTCGCCATATCCCGAGTCATGATGACCAGAAAAAGCAACATCTGGTTGTAATATATCTCTACTGTCAATTTTATTGTGAAGTAAACAGCATACCAAGATGATTCTCTTAAACAAATAGTATAAAAAGCTGGCAGGAGTGCAAGAGATGGTAGTTCAAATTATTTTTTGACCTTATTTTTCTCCTAGGAGAATGAACTCTAATCATTTAAGAAGTAAGAAATATATATCTACTCAAATAAAAAAGAGAACAATAAACACAAAAGATATTAAGCCAATCGAACCAACTATAGATACCATAAGCATCAAGCAGCAAAAAAGCTTAAAAGCAATGGAGCAGCAGCAGCTTCCATACATTCAACAATTATTCCCAGAAATTACTGAGCCAGAGCAAACAGTTCTTAGCAATCGTATCAGCCCACAAATTCTTTGTGTTAATAGAAAATAAAAACATAAAAGGAAAGATCTTACTAACCAAGCCACCACCATCATCGTCATCAAAATCACCAGCATTTGCTCCAAGATCTTGCATTCCAGCTTGGTCTGTAACAGCTGACACCTAAATAGAAAAATGAGGACTCAGGTAGATGAACTCCCAAATTACTTAATATATGGTTTTAAGCAAAATCATCCGTTTGGGAAACCATAAGGATGTACAATTATGTAACAACGCAACGACTTCTGAAAACCTGAATCTAAAGCATCATTCTAAGTGGCAACTCTGATCCACCCTATAAATCTCAGAATGATAGCAGTCGGTGACACATCGCCACAACACATTCAAATATTTCAAAACACAAAAGCAAAGAGGCTTCTATTCAGGAAATACCACAATAACTATTTAAGACCATGATACTAATAGTATCATCAACTAGTGCTTGTAGTTATCGGTAAAATTACGTGCTACAACAATCTGCACATTATGAGAAGTTCACCACATCAACTACGTGCTACTCAATGTGCGCATTAACAAAAACCCCAGCTCATGCACTATTGCACAGTAGGCCTGCTGGGTTTCGCTACCTTACAGTGATCACACTGTATAATACATTTGGACAATGAAAGGCTGAACAGAGTCACCAACAAAAAATTCCAACAATCAAATAAATACATGCCATGTCAAAAAAGCATCGCCAAATTAACCAGAGGTACTAACATACCAGTAACACACACAACCAAATTGATGAGCTTGGAAAGAGTACACAATGCAAGCATATTTCTGGAGGAAGAAGTATAATAACAATATAGTAATGTGCCATTACCTTAATTAGTCGACCTGCAATCTCCAATTTTCCATTCAAACTCAGTGCATTTCTGGCATCTTCAAGACGTGAGAACTGCAAGCAACTGATTCAATGAGTTTGATTTATTCAATACAATTACAAGGAATCATATCCAGCATCTGATAAGAACAACTGGAATGGAATTGAACTAAAAGGAAGGGGAAAAAAAACATTGCCAACCCAACTTGATTTCATTGGCCTTTCAGGTTTTAAAATATTGTAACCTGAAATTGTATGATGGGTTGACCCTTAACCCAACCCATGCCCGCACCTAGCTAAGGATTTGGCAGTTAGAAGTTTTTGGTGCCCACTCTTCTCAGTTTGAGTTGGGAAGAAACTTGAAAGACAATACACTAGATTCTTAATAAATTCTGGTGCAGTAGAAGACCCAATCAAGAAAAGGTGTGCATTTGTTTAGAGTCGATTTCAAATTCCATCTCCAGCTACAACGAACCGGCAGTTGACAGTTTTCTTTTTCAAATTTCCCCTCCATGGATTTGGACTTGCAAATAAATATAAATGACCTTTGGCTTAATATAACTAGCTGCATGCAAATATTTATATATTTATTCTATATCCAGGCTGCTTAAGTTGAAAGTTGTAGTCAAACAGACCTGCACAAATCCAAAACCTTTGCTGTTGTTAGTTTCGTCAACAGGTAACTGAACCAGTTCTACAGGACCAAATGCTCCAAAAACCTGCATATATATATATATATATATCACATATTAAAGGGTGAAAGTCAAAATGCAAAAAATATTCACAATTACAAAGACGAAATTAGGAAACTGTGAACAGAAGTGCTCAAAAGCAACCAAAAAAAATTACATAACCAACAGCAAGCTTGATTATGTACATTATCTGATGCCAACATTAGAACTGTGTCAGAAAAGTACTCACCTGGCGGAGATCGTCTTCTTTTATATTGGTATGGAGATTTCCAACATACAGCCTTCTAGCTCCGCCAGAATATGGGCCTATCATCCCACCTGGTCCGCTAACCACAGATGTTGATTGAACCAGATTCTTCTCAGCCTCTGATGGCTTCACCATCACTGGTTGACCAAGAAGAGGCTGACCAGAAAGTGCAATCGCCATAGGTACCGACATTGCATCATAAAACTCAATATACCTACAAACTAGAGAACATTAGACTCTTAGATAATCAAAAACCAATTGCCACATACAGATGCATATAATAGCAAAGTTTACTGGAGTCTCCACTCATAGTTCAAAACGGGGAAAGAAAAATGTCCTATATGATATATCTGATCATCTTGACCAACTAGAATAACCTATAGTATATACTATATGTACTGCTTTTAGTACAAAGGCGATCAATATCATCGAAAACTTTCTAAGATGATGGTGCAAATTTTGAACATTGTAAATGATGTGATGATTCTTCGTACTGCACAAGAAAACGTTGGAACAAGGAAGATGAAGCCATCAAGAAGGAAGCAGGAACTGCCAACCATTCCAAAAATGACCAAGCGACATTAAAAGGATAGTCTTATTTGAACCTTAGAATGAAATCTTTGGCTTCTTGTCAACACAACCACATAAACTTTTTTCATTAACAACCGGATAATTTAAGACTCTCACATCATCTTAAACGCTACCATTGCATAATGGGTAATTGTTAAAGTGAACCTTCTGTTAACAACCATCCAAAGCTTTTGTCACCAAGACATAAGAAAAACTTACCCAACTCCCTTAGAACGTCTTGAATTGCAATCCATAATGAGGCGTACATCGCGGACCTAAAAATACACAATTCAGAGCTATTAGATAGACAATCATAGAAATATACTTACAATTACATCCGCAGAAGCACTTAATGGAAAACGTTATGGGTTTCCAGTATTTGGTTTAGTTGCAGCACTGCATCAGATAGTGTTAGGGTGCCCTTGAGAGCAGAAGGTGAAAATATAATGCATTTTATCAAAAGTCCCTTTAGCAAATAGTTTAAGATATTTATCCACCATCCTCTATGATTTGTTAAATGAACATGAGATAAATAAACGAGTAATGTACAAACCTTGCCAGCCCTTGAGAAGAACTCGTATACATCTCTTTCATCTGCCTTCAGACAAATCTGTCAAAGTTGTTCACCAAATCTTAATAGTTAGATATGAGAATGTGAAAGATAGAAAGTTCAAGATAACACCATAGAATGCATGCACCAACATATTTGCTCTTCTATGGACCTGACTTGTGCTTCACTGCTTCAGCTTCCCAATCTCAAGCTCAAATTTGCAGCTAAATTTTTTCAATTTCGGGTTTCAGACTTTCAGTCAATCGCAGTGTTTGAAAAAATCGGCCTAGGCGGGCGGCTAGGCGGCTAGGCAGTCGCTATGCGGGCGCTAGGCGGCTAGGATGTCGCTAGGCGGGTGCTAGGCGGCCAGGAGGTCGCTAGGCGGGCGCTAGGCGGCCAGGCGGTGGCTAGGAGGGCGCTAGGCGGCTAGGGGTCGCTAGGCAGCTAGGCAGGGGCCTAGGCTGGTTGGGTCTTTTTTCGGTGCCGAACTCGGAGGACGAAGCAGTGACTGCGAGTGCAAGTTCCGTCCTCTGCGAGTGCAAGCTCGGTGTTCGTAAAGAATATATTTAAACAGTATAGCCGTCCGGCTATACCTTTAAAATATTCGAACATATTTAAATAGTATAGCCGCCCGGCTATACCATTTAAATATACAATTTTGCCATATTATTTTAGGGTTTAGGTTAGGGCTTCAATGTACTCAGCGAGCCTCATTTTGTTAACGTTCTTAACCTACAACACGAGCATATATACAACAGATTTAAATACAAAATTAAAGAAGCCAAAAGCTTAATATATTTTTGGTTCCTAAGCAGATATCAAGCCTAGTGAGTACCATCATCCATTCTCGTTGAAGGTCAGGATCTGCTGCATATGCTCGCAAGCCAGTTGCAAGCAATGTCCCACGCTTTATTCCAACCCAAATGCTCTTCATCAACAAGCACTCTAATGAGCTCAGCTATTTTTCAGAGATGGGTGAGTATCGCTGAGCAGCAGAGCACCCTAATTAATACAAGGAAAAATGAGCCGAGGAAAAAAGGAAAAACAGAAAAGCAAACCTGAAGGACTGTCATTGTAGCTAAACAAGCTGCCAGATTGGGTATTCCCAACATATGATAAAACACGTACTATTAAGACTTAGACCTCTCTGGAAATTCATCAAAGTTACTGTGAGCCCCTTTAAATCTCCGAATTATGTCTTGTATGGATGCTGAGACAGAGACATAGATTGTTCCTTCAATCGCAAATCATTGAACGCATTGAGCAAATCATTGAGCATTTCATCCCAATTCTCCTCCACATGCTGATCAAATGAGTATCCATCAACAGGAAGAACCAAATTGTCCAAACCACGAAGAAATTCAGGAAATTCAAAACCCGAGCGCATAAATTTACTAATATGAGACGCAAGCTTTGATATTTCATTGTCGTTCTCATCGAAACCAAAACAATCTCTGGCGTCCAACATCACCAGATCTTTGCATCCGCACAACAACATGACAAGACTATCCCGACTAACTTTTGCACCCTTCAAATTTAAGTACTTGATAAGGCACCAACTTCACAATTGATGATGCCTCACGTCCTTGAACAGAGCCTTTGGACAAATCTAAACCATAAAAATTCTTCCAATGTGTTTGTATAGATAAGCCACTTATCTATCTCAAGCCCCAAATCTTTAGTTCTGGCTCACTAGAACATAAACATGACCAGAAAACAAAAAGATAGTACAACCACCTCAAGAACAACTCAACAAAACCTTAGTCCCTGTACTTGCTATTATCTATCTAAAGCCCCAAACCTTAGTCCATGTACTTGCTATTATCTACCTTTAGTTGCTATTATCCATGACAACAAGCAAAGCACGACTATGTGTTTCTGTGTCTGTATGTTCCCCAATTCTGATTCAGTTAGGATTTCCAGCTAATCCAACTTAGGCCAAACCAGATTCCTAACAATTACAGACTAAAATCTCTATTGCTCCCTCTAGTAATAACTTTTCAACCACATCTTTCTCTTTTCAGGATGCAAAACACATAATCAAAACCCAGTTTTCATATAGCGGCCATCAGAAATTGAAGCGATTTCATGATTGAGCTAAAGTCAGAAAGAAAAAAATGTATAAAAAAAAAAGGAAAAACGAGGGACCCGCCTAGACCCGCCTAGGCGGCCGCCTAGCGCCTAGGCCTATTTTTCCGACAGCCTAACTGAACAAAAGCACAGTTTATAGGTTTTGAGCTCTGATTATGAACATCATTACCGAATTTAACATTACAGAACAAATCCACCACCTGTTCTAGATGTCTGTGCATCATAGATTTTCCAAAATAAACAAAATATAAAGAGAATTTGGTTAAAACTACAAGTAATCTGAATGCATTCCACTAAAAAGCAGGAAGCAGAGTAATTGGAGACTGAGCTTAGTGAAAAGAAAAACCTTGGGTTGAAGAAACTATCCCACCAGTCAGAGTCTGCGGCTTTGGGCTCGACTGGAACCAAGCTTAAGTTTTTCTTCAATTTCCTATCTTTCTTGCTTTTCTTTGATTTCTTGGGAGACGCCATGAGAGCTCAAATGAGGAATTGCCCACCTCTTTTTTGGCCTTGAACTTGAAGACTTTGATGGGAAGTAATTCAGTGAAGCGAGCTAGGCAGCGAGGGAAATGTAAAGCTCGTATAGCCATTTTTGGCCTTTTTTTTTTTTTTTTTTTTTTTTTTTTTTTTTTTTTTTTTTTTTTTTTTTTTTTTTTTTTTTTTTTTTTTTTTTTTTTTTTTTTTTTTTTTTTTTTTTTTTTTTTTTTTTTTTTTTTTTTTTTTTTTTTTTTTTTTTTTTTTTTTTTTTTTTTTTTTTTTTTTTTTTTTTTTTTTTTTTTTTTTTTTTTTTTTTTTTTTTTTTTTTTTTTTTTTTTTTTTTTTTTTTTTTTTTTTTTTTTTTTTTTTTTTTTTTTTTTTTTTTTTTTTTTTTTTTTTTTTTTTTTTTTTTTTTTTTTTTTTTTTTTTTTTTTTTTTTTTTTTTTTTTTTTTTTTTTTTTTTTTTTTTTTTTTTTTTTTTTTTTTTTTTTTTTTTTTTTTTTTTTTTTTTCCCCCACACAAGATCACCCTATGGAAATTCTGCCTGAACAGCCAGCAGTATTACCCTACAGGCCCAGAAGGATGGACCCCAATCCATTCCCTCCACCTGCAAGAGGAAGGAGAGGCAGAGGGGGAAACTACCCTTATGCTAACAATGACAGGAACAGGCAGGGGGCAAACTGGAGGAACCACCCAGGCCTGGAAGAGCCGGAGGAGCACAGGGAAGAAGTTCTGCCTAGACCATATAGGGCAGAACCACGAATTAATTATGCCCAGCCAGAACAGGGACAAAACCTCCTCCCTGTTAATGCTCTAAATGACGTGGGGGCATTGCAGAGGATGATCAGGGAAATGATGGAGCCTGAGGCCAGGAGGGGGGAAAGACCCACCTATAGAAAGCCATATCCACCTTACATTGATCAGATACCCTTGTCCCCAGGTTTTAAAGTACCAAACTTCACTTTATTCAACGGAGAGGATCCTCATGCTTCATCAGTCGAGCACGTAGGCAGATTTTCTACCCAATGCATAGCCATAGAGAATAACCCACTGTTAAAGCTAAGACTTTTTGGGAATTCTCTCTCTGGACAAGCTTTCACTTGGTACACTAATCTGCCAGCAAATTCTATTCAGACTTGGGAACAAATGGAGAGCGTCTTCCATGACTACTATTACAGGATTCAGCCAGAAGTCACCATCAGTGACCTTGCCGCTCTCAAACAGAGTGAGGATGAACCTGCCCAAGACTTTATAAACAGGTTCAGGAAGCTCAAAATAAAGTGCCGAATCCCCATGGAAGAAAGACACTTCATCCAAATGGCTCAGGCTGCCCTCAAAATTTCTCTGAGAAAAAGATTTGATGGGATGCTGTTTGGAGATCTGGCAGAACTGGCAAATAAAGCGGCCAAGTACGAGGAATTGCTCAGAGAGGAACAGCAGAAGAGAAACTCTTCCAAAGGCACGTATTATAAATCCCCTTCTTCCTCAATACATATGATTGAAGTAGAGTCAGAAGAAGATGCAGAGGAATCGGAGGAGAGAGAGGTTGCAGTTGCGGAAATGGCAAAATTAAAGCATCCCATCAGTTGTAAAACTTTTACAAAGCCTCCAAGGGATCAGAAGCCGCCACCATTCACAGGAGGGTTTGTTCCAAACAAACCCATGCAGAACAAGGTGTATTCCTTTGATCTGACCAAAGTAGATGCCTTGTTTGATGAAATGTTGCTACAGAAAGCAATAGAGACGCCTCACAGAATGCCCAAACCAGAAGAACTCAAGGGCAGACAGTATTGCAGATGGCACAATTCTTGGAATCATTCTACCAATAGTTGTGTTGTTTTCAGAGATGTCATACAGGAAGGGATAACAGCAGGAAGGCTAAAGCTAGCAGAAAAACCTCCATCCGTCACCACAGATCCTTTTCCCCCGCCACAAGTTAATATGGTCAACCTAAATTGGCCAGAACGAAAGAAGGACAGACCAGCTATAGAGGCTGGCTCCAGTAGAAGCAGAATAGTTTCAAAAGAGACTATGGAAAGACCAAAAGCAACCATTTCAGCTGGAATAGTGCTCTGCAGCAGGTGCAAGTGTGAGGCTGAGCTGGAAGTAGTCCTGGAAAAACAGGAGCTGCCCACTCCAAGTGTTTTTGACCGGATTGGAACCACGCCCCATGATAGAGCCAGACAAAGAAACTACCCTAGGCCTGTCCAATCCAGCAGAAGAATGACTAAGCAGCCCAAGGAGGAAATATCAATAAAAGTGCCCGGAAGTGATAAACCTTTGGCGGCCATCATTGAAGGCAGGTGGTATTCTGTCGGGAAGAATGGCAGACCAACAATGGAGCTAACAAGAACTCAAAGGAGGAGGGTTCAGAGACAGTATTGCACATTCCTCAATAACGAGAAAAACGCACAGGTGCTTCCAGAGGCCAATTCTGCCAAAAAAGGGAAAGAGCCAGAAATACTTCCCCAGACAGAACAAGCAATCTCTCAACCACAGAAGTTGACGAAAGCAGAATCCTCAGAGAAACCTTCTATCCATCCTGCCTCCACCTCAGAAGATCTACTTAAAACTCCCCAACCAGAGGAAAAAACCGATCCTATTCCAGGAAAAGGACAAGAAGACTGGGCTGAGGGATATGAAGAGGAGCAGCTGGATTATGAACCATCTGCAGATGACCAGAATGCGCTCCTCGGAACAGAAGAACTGGGAGAATGGACGGAGGAATACGATGGAGAACAGATGGATTATGACGGAGAGTTGGATGCAGAAACTGAGGCCTTTGGTGCAGAATTGGAGGACTTGTTACGTGCTGACCTAGGCATCAATATGGTGTTCATTCTGCCAGAAAAGTTCTGGGCGGTAGAGGGACAGAAGAGCACTCTGGACGGAGACGTATTTTCCCAAGGAAGTTTTGAATGCAGGTTGGCAGAAGCGGAAGAAATGCCAGAACAGCAAACAGGCAATCCCAGGACAGAAGGAACAACCAACAAGCTGGCTATAGGTCAGCTTTGCTTCTCCAAACCAACCAAAGAAATGGCAAACCACCTCAGACCCTTGTTTATAACAGCAAACTTTGGGGGTGTTCCTATCCCCAAAATTATGGTAGATGGAGGTGCAGCCATCAACCTTCTGCCTCACAGAATGCTGAGCAAAATGGGCAGAACAGAAAAGGATTTAATTCCAACCCGCCTGACCGTCACCAATTTCGCAGGGGGCATCACCAAAACCCTTGGGATCCTGGACGTGGATGTTTTAGTAGGAAGCAAGAAGCTGAAGGTTGCATTCTTTGTGGTAGATACTACTTCTACCACTTACAATGCACTGCTTGGCAGAAACTGGATTCATCAGAGTCTATGTGTTCCTTCCACTCTTCATCAACAGTTAGCTTTATGGAATGAAGAAGGCTACATGGAGATAATAGAGGCCGATCCACGGCCATTCCTACCTTCTGCCATGTGTTGTGAGGCAAGGTACTATCATGATGACCTTGGTCCTTTCACCTTCTTTGGAGTCAACCAGAACGGCCGCCCCCATGGTGTCACGGCCCAGAGGCTCATTGAAGAAGGTCTAACCAATTCTTTGGAGGATTGGAACAGACCTTTTGTTCTAAACTTCCAAAACTTGATGTTTAGTCCCAATCAACAAGAAAAGGATCGAGCTGCAACAATCCGGTCCATTACAAAAAGATTGTTGATATACTGGGAGGAAAGAAAGTTTTTTGCGCAGAATCCAGCCATCAATATGGCAGAATTCACTCATGAAAGCACGGAAGGCTAGGAGGAAGAGGAACTACAGGAGGAAGTGTTAGATTTTGCACCAGCCGCACTGGATGACTCTCTGCCAGAGGTAGAAGATCCTTTGCAGGAAATAAACTTAGGAACAGGGGAGGATCCAAGGCCTACCTTTATCAGCGCACTATTGAAAGAACCACTTAAGAATGAACTCGTTGCACTTCTACAAGAGTTCAAAGATTGTTTTGCTTGGCATTATCATGAGATGCCAGGATTAGATAGGGAATTGGTAGAACACAGGCTGCCAATCAAAGAGGGATACCTTCCAGTCAAACAGGCCAGAAGAAGGATGTCCATGGACACAGAACTGAAAGTCAAAGAAGAAATAGAAAGGCTGCTCAAGGCAGGATTCATCAGGCCTGCCATCTATGCTGATTGGCTAGCTAATATTGTACCAGTTCTAAAAAGGAAAACTGGGGCAGTCAGAATCTGCGTGGATTACAGAAACCTGAATGAAGCCTCTCCCAAGGATGAGTACCCTATGCCAATGGCAGACATGCTAGTAGATGGAGCTGCCCACAACCAGATGCTATCTTTTATGGATGGCAACGCAGGTTACAATCAGATCATGATGGCAGAAGAAGACATCCACAAGACAGCCTTCATGTGTCCAGGGCATATAGGTGCTTTTGAATACACTGTAATGCCTTTTGGCTTGAGAAATGCAGGGGCTACCTATCAAAGGGCAATGAATTCTGTTTTCCACGATATGATAGGACATTCCTTGGAAGTTTATATTGATGATGTGGTGATTAAATCACCAGAGGAGGGAAACCACATGACAAATCTAAGAAGAGCATTCCTAAGAATGAGGCAACATAAACTGAAAATGAACCCAAAGAAGTGCGTTTTTGGAGTTCAAGCGGGAAATTTCCTAGGATTCTTGGTCCACCAAAGAGGCATAGAGATCGACAAAAACAAAAGCAAAATCCATCATAGAAGCTTTGCCGCCTAGGAACAAAAAGGAATTGCAAAGTCTCTTAGGAAAAATTAATTTTTTAAGGAGATTTATATCCAATTCTGCAGGAAAGATCCAGCCTTTCTCTTCTTTGTTAAGATTGAAACAGGAACAAACCTTTAAGTGGGAAGAACAGCACCAACAAGCTTTGAGGAAATCAAGCATTACCTCTCAAATCCACCAGTTCTGTCCCCACCAAAGAGAGGCAGACCACTCAAGCTCTATATATCTGCATCAGAAGTATCCATTGGAAGTTTATTGGTTCAGGATAACAAGGAAGGAAAGGAACAAGCGGTCTACTACCTGAGCAGAACTCTAACAGAGGTGGAAAGAAAATATTCTGCAATTGAAAGACTTTGCCTAGCCTTGTACTTCACTGCTGTGAAGCTCAGACATTACATGCTGCCATACACCATCTATATCATTGCCAAAACAGATCTGATCAAATACATGCTAACAAGACCAATGCTAAGAGGCAGAATTGGAAAATGGACCTTGGCCTTGACAGAATTTGCCTTCAGATATGTTCCTCAGAAAGCCGTCAAAGGACAAGCTGTGGCAGACTTCCTAGCAGATCATCCCGGAGAGGAGATTGAAAATATGGACTCTTTAGACATAGCAAATGCAGATCTATTAACCAGAGCTCACACCTGCCTCAACAATCCTATCTACTCAGTTCATCTTGCACCTTGGAAGTTATACTTTGATGGATCAAAAACTGATATAACTTCCGGGGCAGGAATTGTTTTGGAAGAACCACTTGGAATCAGACACTGCTACTCTTTCCAATTGGATTTCCAATGCACCAACAACAGGGCAGAATATGAGGCCTTAATCATTGGCTTGGAAATGCTGGTAGAACTAGGAATCCAATCTGTGGAAATTCTGGGAGATTCCATGCTGGTTTTAAAACAAATTGCTGGGGAATACAAGTGCCTAAGCCCTTCTTTGGCTGTCTACTTGGTGGCAGCTAGGAATCTTCTGACAGAATTCAGAGAAGCCACTTGGGAACATATCCCAAGGGAAGAAAATTTTGCAGCCAATGAATTGGCCCAGGTGGCAACAGGCATACAAATGCCCGAAGAGTGTGTACAAAGAATCATCAGGATAGGAAAGAAAAGCCTACCATCTGTTCTGGCCAGGGGGATGGAGATAGATGTCAATTCTGCCACAATCACTGAAGATGATTGGAGAAATCCTATCATGACCTATCTACGATATCCAACTTTGCCCTCTGAGAAGAGAGTCAGAATCATGGCTTTAAACTACCTTATGTGGAATGAAGATTTGGTCCGAAAAAGTAAGGATGATGTGCTTTTAAGGTGCCTCGGAAAGAAAGAATACATGAAAGTTATGGGGGAAACCCATGAAGGAATCTGTGGAGCGCATCAAGGTGGGAGAAAAATGTGCTGGTTAATTAGAAGATATGGCTACTTCTGGCCAACCATGATGAAAGATTGCATTAACTATTCCAAGGGATGTGAATCTTGTCAAAGACACGGCCCAGTCCAGCAGGCTCCATCAGTTCCCATGAATCCAGTGGTAAAGCCATGGCCCTTTAGAGGATGGGCAATGGATCTCATTGGCAAGATCTATCCAGCCAGCAGCCAGCAGCACTGCTTTATCATTGTTGCCACAGACTACTTCACTAAGTGGGTGGAAGCCAAGGCTGTTAAATCCACTACATCTCAAGAGATCATCATTTTCATAGAAGAACAGATTATACAAAGATTTGGCATCCCAGAATCAATCACAACTGATAGAGGATCCTCTTTCATATCTAGAGAAATGCTGGACATGGCAGAGGCATTCAAATTCAGATTGCTCCAGTCCACTCCTTATTATGCCCAAGCCAATGGACAGGCGGAGTCAAGCAACAAAGTGATCATCAACATTATCAGGAAAATGCTTGAGAAGAATCCAAAACAATGGCATGAAAAGCTGTCAAAACTCTGTGGGCATATAGAACTTCAAAAAGAGAAGCAACTGGCATGACCCCCTATGCGTTAACCTACGGCCATGATGCAATTCTACCTATGGAGATAGCCGTTCAGTCCCTCAGAATTGCTCACCAACATAACTTAGTAGGGAGAGAACTACTCCCAGGCCATGCTGCTGGAACTGGAAGGATTGGATGCAGGCAGAATTGACACTCTCAACAAACTCCTGGCAGGAAAACAAGCTGTATCAAGGGCTTACAACAAAAGAGTTAAAAACAAGAGTTTTGAAGAAGGAGAGATAGTCTGGAAAGCGGTTCTGCCCCTTGGAACACATGTGGCTGGTTATGGAAAATGGTCACCTACATGGGAAGGCCCTTTCATAATCAACCAGATCCTTGGAATGGGGGCATATAGGTTGCAGGATAGGGACGGAGAAATTCATACTGCCCCAATCCATGGCAAATGGTTAAAAAAGTTTTATCCAACCATGTGGGATTCACAGGCTGTACAAACAGACCCTGGGATAGACATAAGACTACACTGAAGATCTTTTGATTCTTTTAAAATTACCTTTGTTCTAAGATTATTTTAAGTTTGTTCCCTTCTGTACTTTTACTTCTACTTCTGTTTCTGTTTATTTCATCAATAGAAATCAAAAACTAGAATTGCAACAAAAAATAAACTTTATTTAAAATAAAAAAAAGTCATAGGGCCTTCCCCATGACAAGTTGTTCATCAAAAAAAAATAATAAATCAAAAACAAAATCAAAATCCTAATTTTCTGAGAGTCTCTTGCAGATTGGTCTTCTTGATAGAAAGTTCCTTTTGAAGCAGCACACCCTGATGAATTGAAGCCTCTGCAATCTCCAGGGCTGGCCTAGAAGCTGCAACCATGTTCTGCACAAGGAAAGTGGCCTTGGTCTTGGAGCTCAATCCAGCCCCGAGCCTGTGCTGCACTTCCCGGCGCTCTGCCAGCTGTTTTTGAAGCTCCGCAATCTGTTTCTCCAATTTATCCGCAGTAGCTTTGGCTTCTTTATACCCCACAACCATCTGGTCCAGTTCTGCTTTCTGCTTTGCAAAATCAGCCAAGTTGGCTTCATGAGTGGCCTTGCAGAACTCAGAGGTTTTGAAGGTGGGCCTTAGATCTTCATAACGGTCGTGAAGGTTGAGCACATCCCTCGCCAAGACAAGGCTCATCTCGAGTATAGGTTTTGGGGCCATGTTCTGTCTGTGCAGCAGATCCAGATCCTTCATCAGCTGGTCAAAGGCCTCCCTGCCCTCATCCAGCTCCAGTTTAGTAGACTGCCAGATCTTCAGTCTCTCCATTGCTTCTTCCACTGCCCTGGACCTTATCTTGCCTACAGGGGAGCTGAGCTTTTCCAATTTGTCTAGCTGGGCATCTAGGTCCATGGCTTCAAAGAGGCCGTGGCAGATGAACCTGCAAGGGAATGAATAGGCATCTGCAGAAGGAAGCATAAGTCAAAAACAAGGTAGAGACAAAAAAGAAGAAGACAAAAGTGCAAAAACACTCACAGCAACAATCGGAGGTTGCAAAGGGGTGGTCCTCACCGCCAAGGTCCCAGCAGCTTTTTGTATTTCTACCTGTAAAGATTTGAGGGTCAGAGAGACAAAGGAACAGAACAAAACCACATAAGATAGGGAAAAGACAGAGTAAGGGCAGAACTCACCATAAACCCAGGAACGGCAGCAGCTACTTCTACTACGGTTTCAGGAGCAGGAACCACTTGTTCTGCCTGCTCCCCAGGCTCTGATCCGGATTGTTCCGCTTGGTCCTCAGCTGCTGGAGCAGCAGTAGAATGTTCCGCCTCTGGATCATCAAAGAGGGCCACCTCTGAGTTAGTTAGCCTTGTCCCTATATCTTCCTGCTGCTTCCGAGCCAAGGCAATGCTCTCCGCTATCACCTCAGCAGGGATTTCCTCCTACAAATGCACAGAAGTCAGAACAGAAGAAATAAAAGTGCAGTAGGAACAAATACTGCCGAATATATATAGACTCACCTCTTCTTCCACTGTCTTGGCCTTTTCTTGAGGCCCCTCTCCTACTTCTTCTAGCTCTTCCAGCTCCTTTTCTTGCTCCACAGCTTCGAAAGCCTCTCTTAGATCGTCATCCGTGCCAGAAGTGGTGGTAGGAACTGCCCTAGTTCCCTCCGGGGCCACGTATTCTTCTACAATCTTCTTTCTAAGTATTTTTGACTTAGTAAGAGGAGGAGAAGGACTTCCAGCTGCAACAAACAGAAAATGAGTCTTAAAGATTATGACAGAACAGGATTATGAAGAACTCAAAAAGGAAACTGTCAAAGAATACCTAGAGTTACAGACTGGGCAGTTTCTTTTCTTTTTCTTTTAACAGGAGAAGTGGCCTCAACATGAGTCTGTTCTACCTGATCTTTCTTTCTTCTTCCTCTTCTTCCTCTTCTCCATCCCCGGAGGGCAACTCTAGATCCCCAGCAGCAATAACAGAATTAACTATGCAGAAAACAAAAATCAAGGGTCAATCCAGTAGAGGAGTAGTAGGAGAAGCTGAACAAACATCAAAACTTACCAAACACCTCTCCACTTTGTGTCAAAGAGGGATCTGAATACAGACAGAAAAAGATTAGCATCATCACTAAAAACAGAATGGGCAACAACAGACAGAATTGAGAGATTACCTTCTATAACTTGCATGTTGATGTCTTTGATGGTCTGCACCATGAATTTGTGAGTCTCCTCGTCTGTATGAACAGTCCAATTGTCCCAGCCCTTAAAAAGGACCTGAAGTGCGGTGCTAGAAGCAGGCAGGTCACGGAATCTGGCTTTCCACCAAGCATCAAACTCCGCAGAACTGCAGGAGTTCAATTCCCATGAAGGATAAAGGGCATCTGCACTATTGTTGATCTTATTCACTGCACACCTGACATCTTTGTGGACCTCCAAGTCATCTGCATCCCTCCAAGAAGAGCCCCGATTGCAGCTTCTGTATGACTTGAGGGGTATGAGTTGAGGGCAGCCAAGCTGCCTTGCACAGAAGTTGGGATGGTAGACTTCCGCCCATAAATGATAATTTGGAGGCTTTCCTCCTCCGTGAGGCAGATCTGTGGGTAAGGTCACACTCAGGAACTTCTTCCTGAAATCAGTTCTGGCAGATTCTTCTTCTGGCTCCTTCTCAAACAGACGATGTCCAGGTTGAAACCAAGGATAGGTTCTCCTGATCACCACTTGCCACTGCGCTGCAGACCTCTTGGTACAATGCCTGAAGATCATCAGGTACTCATCAATTGACCTCTTGGGGACTTCTGCTGACAACAATGGTTGAGCCAAAACCTGGTCCTCAGGCAGAACTATATCTGGAAAACTTAACTCAGGAAAATAGACCTGCAGCCAGATCTGAATCATCCAGAAGGCCCCAGGAGCAGACAGATTTAGCGGATACTCCAAGGTGGCAGTATGCAGGTTCTTGAATAAATGGGCCAGAACTGTAGGCCCAAGTCCAACATCAGTGTGATTATGCAGAGCTTCTGCCAGATGTCTATACTCAAGCAGAACTGCAGAAGAACGATTGGGCAGAATAAACCTGTTCAGCCAATACAGGAGAAACAACATGTGCTGCTGATCTTTGTCCTTCTCAGCACTAAATTTTCTGAGATAATTGGAGAAGGAGCAATTCTGGTTGATCAGGGCTGGAGAAATGTTGAATGGCTTGGCTAGCATCTGCTGGTCTTTCTTCCTGTGATAATCACCAACAGCATCAACAGGTCTTCCATGAGGCCTAAAACCAAAAATCTGAGCCATATCCAGCAGAGTTGGAGCCATGGGGCCTATACGAAAATCGAAAGTGTTACTGGCAGAATTCCAGAAACACAGAGCAGCAGCAAGCAGGTTCTCATCCCTGTTGATAGATTGCCTAGATAGGAGTATGGCGTCATAAATTCCAGCCCGCCTCCAGTGAGCCCCAAACGGGGAAGAAGTCTGTCAATCCAATCAGCCCATTTGACTGGACTGTTTCTCACTTCACTAGACGGGAACGAATGGCTCAAATTCTTGCTAACCCAAGAGTGAGAAGCCAGAGCAGAAGAACTCTCGAAACATAGAGGGGCCTCAACATCCTTCTTCATCAGCTCTGCCATCTCGGGAGGAACGGGACCAAACCAGTGAGGCCCCAGCACCAAGGTGTTTTCGAACAAATGGAGGACATTTTCGTCTAGGTTTTTCTGGGCAAAAGGATGGAGCTTGCTCCTAACCTCTATCGTATGCTTATCAATCCCAGCCCCAGTAATGTAATCTGGAAGAACTGGAACAGAGGAAGATTGAGCACGAGATTTCGGGGAAGACATTTCTCGGAATTATTTTTCTGAAAGGGAGGTTGTCACGATAGGCAAGGCAGGTTTCTTTTAGCAAAAGGGAATTATCGAAAGAAAAGCCCAGGGGAAACGAAGTTTGAAAGTACTAGGTTTTCAGGTGAACAGGAACAATGGTTTTTTGAAAGTCTTTTAAAGAAGCCAGAAAACGTGGGAAAGAGAAGACAGCGACGTGGAGAAGACAAAGCGTCATCTGATATTGACTAGCTAATAAAAGGCTAGTAACTAAAAACTGCTCCACACGGGCACTAGCTTAGTGGGGAAGCGTGGCAGACGTGGGATAACGGAGGAATTTACCACGCGCCAATTTAATGGCCATGTCATTTAAGTCTGAAACCGTTCCAAAAACGATTCAGACTTAAGGGGGCATTGTTTGGGCCTAAAAATTGACACACCCAGCCCAGCGAAAATGAGGCCCAAAATCTAAGAAAAGCCCACCCAAAACCTGGGCCTCACAGCCCCATTGTGATGAAAAGGGGGAGCCCAGAGATAGGAAACAATCCCACGTGACATCTCTGGGATGAAGAAAAGTCAACAATGGCAACTGTCATGAAAGAAGTGATTGAAAAGTTTATGTCATCAAGCTGTTCTGAAAAAACCTTGAAAAATCAGAAGATAAAAATCCCTCTTACATACATATATATATATATATATTAAATCAGAGATTTTTTCTACTCTACAGAGAGGGTAATTCTCCCAAAGAGATAAGCAAGCTACAAGCTCAGAGAGAGATAAGCAGGAAAGTAGGGAGCTGTCCAGAAAAGAAATCAAACTAACCATCACGGGTGAAATCTCACAAGGGGCAGTTGAAATTGAGAAAAGAGATTAGGTTCTTTCTCAAGAAAAACAGGGAAGTGATTGCCTATTTTTTGAAAGCCTATCTGCCAAACTGATAAAATCCTACTTTCTTTCTTTCCATTTTAAAAGAGAAAAAAAGGGGGAGATATCTTCTGAAAGAGATTTGCCGCCCATTATTAATTTTCACTATAAATACAAGAAGGAGTGAACAGGGTAAAACACACAAAAAATTCATCATCCAATCAAACAAAGATCTTACACAAGAAAACCGTCAAATAGACAAGTTCAAAATCAACCAACAAGCCCACTTGAATTTCAAGTGAAACCAGCTCCAGATCAGAATTCCCAAGGTCCAGATTTAAGAAGCAAGTCATTCAAAACGAGATTTCTCTCGTTACAAATTTGGTTCAGCAAAAAACCAAAACAGGTAGAGTTTGAGCTTCCTCCAGATATGGAAAACCTCAACAAAATTCACAGTGCAGTCTCTAGCCCACTGAAGCCCTCAAAAAACAGTCACTCCTGCCCGTGCAGACTGAGAAAACTGCAGTTCTGCCCACTCAAAAGCTTCACAAAAGCATGAGGTACATTGAAGCTCTGCCAGAATCAGCCTTTGGTATCGATTTACAAGTTGAAGCTTAGCAGTCAAGGTTGTCAACGGTCCAGTCCAGCCCAAGCGTTTCCAGTCCAGCCCGGGCATCTCCAGTCCAGTCCAGACCAGAACCTTCCATCTCGACAGAAATAAAGTCCCAGCTATATCTTCATCTCTCTCTAGCATAAGCATTCATTGCTATAATTTTGTAAAAGGCAGTTCTGCCAAAAAACAGTTTAAATCCCATCAACCATTCTGACCAAGACAACCTCTTTATACTGAGATAAATTGTTAAAGTCCTCACCAGTCTGAGGCAGGAAAAGAACTTACTTGGGAGATATTCCTCACCCAAATTCACAATCGCTTGTTTGCAGAAATCAGTAACTTGGGACGCAAGTTATCCATTCCAAACTAAGTCTGCTAGAAATGCTTGCTAGCAGTGGCACGCTCGCACACCAAAGAAAGCTAACTTGTTGACCAGTTTATGGTTCTCAAGGCAGTGGGGAACTTTGCCCTTCCATCATAGGAGTAAACGCAAAACGGGTGAACAACTTTTATATTATTTTTTTCTTTATGTCGTTAAATGAACATGATAATATTTTATTTATTTATTTAGAAAACATATAATGCTTAATGAAGTTAATAAAAAGTTGAATTAAACATTTTTAAAAAAAAAAAGAAAAAAAAAAGGGTGTAGTCGGGGAGGGGACAAGCTACATAGCGATTGTAGAAGTGGGAACAACCTAGTAACCCTATCAATCTCTATCCCCAACCATTTTCCCCACTGACACCCAACTCTCCAAACCACACTTACCTCCCCAACTCCAATCCACCCACGTCTAATATATATAATAAAAGTCAATGCAGCCTTACCACTCCGCAATGGTCCTTCCCACTTCTCCACCCATTGAGTAACTCCTCCCCCACTAGACTATGCCCTTCTTTTCTTTTTCTTTTCAAGTTTTATTTTTATTTTTATTTTTTCTAATGATATATTTTAGTTTAATTGAACTTTTAATGTATTTTAAAATTAATTCAACTTTTTATTAACTTGAAAATTTTTTATAGGTTTTCAAAATAAAATGAAAAAAGATTATCATGTTCATTTAGTGGCAACTTTAATGGAACGGCCAAATTGATTAATGGTCTTAAACACAGGGATCAAATTGGCCAAATTGAAAACATATGGACTAAATTGGCCAAAGTGATAACACACAGGGACTATTTTGATATTAAAGCCAAAGAAATAATATAAAAGTGAAGTAAAAAGAACTTAATGTATAGCAAGGGTAGAATAGGAAAGAGAAAGAACAAAAAAGAAAAAGATTGATTAAAAAATGTTAAAAAGCAAAATGTGTTATAAAACTAGAGAGGGAAAATGTAAAGAGAATTGTTATGCTAAAGATAAAGTTTCACCATGTTTATTCTTTTCTTAATCTTTGGTAGAACCACCTATTTATAGGCTTACAAAATAGGAGATTGAATACCATCATTTACAATATACCCATAGGTTACAAGCACTAATTACAAATACTTAGTGTATAGGTTACATAAAATCCAATGATGGAATACTAAGAGGTATGGTGGTCATCCACCAACTCATGCATTTACAACACTCCTCCTTAGATGTCCACCATACAATGACATAGTTCCCTCATTAAAAACCTTGCTTGGAAAACCCAGTGGGACAAAACCGAAGCGAAGGGAAAGAGAGTGAAACTTTCTTTTAGATCATTGATATGGTGTTGGATGCACTTATGTTGCCTTGTTAAAACCTTGCTAGGAAAAATCCAGTGGGACAAAAACCTAGTCGAAGGGAAAAAGAGTACAACGCACATATGTTCTGTATGTAGTAGAATTGGGATGCTCCATGCTCCCCCTGATTGATATCTCCCCCTAATTAATATCTCCCTCTAATTTTCATTAACTTCTGGAATTTATGTAACAACCCGATCCTAAATTAATAGTTACTTTTAATTTATTCTAGTAAAAGACCATTATACCCCTAGAATATTTTAAATGGTTTAAAAGTTACCTTTTATTTGGGAAGGAATTTGGGGATTTCAATTGTACCGTTGCGTAGAGCACGTCGAAACGAGTCCGTAGACACGTAGCGGACTCAAATCGAGTTGTAACAAAGAAACGGTGATCAAAAGAAGTTCAATGGCATAACCGTAAATATTTCGAAGTTTAGTTAGTTTTAAACCCAGAATTTCTGCATTTCCCCCGCGCGGGGGGGGCCTCGATCAGACGACTTCTGAAGGTGATTTCTCTCAATTCCAACCACCAATTCAAGCAAGACCAGTCCCGTTAGAACCACCACACTTCCCTCTTCCAGCCCCAATTCTTTGTCGCCCTAATCCACCGTCGTAGTCGCCGGAAACAGCCAAGAAACAGGCGGTGTTGGACAGTTTTTCGTAAACTTTCGCCGACTCGTTCTCCGTCATCTGGCCACCATTTTCGGCGATCCAGGTATGGAAACTCATCTATTTCTTAAGCCCTAGCTGCTGGTTGGGTAGGATTTCAGAAATTTCTAGCGTAGTTAACTTGATCTTGGATCCAAAGTTTGGACGGATTTCAGGTTGAGATTCCTGCCACTTCCGGCCAATTTTTTGGGGTAGGTCCAAGAACAAAAGTGGATCCAATTAGGGTGTTACACCTAGGGTAGGAGTTTTGAGCCGTGATTTGGAGATTTTCCGGTGAAGCGTTATCGCTTTAAGCACCACGCGCAGCCGGCGCGTGTGGAGGCACGTGGGCAGCAGGGTGGGGACCACAATCAATCCCAGAATAATCCCTTAGTCCTCACGAGCGCGTAGGATTTTGCGGATCTTAATTCGGATAACGTTTGAATCCCGAACGGATCTCGCCTAGTGTATGATTTCCGGGTTCAGCATGTTTGAGCCATTGGATCGTAGTCATGTTCAGGTATGTTGACTCAGGTAATTCTAGAATCGTATAATAGTTTATGGATCGTAAAACGGAGTTTCAGATATTTTAGAAACGCCAGCCCTAGAGCTAGGTTTACAATAAACAAGTCCAGACCGAAAGGAGTTATCTAAATCCTGTTATGGGATGAGCAGATAGTTAGTTATAGGTTGCGGCCCGAATAGAAGCAGTATCTCCGAGGCTTGCCAGTTTATAGATCAGGAACAAAGGAAAGAACTACGTGTGGCTTGATCCCTTAGTAAGGGTACGTAGGCAGCCTACAGTTATAAGGTGCAGCCACGAGTCAGAGCCTTTGAGTTTGTGTTATTGTTTTTCAGGGCATTTTGGTCATTTGTGACCCACACCCACCATGTGTTAGTTATAAACAGGGTTCAGCCCGGATTCCAAGGTGGAATTTGGGTCAAGTCCTTTCAATTTAGGCTTCAGAAAAGCTTTGGTAAAAAGTTCGCTAGATTATCTTGTGAACGAATTTGTTTAACTCCAATCTCTTGGCTTTTTTCTGAAATTGTCACCTTTGATGAACCCTTCTCTTATTTGAGCAATACAAGCAACATTGTCTTCACACATTATTATTTATCACATTATTCGACATGTTTTTCACTTTTCAAATAATTGAACTCTTTAGTAGCATCAACAAGTAATCTAATAGTTAGAATATGTTACAACAATATTAAATTTGAATTCAAAATACTCAAACTCTTAGTGTTAATTCTTAATCAAGAATATCGTGGTACTTTATATCCTTCAAGGGGTCGCTTCATGAGATATATCTCAAATATTTCATGAGCTTTGAGGATCTTCATGTACCATACAGTCTTTAAAATATGCATTTAACACATGCTATAAGTTTCGCGTTAAAATAACAACCGTACTTATAGAAATGTGGATGCATCTATGATGAGATGGGAGACTAAAACCATGTCTCTACCAGGAAACCTTATGTCATATTAGTGATCTTATTTCACTTCACAACTACCAATTCGTAACCTTCATACTTTACGTTTGTAATTTGGTGTTTGAGTTATAGGTTTAATATCCCACGCTTCATATTTAGTGATAAATGGAATTGCCTATTTCCATTTTGGTCAATCACTTAACTTGTTGACATTCATAAGGCAATTTAATATAATCATAGCCCTTGATAATTGTAGTAGCTATTAATAAACCAAATGTATCATCAATTCGTGATCCCACAATTCTTATGTGCATGCGCATGCATAATTTATAAGTATATCATTGCTTTGGGTTACCAATGCCTCTTCAGGGGCTGATGTTGTCACTTATGGGACAAACATCTCTTTTACGATGAATTAATTAGAATACGTGGATCATAATCTCATATAGAGCGTTATTTTTTATAAGGCTTGAATTTTTCAAATAATCACCACTTCTAGGGAGTTTAGTTTTTAGAACCTATATTTTTGTCATGCTCATAGTCACTTATTGTCATGTTAATGATTGTGCTACATGAATATCAATCCATGCTTGCATATTCATAACTTTATATATGCATTATCTTGATGAGACAAAAGCGGACCGATTCAACACTATTTCATGATGTTATTCAGGAACTGTCATTTCTCCCCCTAACGGCGGGAAAATTGTCTCAAAATGTAGGAAAATAAACTCACCATCATTATCAATTCAAATTGACTGGATTGGATAATGTGGGAGTTGTGCTTGTAAGCGTCTTGACAAGAGACAAATATGTGACCGTTTTAGTAGGCACATTAAATAAAACTTGTGAAGTGATCCATAATTAAATGTTGTATAGGCTCACAAATATCCCCTTGAATTATTTCAGGAAATAGGGCTTAAAGTCAATTTTTAACTGAGATGATCTTATGGCAGCTTTTATTTGTGAGCATTCTTTGTAATGATATTTATTGGACAAGACAATATTTTGAGTCTTTAAACGATGTCCTTGCAAATTTATAAAAATCTTATGTATCATTGTGGAACATGGATTGCCAAGATAGTCATGCCACAACATAAAAGTTATCCGGTCAATGAACTTCTGGTTCATGATATCATAATCTTTAACTACTTTAATAGTTGTGTAATATTGGGGCCTCATGAACTTTTGGTTCATGACATCATAAACTTCAACTACTTTAATAGTTGTGTAATATTGGGCCTAATTAACTTTTGGTTCATGACATTACAAACTTCCTACTCACAAAAGAAATATGAAGTTTCTTCAATAGACGCCTCTGTCTGTCAATATTGGGGTGGTAATACAAAACATTACCATTGTAAAACGAAATTAACTAATAACCCAACATAAATAAAATAAATAAAATGAGTAAAGTGGTATAAACGATGAATAAAATAAATAAATTAAAGACTATGAAATTCCAAGATAATCCAATATTAATGTGGATTCAATATATAGATAAAACTACAAGTTTAAGAATTGGATTTCCAACCAATTCAGGTTCATATAGGCACAAATAAGTAATGAACTTCAGATTCATATATAGTATTAAGATTCATGAAAAACTATGAACTTCAAGTTCATATCAATATATATTCAAAACTTCATGTTCGAATACGTAAATCTAAATAAATTGAATTATTTTTTTTTTTTTTTTTTTTTTTTTTTTTTTTTTTTTTTTTTTTTTTTTTTTTTTTTTTTTTTTTTTTTTTTTTTTTTTTTTTTTTTTTTTTTTTTTTTTTTTTTTTTTTTTTTTTTTTTTTTTTTTTTTTTTTTTTTTTTTTTTTTTTTTTTTTTTTTTTTTTTTTTTTTTTTTTTTTTTTTTTTTTTTTTTTTTTTTTTTTTTTTTTTTTTTTTTTTTTTTTTTTTTTTTTTTTTTTTTTTTTTTTTTTTTTTTTTTTTTTTTTTTTTTTTTTTTTTTTTTTTTTTTTTTTTTTTTTTTTTTTTTTTTTTTTTTTTTTTTTTTTTTTTTTTTTTTTTTTTTTTTTTTTTTTTTTTTTTTTTTTTTTTTTTTTTTTTTTTTTTTTTTAAAATCCAAAAGAAGACCCAAAAAAGAAGAAGTTAATTGAGCCCATGCAATTTCCCTTTTGTCAATTTAAAATGATTTTCCTGCTCTGGGCTAAAGACTCCGCAGATTTATGTTCCCTAATAAAATATTATTAATGAATTTTCGTATGAATTTCCCATTTCACAATTATTCAACGACATCGACCCTAACCTCATTTTACACAAATCTGAAAGTTCCCTTCATGGTTATCACTTATTCAATTATTTAAAAAGAAAAATTTGAAGAGCATGAGTTTTATGAGAAATATGAAAATTCGTGTAACAGAAAAGACAATTGCACAATACAATGTCAATATTGGTTCAACTCAAAATGTGTAGTGGGTAAGCCATTAGCTATTGGTGTAGTGCTACTTCCCTTTCACAATATTCGGTAGCGATGGGTACAAGAAATGGCCCTAGATCCCCAAAAGTTGTGAAGAACAAAATCAATGTATAGGAGCTACCTATTAGCCCATTCATAAACATGAACAAAATCATGAAAAAATTATGGTCTTCGATTCCCCTCCTAGAGATTTTTTTAAAAAAAACTGAAGTGAGTAAAGTTAATAATTGAGACTATTGATCAGGGACTGCTTAAAGTTGCAAATTTTCGTTTAATTATTAGGGAAATTTGTATAAATACCACCTGAACTTTTAGGCATGTGATCATTTCCCAAGGGATGAGAAATGGAAGATTCCTTTCCCGCGTTTGGTAATGTTGGGAAAGTAACCGGGAGATATCACTTTATTTCCTTTCCCATGTTTGTTTTGAGTAGGAATGGAAAACAAAGTCAAATAAATTTTCAAGTATACCTATATTAAATCAAATAAAAAAAATGCATTTAATGATATATTGTAATTTTAAATTGTTAATGGGGACAAAATGGTCATGAAAATGTGTATTTAATGTTGGTTCATTTTCCTAAATTTTCCCATGAAGAAGGAAAACAAAACCCAAGTTGGGAGGATGGCTTCACTTTCCCCCTACTTTCTGTTGAATAATACACTAGTCCCACATCTGAAACTTAATAAAATAGAAAGTCTCATATAATAAATGTCCACTCCTAATAGCATCGATGTCTTTTGTATAAAACTCCACACCTTCTAAACAGGTGGTTAAGTTGGAGACAATATCGATGTTGCTAGTGATGGGCCAAGGGTCCGTCCATTTGAAATCTTAACATGGTATCAGAGCTTGGTTGGTTGACTGAGCCCGATTAAACCCAAATCAAACAAAAACTCCAAATTAAATCAAAATCAAACAAACCCCAAATAAATAAAAAAGAAATAAAAGAAAAAGAAAAAAAATTACCGATATGGAATTGGTTGCACATGTGGCCCACTAAAAAGTGGTCCCATATGAGGAGGAGTGTTGAAGAATGCACAAGTACCACATCAGAAACTTAACAAAATAGAAAGTCCCATATAATAAATGTTATACTTCTAATAACATCGACACCTTTCGTATAAAACCCCACACCTACTAAACAGGTGGTTAAGTTGGGGACAATATCGATGTTGCTAGTGGTGGGTCAATGGTCCGTTCTTCTAAAATCATAACACTTTTCCATGGGCCAAGCAACAATTTCGCATGTCTGAACTTACCAAACATAGGAAAGTAAGGTCATCTCCAGTCACATGGCTAAATGTAGTCCAAGGCTAAATTAATATTAATTTTTTAAAGAATAGTGTAGGGTTAAATTTTTCCATCTTCAGCCATGCAGGGCTATATTTTAAGGTCCTTCATATTTTATTATTTTGAGAAAAACTATGGTACACCACATACATTCCATAACTATGTATTGTTTAATTTAATTAAACTACTATTTAGTGACAATATTTCATGACCAAGAATTTTTTTATAATTTTTAAATAACACTTGAAAACATTTGAAAATGTGACTACATTATTTTATTTTATTTTAAAGGATGGGTTTCAATGGTTTGACATCCAACAATCATGACTAATAATATTTTATAATTTTTTTTACTAATTGAAAACATTTAAAAAGGCTTATATATATATATATATATATATATATCCAGCTGACATCATCAATGTAAAACACATGCATGGAGCTCACAAAAAATTTGGCCTAGGACTAGGCCAAAGCTGGGCTAAATGTGGCCCGATTGGAGGGCTAAAGAGCCAAATGTGGCCCTCCAAATTTGGCCAAAATTTTGTTTAGCTCATGGCTGGAGATGGGTTTTGTATTATTTTAGGGCTATATTTGGGATATAGCCCATGGCTAGAGATGACCTAATTAATTTCTCATTCCTAAATCTCCTTACCCATTAACTAAACATGGCCTTAATTCAAATATACATATCATCTTTTTACTAATTAGATGAAAAATAACAAGTCAAATCTTGGCCCAATGTGGAAGATAATAATCAGCATATTAGGTTTTGGGAAACCCCAGTACAAGAAGCATGGAAAATGTCCAGACAAGAAATTCCCTCAGCTTGAATATTTTAAATTGTCAAATACCGTTTGGAAGCAATTAAAGGCGTAACAAAATCTGACTGTAATATATATATATATATATATGGGGGGGAATCCGTGGCACCATGTCTTTTACACAAGTTTTGACACAAATTTTGAACCCCTAGATTAGACTACAATAAATGACTGAGATTAAACAAACTTATTCTTTCAACTCAAAATAATTATAATTTAATTTAATTAACTTTGCTATTCAATTTTCTCTCTCCACATTTATATTTTCACATCTTCCTAAAAGCATCAACATTCTATCTCACGACATCTTCTTCTTCTTTTTCATGACTTTCCCTTTTTTTTTCTTCTCTCTTCAATCTTCTTTTTGCCCACACACCATTTTCCTCCATAACAAGAAACAACGAACCCAACCCATATAGCCAAATCAAATACCCAGTAAGGAAGATTGACGTAAGGAGGAGGAGGTTGATCTTTGTGTTTTTTTTTTCGTTTTTTTTTCTGGTGCTGCTAAGTTAAAACTTCTATTTCCCCTTGCTGAGAAAAACAAAAAAAGGATCAAGCAATTAGTTGATTGAGATTCATTTTGATCATCCCCAAAGAAATTTCAAGAACCTAAGAGTATGATTACCCTGCCCTCCCATGGAGCTCCCCAAAATTCGTTTTGATTCTGAGTGGAGAGAAAGTTTATGTGTTTTTTGATCCTAACAATCCCATATCCGCTCGGTATTTTCTCAAACTCCATATGCATTGCTTTGTTTCGATCTGAGTATGAACCGTGTCAAAATAGATAGTATCAATTGCATATAACTAGCAATAGGCAAATGGAGATTTTTGGCACATCGATGTTGTGGAGGAGATTACCAACGCTGGGCATGTCGGAGGGGGGAGGTAGAATTTGGAGACAGTGCAATTCATAATTATTAGATTAAAATAATAATAATTAGAATAAATGTATTATTTCAAAGATAATAATAAATTAGTTGTGAGATTTAATCTGAGCCATTAATAGTGCTTAAATCTAAGGGTTCAAAATTTGTGTCAAAACTTGTGTCAAAAATATGGTGCCACGGATCCACCCCCTATATATATATATATATATTAGTCCCGATATCTTGGACTACAGGTGTCCAAGAGATTTGTGGTCACTCACCGTTGGATGTAAATTCAACGGTGAGTTCACTCTTGCACTCATTTTAAGAAATTTTTTTAAATAATTGGATTAATATCCAACGGTAGGTGACCGCAATCTCTTAGACTCTTGTAGTCCAAGAGATCGAGACTAATATATATATATATATATATATATATATAAAGAAGAAAAAAAAACAATTACCACAAAGGACTTGTACAAATTAACTACATTATCTTGTATGTTGTGGAGCGGAGTTTGTTTTTAATTTTTAGTTTTTATACAAGCGATATTAAAGGAGGGGAACTTTAAATGCAGTGGTAAAATAATATTCTTAGTCACTTGGGTTACAAGACCTTCACATAGAGTAAAGTTTTCTGAATCCCAATACAGAAACCATACTAGGCACGTAAAAAACAGCGGCAAAACCATCCGGATCGCCTAGAATAGGAAGACACTGAGATGATGCTTTTGTATGGAGGTTGTAGGAGTCTAGAGGTTGATAACCATATGCAGAAACGAAAAGAATCTCATCGCTCTTCCAAAATGCCAAAGGCTTGTGGGTCAAAGTGAGATTAAAAGCATGGTGTTTGGTCCAAGTAGCATTATAATAATTATTGTTCGGCCGATTTCCAAATTCTTCATGCAGGACCCATATTCCAAAGGATTCATCAGCGTGTCCCCTAGCACAGCATCCAAAGAGAGCAACAGACTTATGATCCCAGAGCAGAAGCCGTATATTATAAAAAATCGTTGAGCTTAAACAATATACATGCGGAAACAGTATATCATGAAACACCTCATCCCTCATATCAAACGAAATGATCACATCCCTAATGTCTTTCACCAGCGTGTCGCCCCCGCCGTCGACCAACTTAGATTGCTCGTGCCCCACCCAGTAACACATCCCTTTTAAGTAGAACTGGAAATCCTCCGGCCAAAGGTTTGTAGTTTCAGTTTCCAGAGAGCCCGTTGCGATCTCTCTCCAAGTATCCGTCCCCAAACTGTACACTACAGGTTTTGGCGTATAAATTATACCGTCATTTCCATCACCATACTCACCATATAATTCATTGCCAGGATATCCAATGTCAACTACTTTGTAATCATTGGTTTTAGGATCATAGCCCAATCCCAGGGCCTTTGACATGTCACGATACCGTCTTGATGAAGCAATGTGAACATCTAGGTACGGCTCCGGAGGCAGTAACTTGGGTGCCTCATGAATTGCTGGGTTCCATAACAACACCTCTACAGCATTAAGTTGGACACAAATGATACCGTCACAGTGGCCTACAATACGAAATGTGTTTGCTTTGCCAATCAGCGGCTGCTTTAGGTTGGTCATGTCCATGTCCTCGAAACTAGAAAGAAACCTAAGCGGATCACTATTATTACAATGACAATTATCAGAATTTGCATTGCAGCAGTTGCAGCAAAAATTAAGGACTGAGAATACAACAGGTTGGGTGCGGGGTCGGCCCTCGCATACCGCATCATCCACTAATAATCGCCTCAAAAGGACTGTACAAGTGGAGGAGGAGGACAAAATATTATTGTCGGGATCAGAATTGTGTTGCACGTGCTTCACAACAAACTCCGGGCTGCTGATGAGAGCACACCACCATTTAGAGACGCACTTGAACCTCGTCAAAGTTTTTGGAAGCAAACATGATAGAATTTGCAGTAAAATGTCGTTTCCCATTCCCATTTTCAGAGAACACGAAAAAGTGTCTGCCATAAGCATAGACATTCATCACACAACACAAACAATCAATATACATATATACAAAGAGCTACTATTGACAAATCCCTCAAATAATATGTATATAATAAAAAGACAACGGTGCATGAGAAAGAATCATTCTCTCCACGGTTAACCCAATGATCTAGCTAATCTCATTAATTAGCAACAGCTAGCCCAATATTGTCTCTGATGTAAAATATAACCCTAATTTAAGAATAGGATTGAAACTAGACCCGTTTATAGTTGGAGACTACACAATTTGATGATGACGAGAAATCTCATACGCATAAAATTTAAAATAACAATAAGATTTTACCTTAGGGATATAGTAACAATGTTTGTTTATCCCAATGCAGTTAACAAAATTGGGGGAGACAAAGCCCTCGTTGTGTCCCTGGTTTCGCCACAATCACGCTTACATGTTACAATGCATGCAATATTATGCAATCGTGGTTTTCCTCTTCTTCAAGTTTTCGAGAGGAATTCATAAATAAACAAGGATTAACGACAAAAGAGACCCTCCAAGCTTGGGGTGGTTCTCAATATGGACTCCATGGTATCAATTTTATCAATTTACACTCTTACGTTTGCAACATCGTCCAATTTTATCCTTCTGTTAAGTTGACTGTGTGGTCAATCGTTAAATGCTAATGTGTCTTTGTGGAACCCACCAACCATTTCCTTAAAAAAATTATATAAAATAATAAAATAACATAAATTTTTTTTAAAAATAAAAAACTTAAAATATCCCAGCCCTTCTCCAGGTCAACAAACCTAGCGCCCCGTTCACCCCATCTCCCCCTACTTGCGGTTCAACGCTGCTTTTGCCTCCTCCATTTTCGAGCTCTATGGTCTGCAACAGTTTCTGGTAAGTCAATCTTCCACCTCAATGGACCTCATCGTCCTTATGACTCACCGTCCCAACTCTATCCATGACAAGAAAAATCACACTTTCTCGAGAAATAGACACTCAGATTCCTGCAATTTCTCAGCCCCCAAAAACCCATGGCGCCAAAATCCTTCAACCCCAAAACCCAAACATACACCTCCCCCCAACCTCCTGTCCCCTTTCCCACAGACCCCAACCTCTCCCTCATCTCCTTCCTCTTCTAATCCTCCATCTCTTTCCCAAACAACCTTGCTTCGTCGACTCCGACACTGCCGAAACCCTAACCTTCCTCCAGCCCAAATCCTTAGTCTCCAAGCTGGCTCACACCTTGCTCAACCTCAACATCAAGAAAAACGACGTCGGCCTCATCTTCACCCCCAACTCCATCCACTTCCCCATCTGCTTCTCATTAGCTTCTTCTCAGTCGACGTAATCGACGCCATTCCCACCAGCTGCAGTCCTCAGTACACACCGTTCGCAAGCTCTCAAGTAAAGTCAACAAATGTGACCCCAAGCTTGTCATCATCGTCCCCGAACTCTAGCCTAAGATCAAGGGCTTTAATCTCCCGAAGATACTATTAGGATCTTCAATCAGGGCTCCAAATCCAAGAGTACGTTATTTTTCCGATTTGGTCAAAATTTCGAAGGGTCTGGATATGATTTCAAATTTATCGACACTTCGTGTGAAGTAGAGTGACATGGCGGCGCAGTTTTACTCGTCTCTGATGATGGGGAAGATCAAGGGAAGGGAGGGAGTGAACATGGCTCTGGGTTTGTTGGCCTTTGAAGAGAGGGGGTGAACAGGGTTGAGATTTTTGAAGTTTTTTTTTAATTTTTAAAAAATGTTATTTTAACATTTTATATAATTTTTTTAGGAAATGGTTGGTTAGTAGGTGGGTCCCACAGTAGACACATCACCATTTAACGATTGACCACACGGTCAACTTAACGGAAGGATGAAATTGGACGATGTTGCAAACGTAAGGGTGTAAATTGATAAAATTGATACCATGGGGTCCATATTGGGAACCACCCCAAACCTGGAGGGTGTCTTTTGTCGTTAGCCCAATAAATAAATAAATAAAATCTTTGCAAAAAAAATGAATGAGAAAGAGAAATTTGGGGTTTCTTCTGGCCCAAAGATAGCCAGATGGTATAATATTACACAAATGTACAATAACAGTACAATATTATTATTAATTTTTACAAAATTCAAAAACCTGAACTCATGGAAGTATTTTATTTTTATGAGAAATTTTTTTCAAGAATTTGAAGAGGTGCAGGTAGTATGATATCTTTTGTTATTTTTATAAGAACAACATAGTCTAATGATCAAGGGAATTGTGCTTGACCAATCCAACTGTCTCTTGTCTTGCGTCTACCACGTTGTAATAAATTTTGAACTCCAAGTATTGTATCCTCAAAGAATAAATAAATAAAAAGTCTACAAAAGCATTAAACGTAGCAAAATAAATAGTTTGGAATGTTGTAGAGATTGAGATGGAGTTAATACTCATTCATGCATATGAATGATCCATGCATGATGAAAAAAATTTATCGTAATACGTAAGTCTGTCCACAATTTCACTTGTCAAAGCGCTCATTTTTCATTTCACACTCTGACTCGAAAGGAGTCCTAAAAAATCCCCATTTTCTCTTTCGCTCACACAGTCGCAGTCCTCTTTAAACTTCTCCACCCATCCGAACCCCTTCACATCCTTGATCTCCTCTCTCTTCTCAATTCCCAATCAACAACTTAAACCGCTCTCTCTCGCAATCAAACTATGGCGTTTTCACATGGAACTAAGCAACGGTTCTCTGGTTTTGATTTAGGCCACCGAGTCAAAAACCAGGTTTCAAATTTGGCCCACGAGCTCCTTTGGGTTGAGGAGAGGGTAGAGGATCAGAGAGAAAGGAGTTTGCTTTTCCACTCTTTCAATAATATGAGTTGGTTTGTGTAGGTACTCTTTGTTTATGTTCATTGCTCTTTGTGTGACGCATCGAGATATAAGGGATAGAAAGATCGAACGATAACCCTAAAGTAACAATGTCGAAATCTACCAACAAATTAGAATCCACCAGAAATTTGAGTAAAACTCAAAGATATTTGATTGATAATAAGACAGATGAAAACATGTTTGGTAGTACAATTTGAGAAAATAATATATGAGCTATTTTTTAGGGAGGTTTGGTTTATAGTCACTATAAAGTTTCTTATTATTATGATAGATAGGAAACTAATTTCACTTGATTCACTTGAGGTCAATCACCACAAAATAGGGTGTAATTTTACAATAATGTAATTAAAAAATATCAAAATTACACACAATGCCACTCCACTTAGATCTAAACTATTTTATTTGAAGTCAATAAACTTATGCCACATATATAGAGATCCACATGTGCCCAATCATCATCGCCGCCGTCCGGCCACTGCCACCATCCCTGTCGTCCAGCCACCTTCGTTGGCCAATCGCGTCACCATCTCCGCCACCCTTTATTCACCCTAAAAAAATGAAGAAAATTTTGGGCACTTGCAAGGACTCAAACCTTGACCCTCAAAGGAGGAAGTCTCGAACATAAACCATTACACCAACCTTGTTTTTGTAATATTTATTATATAACATAATATCTATATTAACAATCGAAGGTTTAAAAAAAATTGTGATGCAGTGTGCAAAAAGGCAAAGCACATATTGTCCAAAAACCAAAGCCATCATGAAATAAGCAACTAAACAAAGTCAAAAAGGCATATCAATTGATAACACATTTGTATAATTTCTATTAACTTCAAAAATCATACCAAAAATATCCAATGACAAAATAATTTAGCCAATTGTAACTAAATGGAAGTGGAAACTACAATGCAGTTTGCGGAATCTGCAATGCAGTTTGCGGCAACTGCAATGCAATGTGTGCAAAACTGCAATACAACACTTGTATAAAATGGTCAACATTTGTATCTATGGTAAATTCCAATCAATTGAACCAACTGAAGGAAACATGCACATAATGCTTAGAAAATGAACTTTAGCCACAACCTATACAAGAAAAACATTCTGAATGACGGATTCATTTTGTTTATACTAGTTGAGCTAAACATTTTTCATTTTAAACCAAGTATCTTAGCCTAGTCGATTTGAATACAAATAGAAAAGAAAAAAAGGGAATAGATCTTTACCCTTGATGACCTTTTCTTGATTTTTCAAGAATGAACACCTTTGTTGGAAAGACCTTCTCTTTCTCTTGATTTTGACTACATCACCTTAAGGCTCCAAGATTGGAGTCATCTACCTTACCACACCAAATGCTCCTAGAGATGAAGATAATGTAATCAAGAAGTATGGATGCTATTTTACTTCTTGATTGGACCAATTTTTCGTTTATGAAAGATGAGATACAAAGATGATTACTCATCAACCAAAGTAGGAAAACCAAAAACCCTAGCTAGGTTTTCTCCAACACTTAGCTTATATAGGACAACACAAAAGATAATTGGGTGGGTATTTGGGGCTCCATTGGTCTATGGGTCATGTCATCTTATGTCACTTATCCCTTAGGCCCAATAGCCTTTTGGGCTATTTGTCCATTTCCTTTTAAATTATATTTAAAAACCCAATCCAATATTTCTATATGTCAATATTAATTCCATAACTAATCTTTTAATTATAATTTAACTATTAAATTATAATTATAGTCTTACTTAATTGACGCGGTCAAACTATTTGACTTTGGTCAATTGCTTCGGTCAACATGATGACTTTTGACTGTTGACTTTGACATTTGATTATCAACCATTGACTTGTGTCTCCTCATTTCATTTCTCCTCATTTGTGTCTCTAATCACATTCTTTGGATGTGCAGATCCGTAGGTTCCTTTTAACAAGGTAGTGAGTTGACTCAATTCCTCATAGATGATATATGAATTAAATTTCACAATTTAATTCTTCCTATTAATAAAGGTTAATTGAAACCTTTTAGGACATCCACATGGTTGTCCACTAGCAGCAAGTCACGGTTATCCGAGCTAAATGAGACGTTGTGAAAGAACCTATTCAAATTAGAATGACCGTGCAATTGAATCCTTCTCTTGTGTCAATACTCCTCATTCACATTATTAGATCAGGGAATCCGATTGTCAATATCCTAATATGAATAATTCCTTTTATATGATCATTCTGGTAAGATTCGAAGACTTCTTTTTTCAAGTCTATCCACTAGTATGCGCAGAGATTTGACCAATCATATCTTGAAGTATTCTTTCTCTTTTATTGAGAGTAGAGATTCTTTGTTGTACATTCATTTGCTTCCATGACTTTATTGAAAATCTTGATGAGCACCTTTAAGCTATGCCTAAATCAGCATGACTGTATAGTGCGCTCAAAGATTAACAACATAGCCACAAAACATCTATGATGCCTAAGATCTAAGGATTAGTTTGCACCATTGCAATTTATGAGTTCCAACTTGGCATATGAGTAAAGACTTCCATGCTGAAACTCATGTGTTGGATTGCGTTCAGTGTACTTGTTCTTCTACAAGTACCTACACACATATCGATGTATCTCCACACTTAATGACTTGAGACCTTGTCATTCCCTACATATAAAGACGATTACTGTGTGTACTAGTCTTTGCGGAATATTGATGCCCAATCAATATTCCTATGACCAAGAACATATTCAGAATTTAGGGATGATGAGAAGTCTCCATGTATGCAATCTCATTAAATAGATCTCATATCTACTTGTGTATTCATTGGACTATGGTTGTTCTACATATTGAAAGATAATATAGGATGATTTAATGTATAAAATAACATTTCTTGCCCACTGATAACATAATATGTCTTTTATCAAAGATGTCCTTAACTATAACTATTACATACTTAGTTGACTTTAAGGGCATATAACAATCTCCCACTTGCACTTTAAAGCCAATCCGACATATATCTGATACCCATATTCTCCATATGTCGGTCCAGCTAAAATTGACTCATAGGTTTTGTGTGTGGATCTGCTATATTGTATGCTGAAGCCACCTTGAGCACGCTAATATCTCCATCAACAACATATTCCCTGATTAAGTGATAGCGCCTTTGAATGTGCTTGGATCTTTGATGAGACCTTGGTTCCTTAGCTTGTGCTATAGCCCCATTATTGTCACAGTATAAAATGACTGGTGACTCAATACTTGGAACCACTCCAAGTTCAATAATGAACTTCTTCATCCAGATCGCTTCCATTGCTACTTCCAAAGCAGCTATGTACTCTGCTTCAGCTGTGGAGTCTGCAGTGGTGCTCTGCTTGCAACATCTCTAACTGATTGCCCTTCCATTCAATATGAACACATATCTAGAAGTGGATTTCCGATCATCAACATCATATTCGAAATCTGAGTCTGTATATCCTTCCACCAATAATTCTGGGTTTCCTCCATAGACTAGGAACATATCCTTGGTCCTTCTTAGGTACTTTAACACAGTCTTTACAGCACTCCAGTGTTCAGATCCTGGGTTTGATTGATATCTACTTGTGATGCTCACAGCAAAGCTGATATCATGCCTCGTACATGGCATAGCATACATTAGGCTCCTAATTGCTGAGGCGTATGGGATCCTGCTTATCTGTATCACTGCTTCTGGGGTTTTATGGTTCATGCTCTTAGAGAGGTGAATTCCATGTCTGACTGGCAAAAAACCCTTCTTGGAATGTTCCATTTGGAATCTTCCGAGCACCTTGTCCACATACAGGGATTGAGATAATCCAATTAATTTTCTCGATCTATCCCTATAGATCTTAATACCCAATATGTAAGATGCATTTCCCATATCCTTCATTAAGAATGTCTTTGATAACCATAGTTTCACAGAGGTCATCATGCTTATGTCGTTTCCAAACATTAATATGTCATCTACATATAGTACGAGGAATACGACTGTGCTCCCACTGTTTTGCTTGTACACACAAGGTTCATCTTCATTTTAGCTAAAACCATAATTAAAAATTACAAACATAGATGAAGTGCTACATTAAAAATACAATTTAAAAAGCCAAAAACTACATATCAAGTGCTTGGGGAGTAGAGGTGTCAAATGAGACCGACCGACCCAACACAGCACGAGCCCAACCCCTTTAAAGAAGGCACGACACGACATTAGCACAAATATTAGTGGGCCATGCTTGGCATGGCACGAAAGCTTCGGTCGAGCCAGGATCAAAAAATGAGGTTTAATGGACCGGACCGGGCTTGGCCCGAGCCTGCTTCAAGCATGGCCGTTTCAATCTCTTCTTTATATTGTATATTGTGTTTTGTGTAAACAAAATGTATCATTTTCTTTATTGCAGCTAAACCAACTATCTTATTCATTTCCCCATATTTTTATCTGCTACCAAACACTATATATGCAGTTATTTTAGTATATCATTATACAAAGATCATAACACAAGGTTATTTAATTCCCTTTTTTTTTTTTTTTTTTTTTTTTTTTTTTTTTTTTTTTTTTTTTTTTTTTTTCTCCTATGCAGTCGCATTTTTGGTTCTTCCTCCCCTATTTTGCTGGGTTTGTGATTTGCTGCTTAATGAAACCAAATGCTTGTTTATTCGTTTGTTTATTTTTTTCAAGGAAAGGTTGTATCATAGGCTCTATGGGGTTAATCTTGGGTAAATATTGATTTTCATGAACTTTTTAGGTGGTGGTGATGATGAACAAGTGTAGATTTGGAGTGCATTAGAATAAATAATGGTGATATATGTTGCGGGCTACTTTCACGAATTGTCTTGTTGGGTTGATTAAACAAAGCCTTTGTTTTATTAAGTGCTACTTCGCAATAAACTTGTTATTCGAATTTTGAATTGTTCTCAAATTTTCTTAGGCTACAATTTTTTTTATACCTTTTTTAAAATTCGATCAGAGATACATTGGCTTCCAAAATGAAAAGAGAGAATTTCAAATTAAATGGGCTAGTTCTTTGGCCCAAGTACGGCCCGTTTCAATAAGGACTTGGGTTTTGGGCCGAGCAGGGATCAATGGTTTTACTAAATGAGTCAGCACGACACGACCCGATAAATTAAATGGGCTGGCCCGACCTGACACGAATACGTTAAAGGCATGAGTTTAAATAGGCTGACCCGGCCCGTTTGACACATTTATTAGGGAGGGTTACATATCTGGTGCTCGTGCTTAGGGGATTACTTAGAGGGTACGACTGAATGAGAAATAAAAGAGGCATTTGATTTTAGGGTTCAAGATGTCGTGTTCTAGTGTTATGCAATCTAGGATAAGCTTCATATCCAATAAGTTGACACATGTATTAATATTTAAATAATAAGATAATAATAAATATTGATTCGATATGTTTACCCATCAGGTTAGGAATATTGTTACCCGGTCCTTTGACCAAACTTTTCAGTATAAATTGGATCGAAGAATTAAAAATTAATTAACTTAATTTAACCAAACCAAACCGTCAGTTCATTACTATCGATACACAGATTTTCGAATGAGATGCCCAAACCACTAGTTGAGCTCTTCCACCTCCATCCATGTGGACAGAAGTTCAAAATCCCCAGGCACCAAATGAATATTTGTGTCAACCGCTCTGTACTATAAAAACCAAATATATTAATGAAATTTCATACCAATTCTCAAACTCCTAAGTGCTCGTTTGACATTGCTTATTTGAGGTGAGAAATGATTTTTTAAAAAAAATTGGGAAGCCCAGCCCGTTTGGTAAACTATGAGAAATCACTAATTTTAGAAATTAATGTGAGAGAAAGCTATAAGGGAAAGCGGCTAATGAGGTGCTTTTATTTTCTGATTATGCATAAATCAATTTCGAAGAGGCGTTGGCCAGTTTGACATTACTGTGTTGTGAAAATAATCGATGTTAGATTTGCTATGAGAAAAATCAGTTGTGAGGTAAAGCAGTTTGGCGTTTGGTAAACTTTTTGTTAACAGTGTTGTTGGTACTAATTTCCGCATAATCAGAAAATGATTGTTGTATAATCATTAAGCCCAACGCCTCTTCGAAACTAATTTCTGCATAATCATGAAATGAAAGCGCCTCATTAGCAGCTTTCCCTTATAGCTTTCTCTCACAACAATTTTTAACAATAAGTGATTTTCTCGTAGTTTACCAAACAAGCTGGGCTTTCCAAAATTTTAAAAAATCACTTATCACCCAAAATAAGCAATGCCAAATGGGCACTTAGGGCCAGTTTGGCATTGTTGTGCTGTGAAAATAATCGCTGTCAGATTTGCTGTGAGAGAAATCAGCTGTGAGATAAAGCAGTTTAGCGTTTGGTAAAATTTTTTTTAAAAGTGTTGTTGATATTGATTTTACGCAAAATCAGAAAATGATTGCTGCATAATCATTAAACCCAACACCTCTTTGAAACTGATTCCTGCATAATCAGAAAATGAAAGCACATCATTAGCTGTTTTCCCTTATAGCTTTCTTTTACAGCAATTTTTAACAATAAGTGATTTTTTCGCAGTTTACCAAACGGGTTGGGCTTCTCAAAATTTTAAAAAAATCACTTATCACCCCAAATAAGCAATGCCAAACTGGCACTTAATAATTATGCAGGAATCAGTACCAACAACACTCTCTTAACAAAAAGTTTACCAAACGCCAAACTGCTTTCTCTCACAGAATCTGACATCAATTATTTTCACAGCACAGCAATGTCAAACTAGCCCTAAGGCTCAGTTTGGGATTGCTGTCATTTTTAAAAAACAGTTGTTTCTGCTGTGCTTTTAAAAATAATTAGCTGTAAAGTAAAACAGCTCCATGTTTGGTAAACAATATTTTTAAAGTGTTGTTAGTACAAAAAGCAATGTCAAAACCGTTTGATAAGTTTTAATATAAAATTGTTCTAACTGTGAATAATGACTAAAATAGACATGATGTTAAAAGTGTTATGTACTAATCATGTGGTAGTAGTGGTAATGATTGAGTGGAGGTGGTGGTGGTAATGAAGGTGGAGTTGGTGGTTGTGGTAGGGATGGCGCTTGTGGAGGTGGTGGTAGTGACAACATGGTGGTGGAGGTGGCAGCATGGTGGTGGTGATCGTGTTGGTTGTGGTGGTGGTGGTGGTGGCGATGGCAGTGGTTGTGGAGGTAGTGAATGTGGTGGTGTAAGTGGTGGAGTTGAATGTGGAAATAGAGGTGGTGTTATTTTTTAAAATGAATGATGATATTTTGGGAATTAAAAAATTCATTAAAGGTTCATCTTTGCTTCTTTTGAAAGCAGCTTTGAAAAGCAACTCATAGCCTGGTTTTAAAAGCTGCTGTCAAAAGACCACTGCTTTTAAAATAATCGGGATATTTATTTTTACCAAACACCTTAAACTGCTTAACTTTAAAGTGAAGTAGTTTTTTGGCAAAAAAAAACAATCTCAAACGGGGCCGAAATCTAAAGCTAAACAGTGGAAAGAAATTACGCAAGTATAACTAGGGCCGGAGCCCAACGGAACAACCTAAAGCCCAATGGCGCGGATGGAACATGGAACTAATGATGGGGCTAAGACCACTGGAACCAAAACGACGTCGTTCAACCTCTCCTCTCGTGCGTGCCATTTTAGGCGCACATCAAATTCGCGCAACGTAAAAAGCAGACAGGTGGGTGAGTCTCCCACTCGTGACTCACCTCGCGACCTCTCTCATCCCCATTAACCGTCGTCGTCTTCTTCCTAATTACCTTCCACAGCTTTCACATTCCCTTCCCTCCCCCCCCCCCCCCCCCCTCTCTCTGTGTAAAACCCCTGTTCCAAATCAAATCCATTCTTCGATTTCTCAACGCAAATCGAAATAATCCATCACTCCGCCGCCTCCATCCGATCCAATTCATGCACATCTGACCCAGAATTTGGGTTTCACCACGGCTTCGATCCAATTTCGAGTGTATCGTCGATCCGAGGGCAGACCCTACAGGGCTTTCATTGGGATTCTATTGGATCAGATCCGTTTGGAGCTAAATTTGAGGACTTGGGGGTATGGATTCGAGTCGAAGAGCTGTGGAGTCGTACTGGAGGTCTCGAATGATCGATGCGGCCACTTCGGACGAAGACAAGGTCGCGCCGGTTTACAAATTGGAAGAGATTTGTCAGCTTTTGAGATCCTCACATGTCAGTATTGTCAAGGAGGTTTCTGAGTTTGTCTTCAAGCGTCTGGAGAATAAAAGTCCAATTGTTAAACAGAAGGTATCAAAATTCTTCTTCTTTTGGCGAATCAGATTTTTTATTCTATAGTATTATGTTTTATTCTGAGGTCTTGTGCTAGTTTAATGGAATGTCTGGTAATTTTCTCCTCTGGTTATGAGTTTGTGTGGGTAAAAGAAAAGAATTTTCTGGGTTTGATGGGTATTGGGAAATTCCAAGAGCTTCTGTCTGCTGTGATGGATAATAGACTTGATGAATGTCAGGTTTCTTGCAAATTTCACCATTATGCTCAAATTTTCTGCAGGCTCTGAGGTTAATAAAATATTCTGTGGGAAAGTCTGGTGTGGAGTTCAGGAGGGAAATGCAACGAAATTCAGTGGCAGTGCGCCAGTTATTTCACTATAAGGGACAGCCGGATCCTTTGAAAGGAGATGCCCTTAATAAGGCTGTGCGGGACACTGCTCAAGAGGCTATTGCTGCTATATTTTCAGAGGAAAGTAATGCAGCACCAGCCGATGATCTTAACAGACGAATACAAGGTTTTGGGAATACAAACTTTGAAATGTCATCAGAAGAAAAGAAATCTTTTCTTAGTGAGGTAGTTGGTATTGGAAGTGCATCTATCAAGCAGGGACTTAGTAGTTTCACCCAAAATCACTCATTTAAAAATAATGAAAATGGAAACTACAAGAGTCCAAATCTTCATAGATCGTTGACCATTGAAAGTGAGCCGACAGATCGATATGAACCTGCTCAATATCGCAATGAGACTCAAAGTAGTTTTGGGTCTTCAAAGAATGTGGCTAGTGGACCCTGGAATGAGGATAGGTTAACCAAGACTGAAGTAACCAATGAGATTCTAGCTCAAATTACAGAGAAAGTAAGACCCGGGAGGAGAGGTTGTTGGAGACCATTGTGACTCCAGTGGTGTACGTTTACAACCCACTCGGGATGCCATTCAGATTTTCCTTACTGAGGCGAAAAAGTTGGATGCCGTAGCGTTAGGTCATGCCCTCGATACAAAGCTCCAATCTCCATTGTGGCAGGCATGCTCTTTGTACTTATGTATTGGGCCATAATTCTTCCACATGCTTGCATGCACAAAATTGCCAAATAATTGAAGATTCTTATAGTGACTTCTGAATTTTATCTATTTGTGATTTTTTTTCATGCACAACAATTTTATTAAAGTCACACAAATTGTCCATATTTGATTTTATTATCCCTGAAATAAGATTGAATTGTTGACTTACAATTGTTCAGAACAAGTGGATGGGATTTTTGCTGTACTTGTAGATCTATTTATTTTTACAAACCTTTTTTTAATGTGATTTTTTGTTTGTTAGGTACGCATGAAAGCAATTTGTGTTCTTGAGTCAATTTTGAGGAGAAAGGATGATGAGCATTTTTCAATTGTAGAATCATATTTTATTGACAACAAAGATCTTGTAGTCAGATGCTCCGAGTCTCCTCAGGCTTCTTTGAGGGAAAAGGCTAACAAGGTATTCATTTAGTTCCTCATAAATATATATCTTCCATATTCTGATTTCTCAAAATAATGTATATTAGTGATAGATAGACCAAAAAATAGTTTCATGTATAATCTGTTTGCTTAATCATCACTTCAACTCTTCCCGTCATTCTAGGCGGTCGCTGCAGCTCAAATGTAGATTGATTGTAAATGTAACTAGAACTTGGGAACGCCAATTCTTTGCCATAGGCTCAAAGGATTTTTACTTTTTTTTGGTGATAAAAGAAGTGGGCATTGTTTAATGGTTGAGCTGCCTTGAATATTTCATATTGAACAAAGAATTAAAAGAGAAATAACGAAAGTAAATGGTATGATGTCTTAATATTTTAAAAAAATTTCATGAGTAAACGGTAATATGTTCTTTGATAATTTTATCATGTTTGATGTAATTTCACTTCACTCTGCATGTAGAAAGGAATTTGTACTTGCCCATTGTGACTTTTCCAGATTTAATTCTTCTTATTCTTATAACATATTCTGAATATATATTTCTTGAGGAATTTGTGCTCAATGATATGAGAAATGTGTAAGTTCTTGGAAAGGTTATTTGCAATTTTACAGTTTGGATATATACATGCATATGCATATATCAGTCCCCTTCTATAGAGGGATCACTCAAATAATTTTATTTGAGGGACGCCCTTTAGGGTACCTTACAATTTTTTTCCCAATGATCCAAACCATCTATTTTTTAGGTCTTCATTCATAGATCATTCTTACAAAAAATTAGACAAATCGGAAACCGTTTCAACATCCAATTGTGTCTTACAAAATCAATGAACACGGTGCTTCAAGAAAGTACTTAAATTTCAATAACTCAACTGGAGTGGTCAAATGATATCGGATTCAAGTGATTTTTTGTAGAGATGATTTTGAATAAGTATCTACAAATAGACAGTTTGGATTAGTGAAATACAATCTAGAGTGGGGCCTACAAGGGTGTCCCTCAAATAAGCTTATTTGAGGATCTCTCAATAGAAGCTCTTTGTGTGTGTGTGTGTTATATATTTTTTTTTTTTTTTTTTTTTTTTTTTTTTTTTTTTTTTTTTTTTTTTTTTTTTTTTTTTTTTTTTTTTTTTTTTTTTTTTTTTTTTTTTTTTTTTTTTTTTTTTTTTTTTTTTTTTTTTTTTTTTTTTTTTTTTTTTTTTTTTTTTTTTTTTTTTTTTTTTTTTTTTTTTTTTTTTTTTTTTTTTTTTTTTTTTTTTTTTTTTTTTTTTTTTTTTTTTTTTTTTTTTTTTTTTTTTTTTTTTTTTTTTTTTTTTTTTTTTTTTTTTTTTTTTTTTTTTTTTTTTTTTTTTTTTTTTTTTTTTTTTTTTTTTTTTTTTTTTTTTTTTTTTTTTTTTTTTTTTTTTTTTTTTTTTTTTTTTTTTTTTTTTTTTTTTTTTTTTTTTTTTTTTCCCCGGGGGAGAAACCCCAAAAACGCACGGGGCCAGGCGGCACTCCCCAGTAAGGTTTCGCGAGAAAGCCTCACAGGGTTGCAGAGTGGTGGCCCCAAGGGCTATGAGACACCAAGGTGTGCGTATGCTTTTTGGTCCGGAACAATATCCAGAAACTAAGCCCTGGAAAAAACAAAACAAAACAAAACTAAACCCAAGAATTCTGACAGTTGGGTCCCAGCGAACCCACCCAAATATAAAACCTTTTTCGAAAAGCTTGTTTTCGTCCCGACAGGGAGGAAACAAAACATTAAAAAACAAAAAAACATGAAATGTTCTGAATGGGGGTTCACTAGTCCCCCTTTACCCGGTCACACAAATGCATATGATCCAAAGGGCAGACACCTTTTCTCGTGGATGAGAACTGCGCTCAGTCCCCCTATTACCACCAAGGCACCACTACAGAATAATAAAACACTTTAAACACCAAAACGGTACGTCGATAGCACTACTGCAAGGATGAAAGTAGCATTTCGGTGTTTCGTGTCTGATCCAGATTTTTTCATCTCTTGGTATACAATAACACTCAAGATCATGCGGCTAAATGTAGATCTAACGTAGCAAGAGACCGTATTCACAAGGCTTACCAGGCTTTTATCATAGGCACTGCAAGAGCCACAAACTATCAAATCAGGGACAATAACTAGTAGCGTTATGAGTCCTTTTAGATATACTACTTCCTTCTCCAACCACTATTTTAATTGTCACTCGACCACTTCTAAATCTTTATATTCAGTATAGGAGGTCCTATAAACAACTTTATACCTAAAATGCAACAACGTAACAAAATTCGAGTTGGGTAACAAGCCTCTTTTTCATTTTGGCCATAAGCCTGAGGTTCAGTCCCACCAAAAGAATGGAAGAAGTTTGTATTAGAAGACTATAGTCCCTGAAAGTAACTAACAGAGGTTCTTCACCAGCATCATTGAAGGCTGGAATCCAATATAAAAATACAAGATATGGCCCTAAATTTTTTGCATAACCCAAAAGGGCAATCAGGAAAACACATAAAGTTCCAAATAAACCATTAAAGAGGCAAGTACCCCCATTTTGCTTCACAAAAGTTCCAACAAATTTTCCATTAAAAAATCATATCTTCCAGCGACCGGATATTTCATTATCTTATTCCTTAGTCTAAGAATAGCCCATACATAAAGACATCCCAGAGGACCCTTTTTACCATATTCCTTCCAAAATCCAATAAAACCAAAAAAGGTGGAGTTCCTGGAACTATTTTACCCTGACTCTAATGAATATATATATATATATATATAGAGAGAGAGGAGAGAGAGAGAGAGAGAGGGAGTACCTGCACTCATTGTGAAAGATACGGCTGAGGAACCTCATATTTCCGGTGCGTCGCAAAGAGATGTCACGCAATTCAAGATGGGTTTTGAATATATTTATTTAAAGCCACACCCTTCACCAGTCTCCTCCTCCTCCCTCTCTTTGGTCTCTCTGCTCTGCCGGGAGTCTAACGAGAGAGATTTAACAGAGCCGCAGGAGGTTCCAAGGTACAGAAAGAACGGCAAGTCGTCTCTTGCCGTTCCTAAAGCTAAAACCAAAAAGAACGAGTCGTTTTGGAAACTGCTGACTGTCGTTTATTTGAGGGACTTCTTTTCCCTCTCTTTTTGGTCGATTTATTGGTGAGACTGAGGAATGAAATAGCAACACTATCTATAATACCTATAAATAAATAAAAATTATTATTTTTTAAATACAAATAATTTACAAAGCTGAAAATTGAAAAGGTTAACATTTAAACGACATACAATCGGATAAGGAACTTGTTAAACTTGATACAAGGATGTGGAAGAGTATGACCAATATTAGATAATGATTAGCTACATGCTGTTCAAGGATAAGAAACGCAATATCTTGAATAATTGAAGTTACATTTTAAGGAGTAATACTTTGATTCTTCAAAATCTGAATATGTCCCTCAATTTCCACTTTTTGAAAATTAAAATGAGTAGCGTGAAAAGAGTAAAACCTTGAGAATTACAAATAACAAAATGTGGAGCGAGCTAGTGGGGTATAACTAAGTTGATTGAGTTCTTCCACCCCCATTCACGTGGACAAAGTTTGAAACCCCTGGTATCCAATCAATATTTGCTTGTACTAAAACAAAAACATAAAAAAGAACCAAAAACAAACGTGGAAGGGGGGGGATACCAATGGCAAATCAAAAGACTTTAATAAAGGGGAAAAGAAGATACAATTCGTTTTCTAACTTTTGGCCGATTTGTACAATTTGATTCGTTGGTTGTATTTATTTACAAGTATAGATGGGCTGCTGCCTTGTGAATGAACATTTCACAACTCACAAGCCCTTGCAATTAGACTTCTCTACACGGGAATTGCACTGGACTAGAAACTTGAGGAAAATGTGCCGTTGGCTTGTCTCATGAACAAAGTAGCTAAGCTAGCCACAAGAAGATGTTTGAACTACTGTATCAGTTACTTTGCTTTGCTCCATGCGTGCATGTGAAGTGAAGCAGTTTTGACATCGGTAGTTGACTTTTGAAGTGCTACACTGGCTGCCCTCGGCTTTGGCAAGATTTTCCGGCTGCGGTTGGCCTATATGCATGTGGATGCTGAATTATTACCAAGACAGAATCCTTGGAGCTTTCATCACAGGAAGGTGTAGTTGGCTGCAAAGGTTCAAACCTTTTTTCATTAAATGATTTAATCAATCAATAACACTTATTTAATGCAGAAAGTATGCGTTCAAACAAGACTGCGAGGGGATGAAAAAATTCAGGTTCCCATAAAACTGAGGCCCTTGTAAGAACCAGCCAACATCAGTGATGCAAAATTAGTTCCATGAATAAAAAGTCCACAGCGAGTTGATTATGAAACACTCTGACATATATGACTACATAGAGAGTAGAAAAGATGCACACTAGTTCATGTTCCTATTGCTTACCACTCCAATGTGCCATTCATGCTTCGTGAAATCTCTGAAAGTTTCTGCATCCATTTCCTGCAGTGCCATGACTTGGGATGTCAGAAAAAGAAGAGGAATAAATTATGGAATTCTATTTCAACTTCTTCGTTACTTGCTTCCTTTCTTATTGGATTCTAATTTTGAATCATAGGTATCAAAGCATGCCATACTCTTTAGAAAAATCAGTATGCAAATGTTTGACACAAAATCTTCTACTTTAATCTTCTCAGCGCATAAAAAGTTTGAAAATAACTTACAATGCTATAAATTGGAGGCACCACTAGTTCTCCTTTAGATTTTAAAGTTGGCATAACAGAGAATCGTGGTGCCAAGTCCCTTGACCTAAAAGTCCACCTGCAGGAGATGACCACATCAAAGAGCAGGAATGTGAGCAAACCCTTCTTGCATGCTGAACCTAGCTATTTGATAGTGAATTCAAAAGAAATCCAGAACTACATTCTTCCTATGAAACAAACATTCACAGAAAGGTAAACATACCCTATGTAAACAAAGATGCAGAACTGAGCCCATTCTCGGACTAGCAAGCGAATCCAATAATTTTCTGATGAGTCATCCATGTTAATGTATATCTGAGAATCAAAGTGTTACTTGTCTCATCTATTTTCTGTATGTATTTCTAACTGTGTATGTAATTATAATCACTAAAGTCAAGATATCATACCACAGTCTCTGCCATGGCTACTATCTGCATTGCACCTTGGAATTTTCTGTATTGCACATTTATACAGCATATGAGATTCAAATTGTGATATCTTTAAAGGTCAGGATATCTTAGAACCAGAACATAAAACAGCAGTATGCATGTCGAAATGTGAAACACATACTTGAACATGATGTACTTCATATAGACTGCATCATGCATTGCATGAACATCCTCATTATCTATAAAACTTAATTGTTCACGCAACACTAACAGATTCTGGGATATGTGGTGGAATATCACGTAGATGAAATGAAATAGTTAAGCAACAGTAGCACCTGAATCATGACATAGCAGAAAATTAGTACACGATGGGAAACAATTGGAAACATAAAAGAGAGGTATTAATTCCTGCATTTACCAGTGTAATGCATTAGTTTGTCAAAGAAACTCACAGAGAAATAAGGTACGGAAGCTCTGTATCCAACAAGAGTCAAGTAAAAGACACAGCCAAGGAAGCAGTAGTGCGCCGCTCAGTTACTGAAAGACGCTCGCACATGATGCAGTAACCATGAGAGATGAGTAAAAAAGACACAAAAGAAGCTGTCTGAAATATCACTCCTGTTACATACACTCCAAATGACATCCATAGGGAGCATATTTGAAGATGAAAGCAAGAATACCTGCAAAAGTGACACTTCAAAATTTGGTAAGTGTGACGGAGGAAACAACAGTAGAAAAATCATTACAAAGAAGGCTCCGATGTGCTTATGTCCACACAGATACACATGCGAAAGGCAGCCTTGTCATATAATGCATACAATTTCCTATAGGGCTCTCTAAATTATTGGCCTCATAAATTTGGGCATTGAAAATTCTCCCCTAAACAGAGATCTCTGGACTACCAGCAAATATTTTTTGTTTTTGCTTTTTAATTGATAAAGAAAAACATATTAGCTTCAAAACAGATGAATTGTTCAGTCCTTCAATTCATTGTTCCAATCCCCCCTAAATGGATAAGGGTTCTTCATAAAAGAAACAAAATAATTACTTTCTGAACATGCATTTTTTTTCTTTTTGTGCATTGAATGGCAACTATATTCTATTCCCCGAAGATAATGAGAACATACCAGAAGAGGAACGACAACGTAAGTTGCAAGGCTTTAATTAATGGAACAGATGCAAGCGTCCACTGCAAATTATTCGTCTGCTCTAGTTTAACCACAAAACAAAGCACAAAAATTATAGAAAATAAGTAATTGCATCAAAGCCAGCCCAACAAAAGAAAATGAATCAACCAAGTAGAGTATTAACACACACTGAGCACACTATTTATGAGATTTAAATTTGCCACCCTGTTTGGTTGTCCAGAAATGTAGGCCAAACAAATAACTTGAATCCAACCAAATAGCTATTTATGAAGCTAAAGAAATAAAAACATATAATATATATATATATATATATTCACCGTTTTCTCTTAATTATATACAAAAATTTCCGAGTAGTCGAACAGAACAAAGATATTAAACATTTAAACCAGTTACCCAATAGAAAAAGAGAAGCACCCATTGTTTGGTTGCCTAGAATCTGAGGCGTTGAGATAAATTTAATGGCTCATATACAAAACAATGTATGTAAAAAAAAAAAAAAAAAAAAAAAAAAAAAAAATTTAAAAATATATTAAACCTTTAAACCAGAGAGCACAGCCCAAAACCTTTTCAGATTTTTCTCTTGCAACCCAAATTATACGTTAACATCCTCAACATTACCAGATAAACAACCCAGAAATCAAATTTGGATTAAAATTTCAAAACAAAAAAAAATGTGGAAATGAAGGAAAAAGCGACCTGGAGATGGCGGTTCTTATAGGTGTTGATGGTCCAAGAGCAGGCCGAGACGAACCAGATGGACAAGAAGGCCAAGTAAACCGATGGCAGAGACCGATACGACTCGTCCAGTCCGATACGATACGCTCCGATACTCTCAAATTCGGTCATTCTGCGAATCGGAAGCTTAATCATAAAAGAAGAAGCTTTAAGCTTCGCTAACAATTTGATTTTTAGTTTTTCCGTTATGTTTTCGCTCTCTCGGCTTCTGTGCTTTATATATATCCCGTTGGCTCACACCACAAAACGTCATCGTTTTCGTCCATGTATTTTAATACTATTTTTTTGGGGACTATTTAGGGCATTGAAAAGTATTAATTTAGAGTGCTGCTAAACGAACCCTAAAATTAATTGAGTACACCCTATAATCTAAGTTAACCCTAATATTTTAATCAAAATGTAAAATTAACTAAGTACACCATATTTAACTACCAAAAATAGCTCTGGTACACCACTCTAATACCAATCCTAAACCAGGTTTCTCTTTTTACATGAATTTGTGTTATATTTTCAGATTTTGGGTTTCATCAAAATCTTTAATTTCGTAATACCAATCCCAAACTAAACTAATAGTTTCTGCGCTATTCGTGAGCACCAAGCAATATGAAGACTTTTCTACGTATGATAAAGGTTGAATATAGTGAGTAAGGTGTACTTATTAAAATTTTATTTGTTTCACAATTCAATATATCGTTTTTGGTCATTTTATATTAGGGTAAATTAGTAATTCAATAAATAGTTTGATAGTAGGATGTACTCAGTTAATTTTAGAGTTCGTTTAGCAGCACTCTTAATTTAATAAAATTTCAAATTACTATCTACAAAGACCATGAAATATGAATATTTTGAGCTCATTTTGTTTTGTTGAATGAAAAATGTGCCATCTTAAGAAGGATTTATTTTTACTTTTTTGTTCAAATACAGGAACGAAAAAATTTAATTAGAGTCGAATTCTTATCGTGCGTGTGATGATGAATTTAATTTTCATTAGTTTTTAGGTTCTTTTTGTTGCATGTAATTGGGTTTTTCTTCTTCGGAAAAAATAGCAATTTACCTACTAATTTTGTTTTTGGATTATTGAACTAAAGTGAAGAAGGTTATTAGTGAATGTAAAGAAGATGAGCCAGATTTAAGGAAAATGAAGTTGGTGATCCTCTCATGGTGTGCCATACAACAAACCCACTCCCCTAAAGTCTCCTCATTAGTAGGCCTAATTATTGGGATCAACTAAATCCACCAGAAGTGTATTTTTTTTCCCCCATGAAAATCTTATGTTACTATTTTTAAAGGGTTTAAGGAGATTTTAGAGAAGAGCCTGCACTGCACGGTCATCATGGGACAATAGCTGTCATCTCTCAAACAAAGGACGTGGAGAGCACTCTTATTCAATATTCCTTTTCGATAGCTGGTAGCATTTCTATGGCCCTTCAAACAAATGGCCGACTATTTCGATTAAACAAAAACAAAAGAAGAAGAAAGAAAAACAAAGACATATATTTTTATGCTATGTTGTTTGATTATCAATTCAAAATTTGCATTTTAAGACAAGTGGTTCGGATTAACGTTCGAACGATAAAAATTATTGTCCAAGGAACAAGCGCGCATAACATTTCATGTACAATGAATTAGCATAAATCATTTATATGGAAAAAAAAAATTAATATACTGTAAAATAAAATAAATAAAAAAGTAGGGTTTATTGAGGGATGCTCACCAAATCATCCTGGATAGGACGCAGGTTTATATAAATGATGGTGCGAGTATATGGCCAACTACTATGCAGGTAGATAGGCAACTCATGTTGACCATTTTGAATGCTTCCAAGTTCCAAGTTCCAACTAAGCAGTTATGAGGAAAATCTGGGTTGCTATGCCTATGCTATGCTTTAGAATATGAGATTTTAATTTAGTTTGGTCATTTTATGTAAACATTAGGTGAACAAACTCACAAACAAAATGTTTTGTTCTTAAGCACACTTCATTGAAATATACAAATTTAAATTATTTCATATGAATATATTACGAGTCATCACTGAAAAACATATTTGTCGATGATCTTAATTAATTAATCTTATTCCAAAACATGTTTGTAATAGTCATGTATGTGGTCCTCTCATCACAGTCATGTAATAATATTGAAGCCAATTACGATTTCTGATTTCGTATTTCTTAATGATTAGGATTTCATATAGGTACTCGTCACAAATAACGAGCATCGACACAAAATGAATAACATATAGAAGCAGTCCCCAGCAACATTAGGCAGGAATAAAACACCCAACTTGAAGGTAAATACTAACAAACTACATATCCTTCTTCTTCTTCTTTCAACCAAATAAACAGAGTGAAAATGAAGATCAGGTGTGGAGGTCACACCCCATTCAATGATATAAAATGAGCTTTAAAAAAAATTACATTAAATGTCTTTGCATAAGGATAACAACATAAAGAAAGGCAAAAAGACATAGATTTACAGAGATTATATGTTTATAAATTTTATGAAAAGTAAACATAGTAACATAGATTACAACTTAACAAGGCTTGACCTTTTTTTTTTTGGTGGGGGGACGCTCGTGGGCAAGTGAGAAACAAGTCCTTCGGCTGGCCTGATATACTCGGCCGAGACCAACACTGAGCCCACTAGTCAAGTGGGCATCTGGGCCGGCTCCAATTCCTCTTTTTCCTTTTACTTTTTACTTTTGTTAAGCTTCAGCCTGGTCATTTTGCTGCTTCTTTTTTATCTAAAAAATAAAAATAAAAAATTATGAAAACCATTTGCTTCTTCTTTACACATCTATGCATGTAGGGGAGGTATTATCTGGATTGGATCAGTTCGTTCTAAATTATGATAGAATCAATTATAATATAATGATTTAGTTTGGTTCAATTTTGACAAAAATTATAGAGAAAATTAAACTAAACCAAACCAATTTAAGACAATTTGGTTCGACTTGGTTCGGCTGGTTTGGGCCTAAGCCCAGTTCTCTTTCCTTTTGCATTTTTTCAATATTGTTAGTCCAATTACAACCAAAAAATATACAACTTGCTACATACGTTTTTTTTCATTTTCTAGAGTATCAAACTATCCTAAAACTTAAATACAATAAAATTTTAAATTTCAATAACTAATATAGCTACAATTTAAATATCAATAACTCCAAAGGTTCATCAGACTTTAAATTCAACATTCATATATGGTTATTATCTAATTAGAGTACTATACTTGTAAAATAAAATATAAATAAATAAATATACAATTAGATAGTTCAATTTAGTTTAGGCCAGTCGACAAAAACTAAAAACTGAACTAAACCAAATGATATACGGTCTGATTTAGTTTTTAAAACCGTTTGACCTTTTTTGGGTTAAAACTAAACCAAATTGATAGTTACAGTTTGAATCAGCCAATTGGCATCAAATATGACATTTGCAGCTTTGATCATCAACCACAATATTATCTTTTTAATAAATTATGTATCAAGTGAATTTTCATATTTATATATGCCCAATTGCTATAATTAGTTGGCATGTCCTGTCCACAACAAATTACAACCACTTGTCAATTTCAAAAACTTGTGTAGGAATCAAAGCTTAGAGAAGAACATTTGGACCAATTCATACTTATTATTATCTTTCATGACCATATATCACTTAAAAGTGCAAGTCTGCTTAGTGGAGTGATGTCTTCAAACTTGCTACGAAAATTAAAACCATTTAAAAAGGGCAGGGCTGCCTACTAGAAACAATTTTTCTAGTTTCAAACTTCTTACCACGTGAGGAACAATTCGATATTAAATTTAAAAAGTAATGCTCATTGGTCTTTCTTTTTTATTTCTCATGTACCAAACCCTAACTAGAGCCAAACACATGTTTAGTAATCTGACTCACGTCAAAGTATTTTTCTTTAATCATATTTTCTTCTTTTGTTTTTCCTTTTTTAATTATTTAAAAAGGTTATTCGAACTTGAGATATCGTTCACGGTCCATTATTAAAAATAAAAATATCATACAATTAAGAGTTAGCTTGTGTTTCTTACTATCTATTTTCAAGAAAATCGAAGATGTGTATCCGTTTGTTTAGGTTGGAATTTTATATATATAATATAAAAAAATGAAAAAAGCAATACCAAATATGATATATAAGTATTATAAAAAATAAATAAAAAAGGACGTTTGATGTCATTAGTGCATAATTCTTCTTCACGTGTAGAAACAAGAAAATTGTTTCCAGTAGATAGTTGCTTTTAATATACATATATGCAGTCTCTTTCCATTGAGAGATCTTTTAAATAATTTTATTTAAGAGATACCTTTTATGGTACCTTATGAATTTTTTTTCAACGATCAAAACCATCTTCATTCATAGATCATCCTTGCAAAAAAAATCAGACAAATTGAAAATCATTAAGGCATCTAATTGAGACCAACAAAATCAATGAACACGAAATAATTTTTATAGAGATGATTTTTTAATTGAAAGGTCAAATGATATCGGATTCAAGTGATTTTTTTATAGAGATGATCTTTGAATGAATATCTACAAAATAGACTGTTTGGATTAGTAAAATAAAATGTGGAGTAGAACCTACAAGCACTGGCATACCTATTAAGGCACTGCATATTGCCCATTTGCTGAGGTTTTGTGGTGCGCTCTAGTTGTTCGACGAATTGCCTCCACCAAGGCTTGAAGGCGTTGGGCTGTTTCTACGTGCAGCATGTTTTTTTTTAATTAAAAAAATAACAAAAAAGCAATTCGTGGGTTTTAACAAGCTCTGATGTATGGGCTACTTAAAAAATGATAAAGGGCTTTTAACAAGCTTTCTTTTTCTTCTTTTAAATTAATTGTTTGGCTTACAAAAAATTTATAATCAAAATGAGAACTTTCATTCATAAAGAAGCAACAACAATACAACCAGAGCTCCTGGCTTCTCTAGGTGCTACAAAGTGGCTTCATTAAAACCTTGTCATAAAAATCCCCAATGGAGGAAATCCAGTCAAGAAAAAAGAGTATCACAGTACCGAGGAAATCCAGTCAAGAAAAAAGAGTATCACAGTACCGCAATACATAAAAACTAACCCCTTTGTCTATCCTTTCCTAGTAAATTTTGAATCTATATCAGACCCACCCCTTCCGAGAAACATTGAGCCATAGCATGAGCCACACTGTTACCTTCACGAGGTTAATAGACCACCTTTGCATTACCCAACTGCACTAGCAGCACTCGAATATCATCAACTAGATTACCCACATTACTCATCCAGAGTGCCCATAATCATATTCATGGCTTCTTGTGAATCAGAAGCAACAGTCAAATAACCATTCCTTTAGCAGATGCCAAAAGTAGCCCGCTATGAATAGCCGCCAGCTCAGTTCCCAAATTGTCGGAACCATCCTAGCCAGCAACCGCAAAACCCTAACAAAACTCGCCATGGCAATCACAAACCAAACCGCCCACTCCTCTTCGCCTACTATTCCTCCCAACAGCACCATCACAATGCAAAACAAAATTGTCCAGCATGTGGTTTAAATTAATCACAAGTGAAGATAGTTTCCAATTCTAGAATTCTTTCTTAAGACGGCAATTCAGCTGCTTTTCTCAAATGCAGACACACTTTTTCTTTTCTTTCCCGTCAAATTATTTTTATAATGAAAGAACATGGCTTAATTAGCACATCATTTTCATTTAATAATAGAAAGAAAGAAAATGTAACTTCATACAGAGGAGGAAGAAGAAGCACACGTGCTTTCCCTCTTCTTAAAAAAAAAAAAAAATTAAACTTATAGCTAAAAAAAATCTAGGTCCGCCAGTGCTTACAAAGATGTCCCTCAAATAACTTATTTGAAGAATTCCTCAACGAAAACTCTCTGTACATATATATATACACACACACACACACATACATACATGATGCATACGTACTTGTTCTTGTGTTATTTTTATTTTTATTTTTTGGTCAATGAGTTCTTGTGTTATTATTTCAAGCAAATTATGAACAAAATAAAATAAAAAATCTGGTGGTGTCAAAATCTTATAATTAATCCATATATGGATATGGATGAGCCCATTAATTCAAATCTTTTGGTGTTTTGTAGCTACCAATTGCTCGAGAAATTATAAAATGATATAGTATTACCACATCAGCTATTGATATTTCCATTTAAAATTTACCATGTGTCATTTTTAAAAACAATTAAAACTTTATTTTACAGCTGGACATAAAACCCAATTATAACCCTTTGAAATAAAATGAAATAAAAATAAAATATCATAAAAAAGATAGAACCACCCACCCGACCCAGTCTCCTACCTCGCCCTGCCCCCCTTGGTCACCGCCCCCTTCTACACTCTCTCCCCCTTCTGACGCACTTCAACAACTTAATCATATATGAATCCTTCATTTTCAACCTTTCGATGGCTACCCGAAGACCCAGTTATATTTCTCCTTTTTGAAGGTCTCACTCATTTGTTGACTACTAATTTTCAGATTGTCATCAAATCTGTAAAAGCTTGAGGGGAAAAGTGGGTGTCAATGCTTAAGATATGTTGCATGTGCTTCCGTGGGTTCAAGTGGCCTTTCAGTTTGAGAGAGAGAGAGAGAGAGAGAGAGAGAGGCAACGGGGTAAGGGGTTGGGTTGGGTGGGTGTTTCTGACGTCTTCTCTGTCCTTTTTTGTCTTTTTAATTTCTCTAGGGTTCAGTTTTATTCTGAATGTGAAACATAAGTTTTAAATCCAGCTGTAAATACAAATATTTGTTTTTATTAAAAATTGACACATGACAAATTTTGAAGAGGAATGCTAGCAACCTTCTCTCTAACCTTCTGTTTTGGACATTCTCCATCTTTTGCTTGACACGTGTCATTTCCCTTACACTTAAAACAATGTCATTAATATATTATACAAACTAACTTTTGCTTTCCAAGTTTACCCTTATTAAATGTATTCAATTTATCCAAAAAAAATTTCACAACTTTCTTACCATCTTATTATTTTTTTTAACGTCAATTTTTTTTATTTAAGAAAATGTATGCATTAAAAAAAAAAAGAGGAAATGTCCCTTTTTTTAACGTCAAGTTTAGACTTTTTTTTATTAATAAAAAAAAAGGACATTTCCTCTTTTTTTTAAAAGCAAACATTTTCTTTAAAAAAAATAATTGACGTTAAAAAAATTTAATAAGATGTTAAGAAAGTTGTGAATTTTTTTTGGATAAATTGAATACATTTAATAAGGGTAAACTTGGAAAGCAAAAGTTAGCTTGTATAATATATTAATGACATTGTTTTAAGTGTAAGGAGAATGACACATGTCAAGCAAAAAAGGGAGAAGGTCAAAAAGAGAAGGTTAGAGAGAAGGTTGCTAGCATTTCCCAATTTTGAATGGGAGTGTCATTAGCTAACGTGGTGTTATGGTATCATTCTATAATTTCTCCAATCACTAGGATGATATCAACAGAGGAGATAATGTAATAATACAAACTGTTGTTTTTGTGTAGGCTTTTTTTCTTTTCATATGTACTTTTCTTTTTCAGTGCCTTGGATTAAGGAGACATTGATTTAGCTTATATATAGCACCAAATTTTGGATCGTGATTTAGCTTTAGCCACTTATTTATGTTTTTGGATCATGCAATTAGTTTTGTAGAATGAAATATTTTTGCTCACCACTTTAATCTAAGGTGTACCCACACTATCCTTCTCAATACTTGACATATGTCCCTTGGCATAACCATAATTAACTCTTTACTTTGTATTTATGCAACCATGATTATGTCAATAGACATGTGTCAAATGTTGAGAGTGGTGAGGCTACACCTATGGTTAAAATGGTGAGCAAAAATACTCTCTAAGAAATGAAAATTTACAAGACAAGGGAAAAAGAAATACAAAAAGAAAGGAAAGTACTTGTCTTCTTCACCGGAAGTAGAAATTGCTACTTTCATGTGAATACCTTTGGGAAACATCCAAGTAATGAAGGCAAGCAATCAATAAAGATCATTCCAAAACACGATTTATATCCAATATAGCACGTATGAACACATAAAAAGTACATTGTGTAATTTATTTTAATGAATAAATCCGATTGCAAACTTTGACTGGATATATGAATAAGTGATTGCTTTTCAAAATTGGCACGCACATGCCATCATGGTCGCAATGACAGAAGGAAGACAGGTAGAATAGTAGGTAAAATTGTTGTCTACTAAAAACTTGCTCAAAGTATGAAATTGATCTTAGTTTCTTGCCCTATACAAAATTCCAAACCTAATTCATGGACCTGACCAAATTAATGTTCTAGGAACTTGTACCTTGTAAGTACTGATTTATTCCAATGCAGCTATAAGAAAGAATATACCGAACCCAAAAAGTAAAAAAAGGGAAAAAAAGATGTGGTCAATAAGGCTTTGTCATGTGCTTATTGGTGATGAGGTAAGATACTCTTCCATAATGTAATAATAATTAAAGTGGGAACGGGTTTTGAACAAAGCAACGGACAAAAGGAACGGACCTTAAACGGACAAAAGATGAGAGAGGGAGAGAGAGAGAGACGTGGACAAATGAGGTTTGCAGAAAATTCAATCGAACGTTGCTGCTATACAATGGTGTGGTGTTTGGGACCCTCCACCACTTGTACTGCACATGACCCATTCCTAGCCTACCACTCAGTTTGTACCCTCTCTCTCCCTCTCTCTCTCTCTCTCTCTCAAACTCTCTTATACTATAGCTCTTTCTTTTTTTCAATTTTCTTTCTCTTATGTTTTTTAATAGAAGCATTACTAAACCCTTTCTCTCTCTCTCTCTCTCTCAAGCTCTCTTTTATTATAGATCTTTCTTTTTTTCAATTTTCTTTCTCTTATATTTTTTAATAGAAGCATTACTAAACCCTTTCTTTCTCAGATGATATAGGAGTAAATGTTCTTAAACACTTGATTTACAAGTCTGAACGATGTAAAAGAGAGAAGAAAAAAAAACATATTTTGAATGAAATTGTTAAGGGTTTTTTGTCATTGTTATAGCTAGTGAAATTGACAATGGTAGGTTCTTAAGGGTCAATGTGAAGGAGCGTGTAACCCCATTCCCTATCCAATTCCCTACAAAACCCCACTCTCATTTCTCTCCCTTCTCATAATTCCCATTCGCTCTCTCTCCAAACTCTCTTTCTTTCTCTCTCTCTCTCTCTCTCTCAATTTACTTTTCTTATACATATATAATTGTATATCATCAATACAAATACATTGCCCGCTACATTTTTTGTACACAATTATACATCAACTGGGTAGTTAAGGTCTCAAGTTGGTTAGCAATGGCAGCAGAACCCAACAATTCAGAATTAGCTCAATGCACCAGCAACTCATCTTCATCATCTGGGTTGTTGCAAACTCATTCCACTTCACCCTCAAACTCACTCAAGAGCAAGACCAAAACACACAAAGCTTCCTCACAGCATCAGCAGCAACACCAAGTAGCACTCAAAAGAAAGAGAGACGATGATAGCAACAGCAGCAGCAGCAGCAAACACCCAGTTTACCGAGGAGTTCGAATGCGCAGTTGGGGCAAATGGGTGTCAGAAATTCGCGAACCTCGCAAGAAGTCACGCATCTGGCTCGGCACATTTTCAACTCCAGAGATGGCGGCCCGTGCGCATGACGTGGCTGCCCTCAGCATTAAGGGCAACTCGGCCATTCTGAATTTCCCAGAACTGGCCGAGTTGTTGCCCCGACCGGCGTCCCTTAAGCCTCAGGACGTTCAGGCTGCTGCGACTAAAGCGGCAGCCATGGTTCATTTAACTTCCACGTCATCATCCTCATCATCCTCCTCCTCCTCCTCGTCTTCGTCATTATTGGTGTCACAGTCAGAGGGTCCAGAATCAGAGGAGCTAGGGGAGATTGTGGAGTTACCCAACATAGAGGGCAGTTTCGACTCGCCCGAGTCGAGGAACGAGTTCATATTGGTGAATGACTCGGAGGATGGGTGGGCGTATCCATCAATGGAGCTTGAGGGGGTTGAATTTAATTTGTGGGGTTTTTTCTCATCGGATATTGGCAGCTGAGAAAACTTAATTCCAAGCACCTTTGAAGGTTCTAGCTAGTAGTGTGGGGGTATTCAAATGACTTAATTGGTGTGCATAGCGCTTTTTTTTCAGTTTTCGTTTTCTTTTTTCATCTTTAGAAGACTACTGGTGTGGTCCTGTATAATTCATTCTGCAATTTGCTTGGCTACTTTTGCTAACTCATCACAACTGTCACTGTAATATAATTCACACAATTTGATGCTAGCTAGCTATGTTTCTCTTTATTTAATTTTTCTCCGACGCAGAAAATTAATTATTTGATTTTGTTTTTTTATAAACAAAAATTTATGAGAAGATTGGCTACTTTAACTACCATAGTACTCTGCTGATTTATTTGTAGTTTTTCGTTAGTGGTGTACTCTACTGATTTATTTGTAGTTTTCCATTAGTGGTGAATATTATAACTTTCGAAAGGAAGACTTAGCACATGTATGTAAGGCATATTCTTTCACAGTGAACATAGCTTATAAATCAGATATGTAAAAGTCAGTCTTATCCCTAACTTATAAATAAGTGCTAGTTAGCTGCAATCATCGCCATAATCATGATAGTTATCATTAACCACCAATGCGATCATTTCTCTGCCCTACCATGGACTTGTGCGCATGTGTTTATTGCGAATGTGCCGAGTTTTGACAAATATGTAGATGAAATTCAACATTCATGGTTAATTTTATACGTTACGTGTACTAAGTTGGTGCACAATCATACATACACAAAATTTATTCCTTTTATATACTATTCACGACTTTATATAAATAGTTGTTTGACACACTGCATTGCAGCCGGCCTAAACAAAACTTTTCTCCTTCCACTCATTTCCCATTCAACTTTATTTTGAAATTTGCACTAGTATTTACTGCTGATTTGTTTCTTTTGGCCTGCAATTATGGACTAAGATGATGACTCTTATTTAGACAAATTGGAAAATGTACCGTTGGAAGGTTTCGAAGTATATATTGTCATCACATACAACTACAAATGTACCGTTGTGCACATTGAAAATGATTCGAGTGACATCTTCTGCATTACGAGGACAAGCATGCGACAAAATAATTTGAATATGTTACAACTTTTTATTGGGTGGGGTGGGGGCAGAAGATATGGGAGAAATATTATTTGGATTGTAATGGAAAGAAGTTTCCAGGAGAACAAACAGACCGCTAATGCTTTTTAACCATGAATAAGCCGTCAAAAAATGTATACAGAGCCTGTTCTCTGTACATATAGACCTTTGAGTTTTCCTTTTCATGTTTTTGTTTTTATTTTTATTTTATGTTTTATTTGGAAGGTTATTTGAGCAAGATGTAAATATAGCGGGATTAATATAAAAATTTTTTATACCATATTTGACCGGCCAATCAGAGAATGAGACGTGGAACAAGGGACCCATAAAAAGAACTCACTAAACCTGACAATCTATTATGTCCCACAAAGTACCATCGGCAGGTTGTGAGCCTTCAGCACCCTGGTTTGCCGATCATGGCTAAAGACCACGCTTCATTAGAGATTTCTCACAAGTACACGTGGCGCCTCCTCAAGCAATGCCCATCGTCCCACATCAAAATCTCACTCGATGCACATCTCCCAAAATCTGTAAATATGGACACAAGCCCCCAAAACGAGATAACCTAACTGTGACATTCGGCTACTTTAGCCATTATTCTGTCCAGAGCACTATTCACTTCGTACTTGACACTAACGTAAGTATCGGAGAGCCTTCAGCCAGTATCACACCTATGCCCGAGGACTCACTGCTCGTTCTTTGTTTCGCAACCTATGAACCCTGCCAAAGAGCACACAGTGCAAAAGGTGACATCATCACTAAATTAGGTTCAAAAGTATTTGACCATTTCTGTGCATCAACAAAATTGGTGAAAAAAAGTCAAACGATTTAAAATTTGAATCTGAAATAAATTAAGGGTGCACATTGTCACCACGTTGACACACACTTTGCTAGGGACTCAGCCCAAGTGTTCACGTAATGAAACTTATTTTATTTTATTTTATAATATTTTCAAGTACAGGAAGGACGAATTCAATCTTAGAACATCTTCTCGCTCCAATGGAATTTTTTTAAAACCATATAACTAGAATTGGTTGGTACAACTTCCATTTTAGTTTACACAATTTATTATTTAGCATTAGCACTGTGAGTATAAGATCTTAAACTATTTTCATCTTAGGTTTATTGTCATTTTCCAATAGTGCCTTCTCGAATAATTTTGTTGTTTTAAGAATGATTTCTTGAAGAAATTCATTGCGTGAATCAATTAAGAGTCATGCTTAATTTATATTTAAAAGAAAATTACAACGAAAATCTTATATATATATAAATAAAAAATAAAAAATAAAGTAGTCACAATGATACGTTCATAACCACACACGACACCTGAAAAACCCAAGTTGGTGCTAGATCATCTGTCGATCTCAAAGTCTACTTTTAGGGGACAGCAAGGCATTCTTACACAAATTTGGTGCGAAAAAGATATTTCTTCGTGGGCAAAAGAAAATGACATGAAATTGTCCAAACTCTAAAAAGAAAAGATATTTTTCTTCTTTTTGTTCTTTATTAACAACAGGACCATATAGTCACAGCTCACCAAGTCTTTCATTAATATATAACAAGGACTTGTTAATCGGTCAATTCTTAATGCCATAATCAAGGAATAAAACGCATGCTTATATGTAGTTACATAGTTAAATAAAGGTTTATGTATTTTAAGGGATTTTTTTATTTTCAATAAAAACTAATAAAAATAAAAATAGAAAGGAGGGGTCTTTGTATCTCCTTTCTTGTCCTTGAATCTTATTTGCCATAATCTTGTCATTTATGCTTTAACTACTTATTAATTAGGTAGGTTAATCTAATTCAAACATGGCGTTCTTCGTGATTTTGGCTAGTTAGTGTTTGTTATTGATAGATATTTTAGGTCCTATTTAGCCATAATCAAGAAATTGTCTTATTATTTGACTTTTTTTTATTAGCGCTCTGAAATAGTATCATGAACTCTTAATACTTAGTGAAAAAAGAAGAAGAAAGAATTGCATGATTACTATTTTGGAGTCTAATAATATAAATAAATCCTACACCATTTAATTTATATAAACAAACCCAAAAAATGACAGCTGACCCTATTGAATTTAATTTTGATTATTAAATTACTTTGATGCCCATTGAGTGTTTTGGGCTTTTTTATGAGGTTTGTTTTAATAAATCAATGACACTTTTGTAATTTAAAAGAAGTTAGAAGCCTTTTTGTTATGTTGTAAATAGACTTTGGGCATTGCTTTTGTTATTCTAAAGTCCATTTTGTATAGAGTTTTTTTAAATAATTTGTGCTCCTATATTGAGTATATTAGTAAATCTCTCTAATAACAATTCCCGTTGTAAAAGGTTAATTTATATATATATATATATATATATATATGTGTGTGTGTGTGTACAAGGACAAAAGGAAAACTGCGTATGTTTTGAATTTTGCTTTAGTCAATGGCAAATTGGGATTCCAATATACCTTTCAACATTAAACAAAGAAATAACCCCAGACCAAAGGGCTAGTTGTGTTTTCTTATGTATTTGGCTTGCTAATGATTTTTATTGTAAGTTGTAACGTTTTTGACATCTTGTAAGATATTATCCATTGAGACTCTCGGTGTCGAAGTTTATGTGAAATCTCTCAATTTGTAATACTAATAACAATGACCAAGGTATATTATATAAGCTAGACTACTCCAAGCACAAGGCTAGATCCATGATTATAGTAGCCAATTACATTCAGTTATCATATAAATTAGTTGATTAATTTCCCTGAATTAATTGGCCTATGACGGTCGACGATCGGCCGGTGAGCTTCAGTGTCTGGTGACCGACCGGCCGCGGTGCTCCTCTGTCTTGAATATCAAGAGTGCCTTGCATTCTATGTAGTCCTTTGGCACCGTGTCATGAAAAACTGTTTTTTTTTCCCTTGCAAAAACATGTTGGCAAATATATAATGCTACTTTGCACATGATGTTCAATCTGATTATATCAACCACGTGTGTACCAAATTGAATCAAAATATTGGTAGTGAATTTGGTAGGTGATGAGAATAAAGTGATGGTACACAAACTGAAATATTTGGGGGAACATGGTAGCTTATGTGGTTTGAGGGTGAGAATTGAATCTTAAAAACAATCTACCATTACCAATAAATTAAAAAAATTATACTCATTACTAAAGTTATAAACCTTAAAACCTTACAAAATGAGTTGTTTTCTTTTTTTTCCTAATTTCTTCATTCAACATATTTGCGACGAGAGTCGAACCTTCACCATAAATATGTTGGAATAGTTTGTCCCAACTCAATATGCTCAGTTAAAAAGGGCATTGACTTACAGATTAGTAGGCTCAAGTTCGAATCCTCCATGACATTAACCGCCTCTCATTTTTAACTTTGACAGCAACAAAAACAGTTCCAAGAGAGAGTAACATCCCATTCCTCAAATTGAAGGAAGTTGAACCCACTGTGATGGCCATATGGTCAGCAATATGATTAATTACCGGACCCCCTCTTGTTCCACTAAAAATCTTCTTGGAAGTGGGAGAGATTCATAATCACATAACTATGAAATTTTATATCATTGCTGATGTATAGTCCACCCAATTAGCTGTTTCATCATAGCGGACTGTCCCACAGGTAGTTCACTCTGAATCAATTGGATATAAAGCTGAGTTTGCATAAAGATCTCAGCATATGATGTGGATGATTTGGTGGGTATAATGCTCTAATCAATGTCATTCTAGTAGCTCAAACAAGCCTACGTATTGCTCATTTTGTGAGTGCATCAAAGGAATATATAGAACTTTTCCAATGCATGCAATTGAATCGTTTCTCTTGATTGTTGACGTATTGAAAGTCGTCATGTTGCAATGCGGCGGCCACTACACCGCCCTTCCCCTTTCAGAAAACTACGACTGGATACCTTATCTTTGCTCCACTTGTTTGTTTTTGCATCAATTCATAAATAACTGGATGAGGAAAATCTTTAGATCAAGCACAAAATATTATATTCTCAAAGCTGTCTTGCCACAAAACATTTCATTCTGAAAAATGATTGAAAAGACATCATGAGAAGATTCATGACTAGCCTATACGTGCAGTTTGGACGATCATGATTACCATTTATTATTAGTATTGTCGTACATATGCATTTAAGTAAGAAATGGAAACGGTAAATAACAACCAGCGCCCATGGCCTAATGGATAAGGCGCTTGACTTCTAATCAAGCGATTGTGGGTTCGAGTCCCACTGGGCGTGCTTTCTTGTCTTTTTATCCCTTTTTTTTTCTTTTTTTTTCTATTTATGCTTCCATTTTTTTTTTATATTTCCAGAAACTTCATTTTCAATAAACCTCTTTTCTTAATGGGTTCCGGGAGAACATGAAAACAGAGGGAAGAACTAAATCCGTATCCTAAGCTTACAGAAATATCATGTCTAAACCAAATCCTTGTCAAGCTTTAAACTTTATGAACCATACAAAATTGACAACATCCAAGGTGGTTCTAACCTTTTTTTCTCTTTTTATATATGATGTGTATAAATTTCTATTTGAATTATGTGCTTTAAATAAGAGATACTGTAGTCTATTAAATTCACAAACAAAATCATTTTTCAAAAGGTAGGAATTTTCTTGTGTTATTTTACGTTCGCCTTGGGTCATCGTATCAAATGACTTGACAATTATTTAGTTTGTTCATAAATTATATGATGTTACACACATCATTTTTATTTGATGAATGGAAATGGGAATTTGAATTTAAGACATCTTTCAACATTTAAAAAACATGCATTAATTCCTAATAAGATGATTCCACTTAATCTATATGCCTGCTATAATAAATAAATTATATAAAAAAAGTTAAAAGAAAAAGCTATCAAATGTAATAAGGATTCATGTAAAAAAAAATTCAAGAAATAGAAAAGAAAATGAAAAGAGAAGGTATTTTCTTCATACAATGTTAGTTTATAAGATTTTCGTGTCAAAACTATATTACTTGTCTTTGATATGAACCCAATACGTTTTTTATTGCGTTGAGATGGAGTAATTGACTTTCATGGTTGCGTTAGATGATGCTGAACCCTAAATCTTAACTGTATCAATCGTGTCTAGATTATTTCTCTTAGAAATTTTTGAGGTTATGCCTTGTTCACCACACCGTCTCCATAGAGTGAACCAAAAGAAAGAGTACATTGAGTATAACAACAAAGTAGGACTAGTAAGTCAACTAGTGAAAGCTCATTCCATAAGTTTTTTTATTATAAAAAATAAAGATAAGCTCGTTCAAAATTAGGTGTCCTACATGGGTTTGCAGCCTAAGTGGTTAAGAGGACCTGACATCTTAGTTCATATGTTTGAATTCTCATCGCCATTATCCATATTAGAAACACACTTTGATGAGTGTTGGTTGTGTTCAAAATATAAATAGCGTGCACCAACCATTAGTTCTATATACATCTCCTTGAGTCCTCTTTGGCAAGATAGGGAAGGGAAGTGTGTTTCAACAACTTTAAAAGCCATTGCAATAGAAGAAGAAAAAAAAACACTACATAATTGAATTCAAAAGTCCACAATCAGATTTGATCACTATTGATGAATCTTTTTCAAAACAATCACTTCTAATAAGTTATGTCATGGTCATGCTTTCATTACTGTTGTAGATATTATTACACGTCATTTCTCACTCCTCACATGATTCTCGAGTAAACGGTGCCATTTTTCTTTTGATTTTACTTTCTTGTCAATATATAGACACATGATTAGTGCAAAGTGTAGAAAGCAGTCATGATCACAATAATTGAAACTTCAACCAAATCTTATTGGATACTAACAATACAAGCACGAGAAGTGTGGACTTGTCCATTTCATGCATGTTTCAGAAGTTTGGTGAGGTGTAATATCATGCGATCAATCTCTCATTTCTTCTTCCTCTGGTTGTTTTATTTTATATATGATGTCAAATAAGTGCCACGCCTCTGAGTTGTTAATTACTTGGAGACAGATCAGGTTTTCTTGTCAACAAATTGTGGCTAGATTGGCTAAGTTACTTATCTGGAATCTGATTTGTGGAAAGTGACCCCTTTCTGCAACAACCCATATGATTATATTCTATTTTCCTTATTATAATTGTGTTGCGTACTCAATCGTGTGATAGAAAAGTACCTTTCTATGAGGTGAGGACATGGGTTATTTTTGTAAGAGAAACCGATCTCTGTGTGTTTCAGAACTTGCGAAAATTCAAATATAGGTCGTCTAAGTTTACAGTTCACCCCATAAGCGTCCCTCCATCACTAGGGATCGTCGTATGAGTTGAGGTCGACATAGATTTTGATGATTCGTGTATACCTAATCTTGTTTCATGATCATGACCCTTTTGTTTTGTTTTGTTATTATTTTTCTACTACTTTTTCTCGTTAGAGTGTAAATAATGGCAAGCTACAAAAGAAGCCTCACACGATTGCGATGAAATAGTTTTCCCACTATTAGCGGAAGGCTAGGCTAGGAAGGAAGGCTAGGCTAGGAAGGAAGGGTACATAAGCAAACATGCATGTTCTTTTGGGAAAACATAGTTGGATGACCCTTTTGCTAACTGTGCATGTGAGTGAAATACAAAGCAGTCACTTAATAATTTCTGCGTCATATGTAGAAAAGATTGTGATATGGTGATCCTATCAATATGTTTTTATTTTTTATTTTTCATTGTTTGGAGAATCTTTGTCAAGTGATGTCATGGTGATGGAGCTACATGTGTCTTTATACACACACATGCAGCCATAGAATAGGATGCAAGAATGGTGGACCCAAAAGAAGAAAGGAGTCTTAAATATAAAAATAAGCAATTTTTGTGACCATACTTCAAACTTCCACAAAATCATATAATCATTTGCACGTATCTAGCCTAGGGCTAAATGTATTTTTCCAATGTGGTTCTGGTACTGAACCTGAGGAGGAAGAGGAATCTCCAAGGCTTCACCCTCCCCTGAGAGACAAAAGGCATAAACAACTCTCATAGCTTTTATACCTGCTTCAACATTGTAATGAAAAAACATTCAGCCAGTTGATTTCACAATAAAGAGATATATGTATGTACACATACATATGAGCAAAATCTACATGAAAGATTTTAGGGCGCATATATTTTAGGCAAATCCTAAACTGCAAGGCCTTCTTAACCTGTACGAGATCATGCCATGACATATCGTAGCCATTTCACGTGTCCAAATTTCATGTTGATACTGGATGTAGAGAAACATACAGCAGACACCAAGGCCTAAGACATCATCTATGGACATGACTCCTATAGTGTGCAAAGTTGTGAAATAGTGGAAATTCTGCAATCTTTCTTTACTAAACAGAACTTCTCAACAATTCCACCTTGGATTAGCATTAAACTAATTTGTCCATCCCGGATTTTGTGTTCAGTTGGTTAGTCCTATATAAAAACACCAAAACCCATGAATGAAAATTTCAAGATCGCTTACAGTTTCAGTATTGCCGACGTTGGAGAAAAATATCACGTCAAAATGTCATGATTCGAAATCCTAGCTACAGACAATTACTACTGGTAATTGTGTTTCAACAATCCCACTGCCGAAAATCTAACTCACTTATTACAAATGTATATGAGAATATCTCTTAATATATAGCAAACTTGTGCTGCATATATCACAAGTCAACAAAATCATATGATATTGATTTTAGATATTGCACTGTGGAAATAGATGCTAGAATTAAATTTCTGGTTAAAATATATATTTACTCTAAATTGATAATGTAAACATACACAGCAAGTTCTCCATATAGACAAAGATCTTTCAATTCCATACAAGTCAAGACATGTCTTAATTGGAGCGAATATTCATATTTCAAGAAAGTGTTGTGCTGATACTGGCTGATAATTAATTTTAAGGAAACTATGAAGGCTAAACAACCTAGAAGTAACAAAACTTGAAAAGGTTAACTTCAATTATTGTTTTAATCAACTTCTCAAACAATCCTCACAGGCCTGTCAATCTAACTACCTAATTCTGTATCAGTAGTACTGCAGTCCACTCTATCATGATGTAATGGATACAGAGTGGTGAGTATTTTCAATCTAAACATCAGATACGGTTGAGTGATTTTATTCCCCAAGGACCTGTCATTACTGGAATTTTTATCTTGTTACATACATAGCTCACAATCTACAAAAGGTAAATTTGAAAATAGATCATTTCCTATGGTGGACCACAGTATACAGGACCATTTAGTAGGATCAAGAATCACACAATACTTCAAAGGCATCCAACAAGAATAGGCCTATTGCAGGCTGATTAAAATTTCAAAAACAACTTTAACAGGGTTGCTTATGTGCAATAAGTAAAACACTGATAGGTTGTAGAGTACATTTATTGACTTACAGCATATCCACCATAATAACAAGCAGTTTTCAAATTATGGAGTAAGACAGAGAGGAAAGGCTTACCATTATGGAAATCCACTCGAGAACTCCAGATAGCTTAGTTCTCGTTTGTGCTAGACTTAACAAGTCTCTGAAATTTTTCTGATAGCTCTTGATAAAGCTGAGTTTCTGTCGGCTTCACTTGTTCAATTGCAGTCTTTAAATGTTTCATCTTTACTTCTGAGGCATCAAGGCTCTCCTGATAGAAGAAATAATCAAGAAATAATCAGATTAAGAAAAGAAACACTCATGCAACAAAATTAGGAACCATCTAACCTCCAAAGCTGCAACAGCTGCTTCTTTGCAAATTAACGATATATCAGCGCCAGTGCAGCCTTCTGAAAGATGAGCAAGTTCATATATGTTGACATCAGAACAGCACGGAATCTTGCGTAGATGAATACGAAATATCTCTTCCCGATCGGGCTCATTTGGAGGTCCCACATATAGCAGCCGGTCAAAGCGTCCTGTTCAAAAGAAATATATTCTTAGGAATGTTTGAAAAGTTTGTGGCGATATAGAAAGAAGCTTGTAGAAAACTCAACCACCTTGTGTTTAACATGTTACGGGAAACGGTTGTTTTTCATGAGACGGGTGAATGTGAAGGTGAGTACAGAAAATGTGAATGTGAAGGTGAGTACAGAAAATGTGTATGTGTGTGTGTTTGAGAGAGAGAGAGAGAGAGAGAGAGAGAGAGAGAGAGTGTGCGTGTGAGATGTTGCACCTGGTCTTAGAAGGGCACCATCGATCTTGTCTGGCCTATTTGTAGCAGCAATCACAGTGACATCAACTCTTGCATGCAAACCTAATTTTAACAGTATTGATCAAGTCAAAGATACAATAGCAAAAAAAATTATTGCTTTAAGTGAGCATCCTGGCTGATAAAGAACCTACATATTGTTTAAGAAGAAGCCTTACAAAAATAAACTACGAGAAAAAGCTACTGTGGATCCAATAATTTAGAACTGTTACTAACCATCCAATTCAACAAGCAGCTCACTCATAACCCTATCTGAAACTGAAACTCCATCACTTTCCTTCCCACGAATAGCAGCAAGACTGTCAATTTCATCAAAGAATATGATTGCTGGGGCATTAGCCCTTGCCTTTGCAAACAGGGATTTCACAGCCTTCTCAGATTCACCAACCCATTTGCTAAAAAGTTCTGGACCCTTCACAGCAAGGAAATTCAGCCGTGCTTCAGAAGCTACAGCACGAGCCATGAGGGTTTTGCTGCATCCAGGAGGACCAAACATCAGAACCCCTGTTGGGGGTCGAATCCCTATCTGTTTGAATGCATCCTGGTGTTTTTGAGGCCATATTACAGCTTCCATTAACTGATTTTTGACCTCCCTTTGACCACCAACATCTTCCCAATTAACCTTTGGAATCTCAAGTTTTACCTAGAAGTTTAAAGCAACAAATTAAGAGTCAGAGTACTTATATCAGTGAGACCATTCCTTCATATCTGCTGATAGAAAAGTTTCCTATCAAGTGACAGTCTAAAGGGCAACATAATTTATGATACCAGTGGCCACTGGTATCATCATGAAATGGTTAGTCCAAAACATGGCGCATGATATGATTAAATAATCAAACCACTGAAAAGTTCACATTTTGAACTCAGAAAAGTACTCTCTTGGAACTGTCAATCCAAAGAGAGAAAAAATAAATAACTCCTAATGTCTTGTTGTTCTGTAAGAGCAGCTGGACTCAAATAGCTGGCCATTTGGTCTGTGCTTGTCCATTGTATGATGAGTCCATAAAGAGAAAGTGGAACCTTGACTTTAATTAAACTAGTTTAGGGATACTGGAACTTTGGTACACAACATAGACTAAACAAAAATGACTGCCTGTAAACATGGAAGTATTGACCCTACCTCTCGCATGGCACTAGGCCCCACTCTCATCCTGGCCTTTTCAAAATCTTCAAAAGCCACTTGTAAGACACATTCTTCTTCTATGCCATTCAGGAAATTATCACCATTTGCATTTGTTCCCTTCACATGCACAGATATCTCTGAAGAAAAATCCAAATCCAAATGTGAGATAGATGAAGATGTGGAATCTGAGTAATCCCCCTTGATACGTGTGTTGTATCTTTTGAGCAAACAGATAGTATTAGACCATTAGAAATACCTTTATGAGAAATAGATGTTTGGTGCAAATAATCATGAGAGTATTTATATTTGACATAACGCTTAAGACAATTGAAGCCTGCCTCGTTACAAAGGGCAGCTAGATCAGCTCCTACGAAACCATGTGTAGCAATGGCAAGATGTTGGACTTGTTCATCTGAAAGAGAGTGCTCCATGGCACTGACAAGAACATTAAGTATCTCCAAACGTTGGTTGGGAGACGGCACACCTGAATGTCAATTTTCAAAAGAAAGATATTATTGACATCTGAAAAGGGAAAACAAGCTCTGCCTACCAGTATAAATACATTGATAGTGTAACGGAACAATCTTTATTCAATTACTTTTCGAAACACAGGGATATTACTCAGTACACTTATAACAAATGTATAGCCAAAATACCCCAAAGATAAGGACATGAAAACATTAAAATAAAATAAAAACCAAAAGTTTCTAAATAAATAAACAAAGAGTATGCAAATTAAACTAGCCTTCTGACAAAAATAAAATAAAATTTTAAACTAGGCTAATTATTATCTCTGCAACCTATAATAAGTATGACAGCTACCACAATTCCCCTCAGTTTGTCAAACCTCTAACGGACCAACATATTAGATTGATACCTTTTTTTTTCTTGCAAGTGTAACTCTGAAACTACTCAGAAAGGTTTTGGATATTACTAAAAATAAGTACTACGAAAAACTTCATATTACCTATTTCAATTTCCTTGTCAAGTCTTCCAGTTCGTCTGAGTGCAGGATCAATGCTATCAAGCCTGTTGGTCGCACATATTACAAGTACTCCATTTCTATTAACCCCGTCCCCATCTATCAACTTCGACAGTGCACTAACTATTCTTTCAGATAGCGCTTCACCTCCATCTTTCCTTGCAGGTGCAATAGCATCAAGCTCATCAATGAATAACTGTGGACAGAATCCATTAGAGAAAATGAAGTATAGATGTGTGATACTGAATCAACTAGTCTCTCAAAGGCAATAGCTTGGTAATATAATCAAATTAATTAAACCACGTTCCACAAATATACATTCACTCTTTTAAAATGACACAGTTTAACTGTCAACATTTTATTGCCAACTAATAATGTTAACATTGCAGTATTAACTATAAAGTTAACCTTGTAGTGTTGACTAATAATGTTAACATTTTAGTTCTGACTTTAAGCCTCCAAAAGGGCCTTTACTTGCATACATTGCTTATTAATTAAAACCTTGTAAATTCAAAAATTCCTTTTAGTACGTATTTTATCAAACTTCCTCAAAGTTAAGTTTTTATGATAGTTTTTTATATAAATCAAGCCCTTGTTTGCTGTAAGGTCTTTGGTATAATTCTAGGACAGCACCTTTTCCAGTATTTAGTTATATTTTCAAAGCATAAGGCGGGATTTGATTCAGTTTTATTAGGCAATTTTGCACCTAGAGAGTATGCAAGGGGGTGTTAGGTTTGGATATACAAAATTAATCAGCGTAGTCTTCACTACATCCCACAAAAAGGACCCCAAGTTAATGCAATTTTCAGCATAGTCAATTCCCTACGTATAAGTCTCCAGAATTTTTACTTCACACAATGGATTAACAATCTTAATTTCAAGATTTCTGTAAAATCTGACAATTTCCAAATTCCTAGGAAACCCTGTGCCATGTTTATTTGAGATTTTTAATGAGCTATCTACAGAAATCATCAGGGTTCACAATGACTAAAGGCCCGGGCCAGTATCAATAGTGCACATGAAAAGGATTAAAACAGTATTGCCTGTTGAATGGAAGTACACAATTGTATATTTGCCTTTCCCACCACATGCATCTAAGTTCTAACCAGAAAATGAAACCTTCAAATAAAAGGCAAGAAAATTGAAACAGAGAAGAAAACTAACCACAGAAGGCGCAGCTTGGCTAGCTGAATCAAAAACTTCATGCAAAGCTTGCTCACTTTCTCCATGGTATTGGCTCACAACTTCAGGTCCATTGACAGAGAAAAAATTGACGCCAGAATCACGGGCACATAATCGAGCCAACGAAGTCTTTCCCGTACCAGGAGGACCATGAAGAAGCACTCCCTTTGTAGGTTTTAAACCAAAACTAATTAAAAAAAATATATATGCATGAATTACTGTAAGAAAAGAATGGCCACAACTTATGAACACATCAAAACTATATGTTTCCACCGCCAAGTGAACACGTTAATTGGTATGATCCTGGAAGACAAGAATTACAATTTTTTTTTTCTTTCCAAAGATCAGCTGTATTTCCTGTAGACAAATCATTTAATGTATGCATCAGACGATATTGTAATGCCTTATTATTTGGTAATTCTATATATTTCATCATTTGTAATTGAAAAATTCCATTTAGATTGACAAGTCATCTAACTTAAAAAATGTATCTTTTTCATGAATGGGGGAGCACACCACTAAGTAATTAGTAGTATAATCTTATAATTAACCATACAGCTTATACCTTACATGTTAATGGCCTTTACATCAAATGAATATTCGTACCACAATCCGAAGTTTAGTATCACATGCAAATTTCGGTTACACTATTAAGAAACAATAATGTTTCATATGACGTACCTTGGTAAAATGTCCATAGAGGATGAAATTATGATGTCCTTCAAATTTTCATATTCTTTAGAAAGACCGGCCAATCTTGAAGTATTATCTCCTGTATCAGCTATAGAATCATTACATTCCACACTAGACAGATTGCTTCTCTGCAGAGTTTCAGATGCTGGGTTTGATGACAAATGAAAACATACTTTCGTTTCTCGCTTCACTAGAAAAGCATCATTTTCACCACCCACTAGTTCAGACGCCTCATTTAGCAAATCATGATTAGCATTATTCTTTGACAAAGTTTTAGCACCAATCACTCGGAGTAAACAAAGCTGTGAAAGCATTGGGATGGTCACAAAATTTCCAATAAGTAGACAGCGAGAATACAACCATGTTGTAGCACATGTCTGCAGAAGTCTTTTTGTACTGTCATCCCCTAAAACCTCTTCAATATCAAAAGAATCAACAGATGACTCATTGGGAATGGTTACATTTCCTACTGACTCCCCACGCCGTGGTGAAGTTACTGGACTGGTATCAGAAACACTAAGCTTTGATTGATTCAATGGTGTCTTAGGGGATGCAAGCATTCCATTTTCGGAATGACAGTAAGATTTTTGATAAGAAAAATTGGTAGAGGTATTGTTCATAATTAATCTGTTGTTAGAATGAAGAAGCTCCAAAACTAACTCCTTGCAGTCGTATACTGAGAGGCAATTAACTTTAGTGCTACGTGCTTTTCTTGTATCACATACAAGACCAGCTTGGGATTGATTTTGTACAGAGTGGATGAATATGACCCTGCCTGATGGAGGACAACCCATTGTATTGGAAAGATGTGAAGACAATCGCACTCCATTCTTTATAACCTGAGATAAAGACATGAATAAAAATAAAGAAAATGCAGACCCCAAATGTTGTAATGCAATAATTTATTCGAATGAATCAACCATTAGAAATCCAAACTCCAAAGTGCCTAAGGCAATTAAAAAAAACCTATTTATTTAATCAACAAAGGTTTCCATAACAAATTGCAAACAACGAATTCGATAATTAGATTTTTTGATCTGATCACAGGATGCCATTTCAATATTCAACAATACAGTTCAAACAGTAAAGAAGTGAAGTTACGACCTCTTCCTTTTACAAAAACAAGTTCATATATGGAACATCCTTTGGGATATTAGTAGTCACCCAGTACTGGAGAATGCGTATTTACTGTTTAGAGTTTAGACGCACACTAATTCCACATGTTTTAAGTTTTATTGCATAGTAATTCATCTGCTGAGCCTTTTTTTGTTCTTAGAAAAACCATTTGTCACAATTGCCATATCAAATAAAGGGTTCAAAAAAGTAACCCAGTTGCCATTCAAACCTTAGAAGACGGAAAAATAGTTGCAAGAGCAAGTAGTTCCCTGCGTCATTAGTTAACTGCCCACAAGAATCAACCCCAAAACGTCTAGCACATTCATCTGCTAATGAGCTGAGAGGAAATCCATCTGAAAATCTACTCTTCAAACGAGGAAGAGACACCTATCAATCCAATGAGGGCAAAAACATGACACAGTTAAACCAACAACAAAACAAGAAACAAACTTCGGATATTTTTTTACAACATGAAAAAGTGGAAATTTACCGACACAATGGATCCAGGAGTGAAGGAAGAGGCAACCATGGAAGGCTCTGAAAGCCAAATTTTACAGCTTTTGGGGTCATCCTGAACATCAGTGACTCGGCCAATGAAAGCAGAGTTCCCAATCAGAGATGGGTATTTAACCGAAGCTAGTTCAAGAGAGCTTGCAAGAATCTCTTCAGTAGCTTCAAAATCAAGTGACACAGGTGAAGAAAAGTTGTCAGAATTCGACAACCTTGACTGTGTCTTTGAATGCTTTTTTCCCTTTGAAGAAGGCATCTGTAAATACAATACTCACAAGGTTGGTGTTTTGGTATGGGGTCTCTGCTATGACTATGAGAAACAAATGGTTTCAGTTGACACAGAAAAAAGAGTTAGCAACAGAGAAACAAAGAGGCAAGAGGGTGAGAAGAGAGACTCAGACCGAGAGCGGCGCGCTCGAGACGGTTGTATCCGAACCCGTCCAAGTATATTAAAAGTCGAGTTAGAAATGGCATTGAGTTGAACTTGGCTTGTGCAATATCAAACCCGATGAATCCGGATTGGGCTTTTTTATTGTGACGGCCGGTTTGGCAGAAATGCAATAATGAGGGTAGGGTTCGTCGTTGGGCCAGCTCGGCCCGAAATATTTGGGTTCGAGTTGGGCTCAGGCCGGGTTTTATGGGCTTTTTAATTTTTCAAGCCAAATGACGTGCTTACAAATAGTTCATACCATCAGGTTCCTTCAAAAACTTCGTTAGTTGTTGATGTGGCATACATGAGAACCCACACATCCAATAATATAGTGTCATGTGTATTTAAAATACAATATAGATTCTAAAAATAATTTAAATTTTAAAAGTCATAAAATTTCAAAATTTCAAAATTCAAAAGAAAATTTGTATTTTAAAATATAAATTATTTTTATAAAATATGTATTGTATTTTAAATACATGTGGCACTATATTATTGGATATGGGCTTAACATATATGTCACATCAACAAACTAACGAAGTTTTTGATGAAAGGACTATTTGTGAGCACGCATATCAACCTTGAGGACCACAAATGACACAAAAAAAGCAAGAAGGACGTAATCTTATAGTTTCGTGAACCTCACGTATGTTTTGTGATAAAAAGTCTAAAATAAATTAAAGTAAAGAGACAAGACATTGACTTAAATGTTTAAAATGGAAATAAGACAATAAAAGAAAAAACTAGGCAATGAGCGGGCCTACTCAGGCCATGCGCTGGCCTTATTGGGTCGGGTTGAGAGCGGGGTAGAGGTTTCAAAACTTAAGCCCAAGCCCTACTTAACCTTAGAACAGGCTGAGTCAAGCGGGCCGAACCATCAAGTCAGGTTAGGCTTTGGCTCATCAAGCCTCGAACTACCACTTTGACCCTCAAACTGAGGGCCAAATGTTGACCCCTAAATGGGGGTTTAATCCCATTATCCAATAAGAGAGAGAAAATATTGGACTTAAACTTTTTAAATGATTGAATAGTGGGATTGAATTTGTTAACGCTCGGCAATTACCGAGCCGAGCTGCCCAAACTAACGAGCGATTAAGGAAAACAGCTCGGCCTCAACTCCTGGAAAACGCCGCCCCACCAAAAGCCGCAATAAACGAAGCCACCCATACCGTCCTTAACAGGACCCCATCCCATCAAGATATGACCGTCGCCATGCCTAAAAACTGGAGACCCACTCTGTCCGCAGCACCCCGCCCTTTTCCATGGCAGGGATAGAGCTCACAGACCATCATGAATCAGACACTCGTGGGCCCCACCTAAACTGCTCTCTGGCAGAACGGGATGGGACGTATACGGCTCGGCTCCGAGGCGAGGTGACCGACTTGTAAATATTTTCCATCACCAAACACCCCTTATAAATAGAGGGGGATCCTTGTATTTAGAGGGGAGGCTCTTTTTTCCAAAGAAAAGAAGAAAAGGACTTAGACCCACACTCAAATAAATATTGTGTTATTCATCTAAATAATCTTGGGTTCAACAGAATTGTTCCCTCATTCAAACCCTTCACCCAAATCCCCCCTTATTGTAGCATCTCCATGGTTTTGGACTCCTCAACTAACTTAGTTTGGTAATTTTTAATATAAAACTATTGTAATTGTGGATAAATATTGCTAACTAAATGTGACGCTGCTACACTTTCTTCAAAGCTTATTTGGTGGAGAATAGGAGTTTTTACTTTTGCATCCATTTAATTTCATACTTATTATTTTATTCTTGATTTTTTTTTAAATTCTTAACGGGTGAAATAGGTCATGTTAAGAAAAACTGGTTGACACAAACACAACACAAATATTGCAAACACTACCTGTTTGCCAAGTGTACATATACCAATTTCTACCATCAATACTATGAATTTATTCATTTAAATTGGAGGAAAAAAAAATCAAAATCAATCATTTGTCATTTATTTAATTATATTTTATATATGAAATTCCTTTTTCATCATTTTGCATGAAATTGATAGTCAAAAATCTCACATATTGCCCAACTGGGTTAAATTTTGAGGAAAAAACCCACAAGATGGGTTAGAGTTAGACAAAAGAGCCCAACAACAATTTTAATTGCCCTCATGTAATTTTTATTTTATATTTTATAAAGCCATTCAAATGAAGCTGTTTTTCACTGTTTTTCTTGTGCGTTGTATATATGAAACCTAGGTTTGAGTGCGATTTCTTCGATTTAGTTCAATTCAAGTTTTGATTGTTGATTTTAGGACCGATGTTGCACTGTAGGATTTCGCACACATTTTTGTTATTCTCTTATCTGCGATTTTATGGTTTCTAGTTGAATTTTGAGTTCTAAAATTGTTATGCAAGTCAGATTCTCCTAGTTGTTAAGTTTTTTCGAATTTGATTCAAAGTAAATGTTAATAATTTTCTTCTAATTTATTAAGATCTAGATTGTTTGAGTATAGTTTTTGTTATTTTTTTCTCTTTAGAGAGTAAATAATACAAAGTTACAACAGAAGTCTCATATGATTGCGATGAAATAGTTTTGTCCATTATTAGTGGAAAACCAAGAACGTACTTAGGAGTAAACATTTGCCCCATGGCCATGGGCCGAAGTGGGTAGCACGAGGCTTGATGGGCCAAAGTTTGGCCCGACTTGATGATTAGGCTTGTTCGGCCTGGCCCGCTCTAAGGTTGGGTAGAGCTTGGGCTTAGGATTTGAAACATTTGGCTTGCCCACGGCCCGGTCTGATAATGCCCATCTGTGGCTAGGCCCGGTATAGGCCCGTCTTTGGCTCGGCCCAATCTAGGCCAGTCCATGGCTCAGCCTGGTCTAGGCCCGTCCTCTTTTTTAATATTTAATTGATACACTCTCTAACCTCCTTTTATACTTAATCAAAATAATGTAATATGAATGTTATAAATTAAGTTAATTTTTTCAATGTTGTCTAAAATTTTGTAACAAACAATAAACACAATATCTTTTAGTGCACTTTTTTTTTTGTCAAGTTCAAATTTAATGGTTCAATAAAAAATTTGAAAGATTATTTTGCTTTTATTAATTATAATGACACAACTTTCTTTAATTTTCATGATGTCAATCCTAGTTTGGGATAAAAGTAACACATTTTCATATGATTCATTTTTAGGTATAATATTTTTTAAATATATTGGCTATTGTTCTAGGTCTAGTAAAAGAGTTTAGCTCTTTCACCGAAAAAAGAAAAAGAGTTTAGCTCTTATATTTTTGTTTTCTTTAGTTATATAGTCATCTATACTATTGTTCTTTTTTATCCATCACTTTTGATTTTTTTTTTTAAAGTATAACAAAAAGATTTAAAAGACTTATAAATTTTTTTTTTTTTAAAAAAGCTTGACCCGTTTAGGCCCATGATAGCCCGACCTATTAGGCCGGTAAAAGCCCAGCCCAATGGGCAGGCTTAAATCCTTTGAAATCTATGCCTGGCCTGAAATTTAAGAAAAGCCCATTAGGGCTAGCCTGGCCGAGTAACGAACCCAAAGAGTACTTATGCAACCATACAAAATCTTTTGGGAAAACAAAGTTGGATGACCCTTTTGCTGATTGTGCATGTGATTGAAATACAAAGCAGTCATTGTACATACCTTCACAGGACATGTACTGGTGCTGGTATGGCGGATCTACAGAGGCGCAAGGAGGTGCAGCTGCACCTCCCTTCGCTGGCAAAATCGTTGGAGATGCCTGAAAATGCCCATCTGCTAATGCCCACAGCAGCTATGGTTGCTATGCGATGTAAGCTCTATGAGGCGCCGTCAATGGCTTATTCCTCTCGAAGAAGAAGACCCCAACCCTGACTCAACTTTTGTGTTCCTCTAGGTTTTAAGTGAACGACGTCGGATTGAGATGCGTGGGTTTTTTTTTAATGAAACGATGTGTTTCGTGTAGTCTGGTTTCATACAATAAAGACACCACCATTTGGTTTGTAAAATCCCCTATTTTACCAAAACTCTGCCTTATAATTTAATTCCATATAATCTCTACCATTTTCATTCACCCAATAGAATCACTGCACTTAGCCTCTATTTTAATGTTTGGAACCTTGCCACTACTAAATTCATTTAATGTTATCACAATTTATGACCACAAAAAATATATATATATATATATTTATATATATTGTATAAAACAGTCATTTTAGTTGTTTTATATTTTCTTAAGGTCTGGTATTTTGTTTCGTCTTCACCACCACTGTCAGTGTTCCTTCTTTTTTTCTATTTTATTTTTTTCATTTTTGTTTGTTTGATATTTATTTATAATATGTTTGTTATTATAATAATAATTGTTATTATTATTACTGATTTGGCTCTCTTTGTATTTTGTATGATTAATACAATAGATGATCAATTCCGATTTATTTGTTTAATTGATAATTTGATATGCATTTCAATTAGATTTTTTTTTCAATCGATGGAATAAATTTTATTACAGCCGAATTGAAATGTTTACATCAGCAGCAACTCAGGCCGAAGTTGATCCCAATAAAACAAAGAGAGATATGCATTTCAATTAGATTAATTGAAATTATTTTTTTTAGATTAATCTTCGTTAGATTCTAAAGGTATTTGGTTGTTTAATTATTTTATTATTTTTGAGTTTTTAGTCTTTTATTTATTGCCCCTTTTCTGAAAAATTTCTAGATCCGCCAGATGTTGAAGATGACACCACAACCATTTGTGTTTATTTTGGAGGACTCCCCCAAATCGAATGAATTTATGTTGCCAATCTTCGTAATTTCTGTGTTTTCTATGCACTCATCTTTTTTATTTTTTATTTTTCAT